TACCGGCATTTCCAGCTGGCCATCTGTTTGCTGGTGAGGTTTTTGTTTTGTTTTTTCTCTGGCTGCTTTTGTTTCTCTTATGAGTGTTGCTTTATTGTTTTGCTCCCATATTTATTGTTCGTTACCCTAATAACTCCTGAAGAAGGGCCATTTATGAATATCCAGACAAGGACTGACAATGACTTCCAGATGGAAGATGAGTGTGTACTTGCGATCTTCATATTTTCTCTGTATTTTTAGCTATCCTGCTTTGGAAATGCCTTTAGATTTGAATAATGCTGCTGCAAGGACGGAGGCGATGGAACTTGATCAGCAGGGTTCCAGCAGCATTTCAGGAGCTTGGGAGGGCAAAGGGGGCGTCTTTGCTTGTTGTCCCATCAGGGTGACAAAGTAGGTGCAGGTGACGCTGCTGCAAGGAGCGTTCTATGGCGGGGGTGTCACCGCTGAGGGGGGCACCTCTTTGTAAGGCCCCTGTTTCAGTTCGGGAGGCAGGTCCTCCATGGAAGGCCTCTGTGGCCAGTCCCACCCAGCATCTTGGACTGCCGGTGTATCGTTTTCTATACTCAGAGGGGACCTGTTAGCGACACACAGGTACGTGGGGGGGGGGCACGCAGAGGTGGTCATGACCTTTCTCCTGCAGAGGAGGGCAGGACACGCTCCAATGGAGCCAAGCTCAGGGAACCAAGGTCCCATTTAAATGCCAGGAAGCACTTCCTGACAGTCGGGACCCCCAGGGTGTGGAATGGGAGGTGGTCGAGGCCCCTTCGGTGTGGGTGTTCAAGGATAGGCTGGACAGGCACATGGTGGGCTTGTCATGAGCAGAGCTGGCTGGAGCCGGGGGTCAGACTAGATGGCCCCAGAGGCCCCTTCTGACTCACTCTGCTTCTATGGTTCTCTGTCTTGCTCGGTGCCAGCTTCTGGTTGTGGGGTGGGCATCCCACTTCTCTCTCGTGCCTTCCGGCCATAGTCAGCCTCCGCCACGACTTCGCCCAACCCCCCCTTCAAAGGGCAGGGCCACATTCAGTGGTGCAGCCCCTGTTCAGCGTGCGGAAGGGGCCCCCCGCGAAGCTTCCCACACGCCGCCCTGGGCCCCTCTGCCCACCTGTGCTGGCGCCTCTTGCCTAGGCGGGCCCAGGATCTGGCTTGGTGCAAAGGTGTCCTCTGGTGCGCCTTGAGCCCATCTTCATGTTTGGCAGCAGACCCTGCACATGTAGCGAAGAAGGTGGGCTGCAAGCGCCCTGGCCCCCCCAGCAAGGATCCGACGGGCCCCCGCGGGCTCGTGTCCGCCTCGGGCGGCCTGCACGCCTGCTTTTCCTCCCGCTCCTCCTTTGTGTGAAGAGGCCCCCTGAGCAGCCACATGTCTGCTTCCCTGTAGGCACGGCCTCCTTCGCCTCCGCATCTAAGAAAGCACGGGGGTGGTGTTTTCGTGGGAGCTCCCTGCACCTTGACTTAGCGCGCTTGCACAGGGACCAAAATGCAGTGCCTTCCCAGGTTTTCCACTGGAGATGGTACATTTAAACATGCATATGACAGAGGGACCTGTATACAAAACCACGTAAATGAGAGAGAGGTGTGCATAAAACTGCATTATATTAGTAGAATCACATGCAAGAAAAGATGCCTATGTATTCAAGAGATAGACAGTCTGTCCACTTAGAGATGTCCATGCATGTTTTCATGAAGGCCTTGGGAAGAGTTGCAAACTAGTCTGGATTTGGCACTAGAAGCAGGAACGGAAGACCATGCATTCACGCTCACCTGTGCGCAGTCTGAGTCTGGACGTGTCGCCAGGCCTCCTCCCCCAGAGTGTGGCTCCGCTCCGCTCCACCCCGGCACCGGGCAGTAGCTCCCAGGAAACGGCCGAGGGGCGTTCCTGGAGAGGGTGAAAGCTCTCCGGGGCTCCCGGCCCTGGGCGCTCTGTCCCACCAGCCTCATGCAGGATGCCTCTGCACACCAGTGGCTGGGGAGCATGGGCCGGGGGGAGCTGTTGCCGCCCTGGCCCGCTGCCGGGTTTCCCATGGGCCGCGCTGGGAGCAGGTGTGATGGAACGGATGGATTCCGTTCTGCCAGATCCAGCTGCTCGGCTCGCAGCGGGGGCAGAGGCGCCACCGCCAACGGGACACCCTCCTGGAGGCGCCTGTGGACAGGCTGGGAGCCGCGCTCGGGTCTGGGGCAGCCAGGGCATGCCAAGCGGGGTGCCTGGCCAAATACCCCCACCGCCCTTCCAGAGCTGTGAGGCCCACCCTGCCATGTGCTTCTCCCTCACAGCCCCACAAGTCTAGGCCGGATCCCCGCCATCACGCCACAAGCAGAAGGCGGGCCTCTTTGCGTCCCTTGGAAAGCCCGTCCTCAGGGTGGCACCCACTCTTGCCCGGGCGGCCGGTTCCCTCTTGGTGCTTTCTCACCTCCCACAAAAGCCACCAGCTTTCAAATTAAGCCTTTGCAGCGCCCACCAACTCTTTTGCACTAGCAGTGAAGCCACTGGAGCGGAAGGATCTCGGCCACTGCCGGCGCGATGGGGTGGGTCCAGATGTTCCCTTCTTGCTATCAGTTCGTGCCAGAATGAGCCGGCGTGGCCGGCAGCTGGGGCCTTTGGCAAGGAGGCCTGCCCTCCCCTGCTCCTCCCGCTTTGCCTCGTTTCCCGGACGCCCGGTGGGAGGGACCCGCAGCTGCTGGTGATGGAAAGGCCCGGGCTGGAAACAATCATGGATAAAAGCGGCACAATGGGAGAGGTGGAATTAACTGTAGGCGGGAGCAGTAGAGGAGGGAGAGGGCGGAGGGCAGGTGTGTGGGCACAGTTGTCAAAGGGGGCGGCTGAGGGACCCATGGTTCTGCCTCCTGCCGGAGGAGGAGGTTGCCTGGCTGATATTCCCTTTTAAAAGTTTGGAAGTGCTCCAGAATCCTGCCGCTAGAGGTGGTGCAGGTCAGTGGGCACTTTGCAAATCTAAATTAAGCTTCACTGTCACTCCGCATCCGAAAGTTTCACAGCAGTGGGTGGGGAAGATGGAGGCTGAGCAGGCGGCAGGCCTATGCGCTGGGGGAGTGGCATGCCTCCGGGAGCCCCACGGAAGGCGTCTCGCTCCGGCTGAGGGCCGGAGGAGGTGGAAAGGCAGGGACTTGCATCCAGCCCTCTCTGCCATGGAGCCGCCAGGCAACCCTAACCCCATCCCTCTGCCCACCTCCCTGTGACACCCCCTCATGTACCCATAAGTCACCACCAGATCCCACCAGGTCTCCTCTTCTCCAGGCTGAAGAGACCCAGTTCCCTCAGTCTCGCCCCATACGGCTTCGCCTGCAAACCGGCCACCAACCTTGGGGCCCTACGCTGCACTGACTCCAACTTGGCTATATCCTTTCTGTAATGAGGGGCCCAAAACTGAGCACAATACTCCAATTGTGGGCGTACCAGAGTCGTGTAGAGTGGCAGTAATACCTCTCTCGATCTAGAAGCCACACTTCCGGCTATGCAACCAAGGGTGGCGTTCGCCCTCTTGGCCACCGCATCACCCTGCTGGCTCATGTTCAGCCTGCAGCCAACCAGCACCCTGAGGTCCCTTTCACAAGTGCTGCTCTCCAGCCACTTGTCCCCTGACCTGTACTTACGACACCCATTCCTGTGCCCCAAGTGCAAGACCTTGCACTTATCCACGTTGAACGCCATCCTGTTGTCTCCTGCCCACTTCCACATTCTGTCCAGCTCCTTTTGGATCCAGAGTACCTGCTCCTCAGTTGTGGCCACTGCCCCAGTTTTAGTGTCATCTGCGAATTTGATCAGCAGACTGTTCACCCCTTCTTCCATGTCATTTATGAAAATATCAAACAGGATCAGTCCCAGGACAGAGCCCTGGGGGACCCTGCTTGTCACTGGCTGCCATCCCAACGATTCCCCACTAATGGTTACCCTCTGCTTTCGGTCAGTCAGCCATGCCCTAATCCACCGGAGAGTGCTTTGGTGTATCCCAAAACTCCTCAGTTTCTCCACCAGGATATCATGGGGCACTTTGTCAAAGGCCCTGCTGAAATCCAGGTAAATCACACCCACTGCATCCGCTCCATCCAGCCATCTTGAAACCTTGTCATAGAATCCCACAAGGTTCATCTGGCAGGACCTGTTTTTGCGGAAGCCGTGTCGTGTGGCTGCCAGCCTCCCTTCCCTATCTAGCATCGCTAGATCTCTCTCTATTATGAGCCTTTCCATTGTTTTTCCTACACTGGATGTAAGGCTAATGGGTCTGTAATTCCCCATGTCCTTTCTACTACCCTTTTTGAAAATTGGGACCACTGTTACCACCCTTCAGTCCTCTGGAACTTCACCCGTTCTCCACAAGGCCTCAAAAATGGAGGCCAGCGGGCGTGAGAGAACCCCTGCCGACTCCTGAAGTATTCCTGGGTGTAACCCATCAGAGCTTGGCACCTTTGTAATGTCCAATGCCCTGAGGAGCCCCTCGACTTCTAGGGGGTGACTCTAATCTGTGCCCCTAAGTCTCCGGCCTCATCTAATCTCCCCTGTGTATCTCCCCCATCCTGCTTTGGGGAGAACAAACCCTTGATGAGATGCCTTTAAGGATATCTGGGGCTTGAGCAGAGGACTCATCCCAGGATTTTTCCCAGGGCCGTTCATCCGTGTTTGTTTTGTAGCTGTTCTTTTTTCTGCTTGAAATGTTTGTATTTTGATAAGATTTTGTGGCATTGTATTGTACTATTTTTAAGAACTGCTGTAAACAGCCTGGAAAACTGCAGCTATTGGGTGCTATGGAAATGAAATGAAGCAAGTGCGCCTGGCGGCTGGCTGCCTGGGGACAAGAGCGCGCGGTCCTTCTGCCCGGACCAGGCCTCAGGCGCCCACGGGGCTTCGCTGCACAAGGCCAGCGGTCCCTGCGGCTCATTCGGTTTGCCACGGAACAGGGAGCCAAGCCCGGCAGAGGGCTGCTCCCTCCTGCTGTTCCTCCACCTGTCCTCTAGGGGGCACGTGCCTCAGGGAATATCTTAATTATACGACAAGGAAAATCACGTTTCGTTTGATTTCAGAAATAGTACTGTATTTTTCTCTTATTACAACTAAAAAATAACAGGAAAGTGCTCCTAAAACCCAAACTGATGCTGGAGGATGGCAGAGCAGTCTAAGGAACTGTGACTGAGGAATCGCAAGTGTCCCACCCGCGCGTTGTTGAAAGCTCCAAAGGGTGAACACTGCTGCTTGTTTATCCGAAAGGGCTTTTTCTGGTGGGGGTGCTTGTCTTGCAGGCCAAGGACAGCGATGACGACGACGAAGTTGCTCTCGGGGTCGACCGGGACCACTTCATGGACGAGTTTTTCGAGCAGGTGAGGTGGGGGCATGTCGAGATGCACTGGAGAGCAGCCAGGTGGGATGCTGGATGGACAGGAAGGTCTTGCCCACCGCTCGCCACCTGCCGGCACCTTGTCTGCCAGCGGAGCGGCTGATGGACTTGTGGCTTCCATGGCTAAGAGGTGAGGGAATCCTGGCAAATACGGTAGAGAAGCAGCGAGCCCGTTTGGCTCAGAAGGCGTTCCTCTGAGCCTTGGAAGGGGAGGAGAAGCCCTGATGTATTCAGGGAAGCTGCCCAGTAGCTCCGCTCAGACCCACCACTCCGGCATGGAGCAGATTTTTTCCAGAGATGGATGTCAGCCTAACTGGTCTATAGTTCCCAAGTTCCTCTTTTGTTTTCCTTTCTTCTACGTGGGGACATCATTAGCCGTTCTCCAGTAATCTGGCACTTCCTCTGTCTTCCATGAATTCTCAAAGATTATCATCCTTGAGTGGTTCTGGGAGTTGTTCTGGTAGCTCTTTTATGACTCTAGGATAAAGTTTATCAGGGCCTGGAGTTTTTAATTCATTTAACCCAATTGGAAGGTCCTGGTCTTCCATCCTGGTCTGCCATCCTGCCCCTTCAGCTTGTGCTACAACTTTGTCAGGAGGGTTGTAGGTCTTCTTTTGGAAGAAGACTGAGCTAAAGCAGGCATTGAGCACTTCTGCCTTTAGTTTGTCATTTTGCTCCTCCATGGTGAGCAGCTGAACTCCCTTGTCTATCATCTCCCTTTCACTTTGGACATCTTTTCAGAAGGCTCTTCTGTTGTTTTTAGCTCCCCTTCTAGCCTCCGCTCTTTCATCACTTCAGCCGTCCTGATACCGTCTCTGCGGTTCCTTATTACTTGCTTGTATTCTTCCTTTGCAGCCTGGCCTTCCTTCCACCTCTTACGCATGTCCATCTGTTTCCAGATAATCTCTTAGCTGCTTGTGAAGCCGCAGGGGCTTCCGCTCTTTTTCTCCCTTGGAGCTGTTTGTAGTAGTGCCTCCAACATTTCTTCTTTGAAGATATCCCACCCTTCTGTGGCCCCCTTTCCCTTTCGAATGGCTCACCAAATGATCACAGCCACTGAATCCCACGGGATGTTCTCCTGGGCAGACACATGTTTGAGCGTCCTGAATTCTGCTCAGGGCTTAGAATCACAACGAGGGTGGGGAACCTTTGTCCACAAATAATGGGCGGACAATGGATGGAGTTTCTGCAGCCCACCGAGGGGCACGCTAGTCCAAAGAGGTCTGGCGGTGCCTCTCCTGGGCTTCCACCCCGGCCCTTTCCATTGGCTGCTCTGCCCTGCAGGTGGAAGAGGTTCGGGGACTCATAGACAAGATCTCCGAGAACGTGGAGGAGGTGAAGCGGAAGCACAGCGCCATCCTGGCGGCCCCCAATCCCGGCGAGCGTGAGTGCAGCCACCGTCTGGAGGGATGCGTGGGCCCCGTTCAGTCTTGCCCGTCTGCGTTTTGCAGGTTGTCGGCTGTCTTTAGTTAAATCATCCCCTTGTTGACAGAGTAGGATTTTTTCAAGGCATGTCCACAGATTTTATGTCTATTTGGAAATGCATGCTTTTGAAAATGCCCACATTTGCGTGAAGGTGCAAGTCTCTTTTCCAAGTAAAAAAAGCAGGCCACCAGCCCATGGCGTTAATGCCACTCGGCAGAAGCTGTTCCACAGCGGCGTCTGCAACCCAGAGCCACAGAATCGCGGACTCCGCTGCGGCGTTCCCTGCCATGCCCCCCTCGCGTCTCTCTTAACTCTGGTGAGGGCTGGAGCGGGGAAGTGTGCTGGGGGAAAGGCGTGGAGGGCGCCTGGGCTCCTTCCCTTCCTGCTGGAAGTGCAGTGGCGTTTGCTGAAGCCGGTTGGGGGGCCAGATTTGGAGGGCCCGCTGCTCAGGGCTGCCTGGGTCTGGAGACCTTCCAGGAAGGCCCTTCTTTCGGTACACCTGGCAACAGAGGCACGTTCGGTGGGGGTGCGGGGAAAGGCCTTCCCAGTGGCAGCCGCTGCCCAAGGGGGCAAGGCTGGCTCCTCTCTCGGCTGCAGAGCAGTCCTCCTCCAAGCAGGCCCTCTGGCCACTGGCTGCCGGTGCTGCAGGGGGAGGGGCGGGCAGTGCCTCGCTCCTCCTCCGCCCTGCGGCCGCGCATTCTCTGAGGTGGCCAGCGCGATCACGGCTCTCCTCCTCCCGGTCTGTGCTGCCCGCCTCCCTCTGATTCCGGCCTCAGCCCAGCCCGGGAGCCGCACCATCCAGGGGCAGAAAATAAAGCACGTTTCCGTCCAGGTGTCTTTGGCAAAGATGCCAGAGCAGGGGGGACGCTGCGGGCATGGAGCCCTCGGCCTTTGTCTCTCTGCTGGCGCTTCTCCCTTCCAGGAACCAAGGCGGAGCTGGAGGAACTGATGGCGGACATCAAGAAGACGGCTCACAAAGTCCGCTCCAAGCTGAAGGGTGCGTGGGGCTCGCTGGGTTTCAGCCCAACATCCAGGACAGGGCAGCCACACGGGAAGTCCTGCCCTGAGCGGGGGCCTGGCCCCCACGGCCCCCTGGCCCCTTCCGGGTCTGGGATTCTGTGGCTTGCTCTGTTGGGCCATTCAGCGCTCAACAGACCTCTTTGCCCTCCCGGCGCTGCTGTTTGCCTGGGTTCCGCACAGGTTCGCAGTTGTGTGTGTAAACTTTTTCCACCCTCGCCCCCTTCCCCCCCCCCCCCCCCGCTATGGCCATCCTCCCCTCGCAAGCTCGCTTCGGCTTCTTAAGGGCAACGAGGCACAGTGACCGCCGCTGCTGCCTGGAGAGCTGAGCGACGATCTGTGCGTTCACGCAGAGCTCACAGAGCGGAGCGCCACCCCTTTCTCTGAGCCCTCCCAGCCTGTCAGATTTACAGAGAAAGGGGGACAGGGTGGAGGGACCCCATGTGCATTGTGCGCCTCTGCCATCGGTCCGTGAGTTAAAAGGAAGGAATCCAATATCACAGGAATCTACCTGCTTTTAAGGTTTCTAGCCCTCATGACAAAAATCTGTGCTTGAGCTGTCCTCCGACCCGTCGAAATCCAGCCAGCTTCTCTCTTGCAGCTGGCTGAACTCAGGGAGACGTTCTGCACATATGCATGGATATTCGCTTCGTGCATATTTTAAAAGGCATCTTCTTTGCTTCTGGAATTCATCTTTTATCAGTCCAGATCTCCACTGCTGCCAAATTTCAGTCAAGCGCAGCAGCCTGCAGACTCGCTGCCTCGGGTGATCACTCACCAGGTCTGGTGCTGCCTGTTCAGACATTAATAGAAAAAGCCCTTCTTAAAACATGCCGTTTGCCTCCTGGAGAGCTATTTTTAGCCTCCTCTGAAATGGGCGTTTGGCAGGCAATGAAGGCAGGAGAGAGCAGGCACACAAGCCCCACTGGTTGCTCGGCTCCCCTCCCCAACTTCGCTTCCTTCTCCAAAAATAGATTCGGTTCTCTGGCTTCTTCGTAGGCTTTGAGCAGAGCATTGAGCACGAAGAAGGGCTGAACAGGTCATCAGCGGACTTGCGAATACGGAAGACCCAGGTCAGTCCTCTCTGAGCAGCTGAAGAAGCCACCCATCCTGAGGCGGTGCAGAGCACGTGCCTTGGGGCCGGAGCCACCCCCCTCTGCCTGATGCGCTGGCCAGCTGCCCCGAAAGCCGCCCTCCCTCTTCCACAGTGCCCTCCAGCGCTAGCAAAGCAGCTCTGTTGGCAGAGCCCTGTTGCCCTTGGCCGAATCTGCCGCACCAGCATTTCCAAAGCTCTTCCCGACATGGCTGCAGTGCCGTCTCTGGCTGCTCCACTGAGACCAGGCCAGGCGTCCCCTGGCTGCTGAGCCTGCACCAGATGCCTTCTCCTGGGCCGGGAGCAGCCCGGCCACATGCCCGAACGGGAGCTGCGGCCCTGGCTTTCCCAGGCCAGCCCAGTGCTGGCAGCTAGCTTGGTGCTCCCTGCATCCCTGCGATGCAAGACGGAGCAGGTGGGAGAGCTCGGAGTCTGCACGGGTCTCAGGATTTCTTGGGTGGACACACAAGGTGCTCTGCAAAGTTGCGCATGGTGAGCGCAGCTGTCTCTGGGTGGGGGGAGAGTGTCAGTGCCAGGGGGAAATTGGCTGGCCGTGGAGCCAGCAAGGAAGCTCTTGCCCTGGCCCTCCTGGTCCCCCCTGGACGAGCCAACTCGGCTGCTTCCGGGGAGGGGCGGCTGAGGCTGCTCCATCTTCTCCGCCTCTCCAAAGGGCAGAAGAGAGCAAACCGCCCCTCTGGTCCTCCCCTCCCCTCCGGGCCCTCCTTCTGGAGCCACGGCTCATGGCCACCCAGGAGCATTTCCTCCTCCTCCAGGCTCCCTGAGGCGGGGCAGATGGGCCCGATGCCCAGGAAAGCCAGTGCCCATGATGGGTGCACAACAGCCTGGGAGGCATGTACCAAACCCAGCACTGGGGGACGGGGGGAGGGCGGCTCCTTCCAGCTTTCAGGCTCTTCGGGAAGTCCTGGCGGGTCCCTGTAGCACCAGGGCAGGCAGAAGCTCAGCCTCTGGGCATCTGGGGCTTTGCTGCCAGGAGCCCCACAGAGCAGGGCCCCTGGCCAGGGATGCTGGGCGCAGGAGTCCATAGTGCCTGGACCGGCGTGTCAGCACAGTGCCTCCCAGAAGCCCCCGCAGGAGGAGGACGGGCTCTGCCGGGGGGGGGGGGAGGCTGTTCCGGGCAGGGGGCTGCTGGCCCCCCGTGCCAGAGGTCATTCCACAGCCGCCTCAGCCCATGCTGGCTGGCCCTGCGCGAACAGCCGTGCAGCGGGCTGTGGCCTGGAGCACCCGTTTTCTCTCCGGAGCATGTTGCCCCAGCAAGACTCGGGTGCGTGGGAAGGCACAGGAGGGCCCCCAGGCAGGTGCCGGAAATGAGCAGCGAGACGGGCTCCAGGCCCGGTCTAGACGCAACCCCGCCGGGGCCGGGGCCAAGGGGCGGACAGGCAGGCCGCCACAGGGCCACAGGGCGAAGCAGGCCTCGCCAGCAGTGCCCCCTTCTCTCGCCAGCATTCCACCCTGTCTCGGAAGTTTGTCGAGGTGATGTCGGAGTACAACGCCACGCAGTCGGACTACCGGGAGCGCTGCAAGGGGCGAATCCAGCGGCAGCTGGAGATCAGTGAGTGTCTTCCGTTCCCGCCCGCAGAGGGATGGGCTGCATCCTCGGAGCAACTCTTGCCCCCCGGAAGCCGCGCAGGCCTCCCTTTCGGCGGCATGCTCCCGCGTGCCCAGCGTCCCCAGCCATGCCCGGCCGGATCCTGAGATGCATCCTGGGCCCCGCTGCCTTGACTCTCCTGGCTGGGGGATGCTGGGAACAGCTGTTCCAGCACAGCTGGAGGTGCTGAACTGCGGCAGGCTGGCCTGCAGGCCCACAGCACTAAAAACTGAGGCCAGCTGCCTGCCTAAGCCATGCACATTCAAAGGCTCTCGCTCTCCTCAATTTTAGTGAATTGCATTTGAACAAAAACAAAACTTGTAGTTACACAATTCTAAAACAATACAAACAATATAGTACTGATAAATGTATTTGAACAGTACCATAATAACCGTGCTACCTCTGCCGGGACCAGCAGCTGCATGCTGCTGAATATGAAATCATGTAGTCATTCCGGTTGCTTCATTCCAGTTCCCCTTTCGGAACTGCACTGAATCTCGTGCTCAAATGAGCTCCGTCGGTGCAGTGTGCGGGCTTTTGCAATTTCACTGCGAGGGCCTTCTAAGGCTGAGCCACTCATCGCTGGCCAGTCCATCTCAGCAGTCACTGGTCCCCCAGAGTGTCTCAAGTCATGAGGCCTAGCTCCTTGCTTGCTCCCTTTTTTTTTTTTTTTAACGAAGCCCGAAATTGGATCCTGCATCAGCTATTCCACACCACGTGGCTTTTCGCGTGTCGCCCGATCCTGCCAAACAGAACAGTTGGTTTTCTGAGGTTGCTCAGCAAGCTGTCAGGCCGAGCCGTGGGCCGCCTTGGGCCGCTCGTGGCTGGAATGTGTGGCAGCTGGGTCCGCGCAGGGCGTGTGGGCAGATGGGCCCCGGGCTTCCCATGGGGCGAGACGGTTCTGTGGGGCAAGCGCAGCCCCCTCGCCACGGCAGCCCCGCCAAGAGGCTCATCCTGTGGCCTCGGACTGACCCTCCGGTTTGTTGCAGCTGGTAGAGCCACGACCAGCGAGGAGCTGGAGGACATGCTGGAGAGCGGGAACCCTGCCATCTTCTCCTCTGGGGTAAATGCTCCCCCACACCTCGCAGTTTTACAATCCCCCTCCGGCTTGAAGGGGGCAGTGGAGGACCTCTGGGCGTGGTGGGTGGGCTGGGGAGACGGCATGGGGGGGAGCCGCCTCGTCCCACCACAGCAGGGCCACTTCTGGGTCGCTCAGCTGGCATGAAAAGCAGCCCTGCCCTGCCCCGCGTCCCGCAGACTCCTCCGACCTCCCCTGGCACTGCTCATTGCTCACGTCCTTCACTTCAAACGCAAAGGGGCCAGAAACGTGATCTCTGAACAGGGATGCTATAGAAGCCGCCCTTCTCAGACAGGTGAGCGTCTGTGCCAGTGCAGGATTGCCCCACGCAGAAGTGGGGGAGCCCCCAGAGCGGCTCTGCCCAGGGCGGAGTTCCCTCCTGCAGTGCCTTCCTCACCGGGGCCGCCTTTCGCCAGATCGTCGTGGATTCCAGCGTCAGCAGGCAGGCGCTGCACGAGATCGAGACCCGGCACAGCGAGATCCTCAAGCTGGAGAGCAGCATCCGCGAGCTGCACAACATGTTCGTGGACATGGCCACGCTGGTGGAGAGCCAGGTGAGAGCCGCTGGGCCCCCCTGCCCGGGCGGCCGCGGGGGGCGGGGGCGAGCACGGCCCTCGAGGTGGGCCCAGCCCTGGCGTGCTCCGGGGAGCTACGGACGCCCCCGGGCAGGGCGGGGCGGGGCGGGCCGGGCTGGTTCTCCAGGATGATGGGCGGGGGCCTCTGGTTGCCAAGGCCCAGAGCCCATGGCAGTGGTGGCTGCTGGATCAGACCGGCCTCGGGTGGGCCGCGGTCCGTGGAGCGTCCCCTGAGAGGCCAGCCGTGCCGCCCTCCCTGACGGCCGACCCTCACCCCCTCCACGCTGCGAGCAGCTGGGGGAGCAAAGCGTGTGGGGCAGCAGGCACGCGTTGCTCCTCTGCCCGGGGCCTCTGCCTCTCGCGCGCTGCCCCTCTGGCTGTCGGCGGCCGGCCGTGCTTCCTTAGCCACTCACCTGCCAGTCTCCCACTCTTGCCCACCTGCCCTGCTAGCCCCCCCCCCCCCAAGGATAGCCAGTGAGGTTTCTACTGGCTCTGGGGCCCAGCAGTCTTGAGATGCCAAGGAGCTGGCCCACGGCCCAGACTGGGCCCTGGGATGGAAAACCTCCTGGGGCTCCCCCCCCCGGCTGCCTGGCCAGACTCGCGCTTGGGATTTCCCTGGCCCCGCCGCTCCTGGACCAGGCACTGGATTCCGCTCACAACAGACCCAAGCCGATGAAAAGGGCAGCGCACCCGGGTGGGGGCACGAGGCACTCCGCCTAAAAGCAACACGATGGGGCGAAGCCGGGGAGGGCAGCCGGAGGGCAGCCCAGTCCGCAGCCAGCGAGACCACCGTGCTGACCCGGCCTCGGCGAGGCGCAGACCCTCTCAGGCCAAGGCGGCACGGATCCCCAGGAGCGGCCACGAGCCCTCTGCTCCCTGGCAGCCAGCCGTGGGGCGATGGCCCATCTCCCATGGGGCCACCAACTCAGGGGTTGGTCATCAGCTGGTCGCTGGAGCCACCTCCAGTGTCCCTGGGGCATAATTCCTGATGATCCCCCCCCCCCCCCAAAGCACCTCACCAGGCAAAGTGGCGGCTGCCCCGGTGGAGGGCGGAGGCTCCTGCTGAGTGGGCACCGGGTGCGGCACAGGCAACCGGGACAGCCTGGACCCCCTTCGTGGCGCCTGGCGACCCCACATCCGGCTCCCCTCGCAACCCCCTGCGGGCTCCAGCTTTGGTGCCCTGGGGGGTGGATGTGGGCCGACCCCCACAGAGCCTTCTGACCCCCCGTTCTGTCCCCCATGCTGCGGTCCGTCCCGCGTGGAGGGGGCACTCAGCCCTGGCAGGTAAAGCCCGCTGTTCGGCGCCGCGGCCGTGCTGTGTCCTGGTGCATGGCCGCCCCCTCCCTGCATGGCCGCCACCATGTTGCTGGGCAGTGGGGGGCTGCGGGGCCTGGGGTGGGGCGGATCCTCTGACGGTCCCGGCCGGCTGGCCCCGTGCGGAGAGCAGGCCTGCCCCAGGCCGAGCCGCGGGAGCAGCCCTGGGCACAGGGCCAGGGACTCGGCTGCCTCCCCAAGCCCCGCTTCAGCTCTAGTGGGGTCTGTGAATGAGCGCGGCATCACTGTCCCGGCCAGGACAGCCTCCTGGAGGGCTTGGGCCCTTCTCGGTTCCTGGAGGCGTCCGGCGGACTGGGCCCCGGCGGCCCCCCTGCTGGGCGGCATCCTGAACCTCCCCGCAGGCTTCTGCGGAGCTGGCCAGCCTGCTGCACTCGGGGGCTCAGGATCCATGGCCAGCGAGCGGCGGGAGGGAGCCTGGGGGCAGGTGGGCGCCAGCCCCGGCTCCAAAGGAGTCCTCCGGCTCGGGAAGGACAGAGCCGGGGCCCGGCCCCTGCGTGCCACCGCAGCCCAGGCACTGTGCCCAGAATCCTGCACCAGCCGCTTGCCGGCCCTGTGCAGTGAAGGCGCATCATGCGGGGCAGCTCTAGCAAGCGGGGGGGGGGGGGGGGGGGGCCGCCCCCCCCCGGGGGGGCGGAGGGCGCGCCTTGAACAGGGGGGGGGGGGGGGGGGGCACCTCACCCTGCATGTCCGTTTCACTCGGGTCCCTCCGGTCAGGTGCTGGAGCACCTGTGCCCTCGGCACTGCTGGGCGGCTTTTATGGAATGGTGCTTTTCCTGCTTGCTTGCTTGGTATGTTGTGGTGACGTCCGCCCCCCCCGCCCCGCCCTTTCCTGCCGGAATTGCCCCTTTCTGCTTCCTTGCAGCCTTGGGCACTCAACCCAGGGAAAGCCTGGAATTCCTTTCTCTGGCTGCCCGGAATGCAGAGTTTGGATGTTCCTCTGTCATGTAGCACCTGGCTGGCCCTTCCCTTTTCCTTCGGTGAAATGGGTCTTCTGTGAAATCGGGACAGCAGATGAGGCAGCCTTCTAGGGATGTGCATCGCTGGGTTGGGGGGGGGGGAATAAAGGGCCCTGCCCCTTCAGAGCTCGCATCCCCCAGTCCAGCTCCACTCTGTGAGGAACTGGAGGGGTGTCAATCCATGCTATTCCCCCCACCCCCACCCCCGGCAGCAGGTCCAGCACAGGATGGCGTGGAAGGGAGCCAGGAGCCACCCCTCTCCAGGCGAGCGGGTCCTGCAGAGCACCACCCGCCGCGCGGCAGTGAGCCGGTCTCTGTGCGTCCCCCACTGCGCAGGGCGAGATGATCGATCGCATCGAATATAACGTGGAACATGCCGTGGACTATGTAGAGAGAGCCGTTTCGGACACCAAAAAGGCCGTCAAGTACCAGAGCAAAGCCCGGCGGGTGAGCCCTCTGTGCGTCTGTGTGGGGGCTGAGGCCCCCCTGCCCCGTGCAAGGGAAGGGGCTGGGGGGGTGCTTTGCGGGGACCGACTCTGGAGCACCTCGGATGATCAGTCGACTCCTGTGCTGCTAAACTTGGCGCAGGCCCTGGCATTGGACCTGGGGCCCTTGCTTTGGCCAGCCCTTCCTGGGAACTGGGGCTGAACCCCCCCCCCCCCGCTATGCACACACCATTCTCTCCACCTCTGTGGGCACCCTGCGCTGCCGCCCTGGACCTGGGGCCGACCACCTATTTGGTCTTCTTCCGAACTATTCTGCTCGTTATTCGCTTTTCCCGGAAAGCCTGCTGAGGATCTGCAGAAGCGTGGGGGTGCCGCTTCCGTGCCGTCACTCTCATCTTCAGGTCCCCGACCCTCTGGTGGGTGGTGAGGGTGGCAGGGAGTCTTCAGCGCCAGAGGCGGTGCAGTGAGAGAGAGTGACGCTGGTTAAGGAAGGGGTTTCTGCCTCGATCTATCAAAGCCCAAGAACGGATCCACCAAGAAAAACGGTGTCTGCAGGTGTGCTGCCGAAATGGAGGCTGCTGAGGGAGCGGTGCAGGCAGTGGCCTGGCCTCTCCTCCGGCTCGTGCCTGGCGTGCGTGGCTCCTTCGGCTCACACGGCGCCACTGTCGTTTCCTCCTCTTCCAGAAGAAGATCATGATCGTCATCTGCTGCGTGGTGCTGGGCGTCGTCATCGCCTCCACCGTCGGCGGGATCTTCGGCTAGGGGCCGCAGCCCAGACTCTTGGTCCTGGGGAACGGGAGGCAAAGAGGCTGCCCCGGCGGGACCCTCCCCACCCGGGCCGGCCCGCTCGTGCCCCCCAGTGGCACTTCGGTCCCCGACGCATGAGTGTTCATGTTGACGCATACCATCCACATGTGGTGGGTGAGCCGGTGTGCATGACCGGGTGCAGGACAAGAGGCCCTTTCGAGGGTTGGCAGCCCAGGCGCCTCCTCCAGCCTGGGGAGGGGGCCCCCTGCCTGCCCCCCACGCCCAAAGCAGCTCCAGCAAGGCTCTTGCTCTCCCCACTTGCTTCCACCGTGGGGCAGGCGGTGCTGGCCCAGGCCGGGAGGCAAAGTCCCCCCACGGTGGTTGCGGCTGTGCCTGCTTCCCTCGGCCCAGCTGGAGCCCCCCAGCTTCTCCTGGGGATGCCGCTGTGCTGGGGCAGCACACAGGGAATCGCCAGAGCAGCCTCGGCTCAGCCCCCAACCTCTGGCTCAGCCCCAGGCCCTGCTCGAGCTCTGCCTCCCCCAGGGCCTCTTGCGGGCAGGCGCCCGCTGGGGCCTGGGCCCGCAGAAGGCGCCCACCCGCAGCAAGGGCTTCCTCCAAAACCGGCCACGCGGCGCCGTACGCCTGCCGGTTCCGTGCCAGCTGTGCTGAACGGGAGGCTGGCAGCCCCGCCTCGCTCGTCCCGTTCAGCCGGTCCCTTCTCCGCAGGGCCAGCGATGGACGGGCCGGGCTCGCGCCCCTCCTGGCTCCTTCCGGAATGGCCCCATGTTGCGCCACACACTGGATGGCCCTGCTTGAGCTCGGGCCGTGTGCTTCTCCCCGCCCGGTTTTCAGACGCTGCTGCGACTGCAGGCCCCTCTTCTCCTTCGGGCTGCACCCTGCAGGGTTTCACCTGTAGCTATGCAAAGACCGCACCCCCATGGAAACCCAGAGCTTTCCCACTGGTGTCCCTTCCCTCTTCAAGAGGGGACTGGACCTGCGTCCAGTGATGGGGGGGGGGTTTCGCCTTCCCACGCCTGGAGACCGCTGTGCATGCCCCATGTGACCGCCAAGCCACCCCTCCCCACCCACCCGTGCCCCCCCGGCATGGCTGCCTCTTCCTCGAACTCCGCATGTTCAGCTTTGCATGGTGCTGGCAGCATCTTGCAAGGCAGCACCACGACGCCTCCAAACAAGGGCGAGTTCTCCGGTCCTTCCTGCCAAAATTTGCCATCCTGGGCCACCCCCTGCAAACAGGACTAAGTAACGGGAAGGGAAGCATTGGCAACGGGGGTCGGGGGAGACTGTGACCTTGCTCTGCTTCCTGAGAGAAAGCTCTTTGCATCTGGGCTTCCTTATCCAGAAATGGCCCCTCGCAGAGGAGGGCAGGTGTTCTCCCACCTAGAGGAGGACGGCATTCCCTTATCTCACATGCTCCGAGCAGCACATTTTAAGAACCATTCAGACAAACTGGAGCCAGTCAGGGAAGGCCAAGGGGGCTGGAAACTCATCCTCCCAGGGAAGACGGAAGGAACCAGGTATGTGGAGCCCCAGAGGCCTGGGAGGCTGGCACTAGCAGCCCCCAGATGAGGCGCGGCACCCGCTCTGCCGGCAGAGGAGGCCGGGCACGAATGAGAGGCCTGCGCTGCAGGAGGGCCGCGTGGGGTTGAGCCTCCGGGACAGCTTCCAAACCGTCATGGTGGCCAGAACATGGTGCCCCCTGCGGGGGGGGGGGGCTCTCCGGCACTGAGGGGCTTCCGGCAGGCACTGGACGCACCTCCCTGGGGAGCTCAGAATGGCTTCCGCACTGGGCAGGGAGGCGGAGGCCCTCCCTGGCCCAAGCAACCCCTTCTGCCTCTGGGATGCTATGCAGTGCAGCCCACCTTTCAAGGAACCGGCTGGACTGACTGCATGGCAGGCCTGCGCTAGGGCATCCCTGGTGAGGGGCGCGTCGTCTTCCTTCCTCCTCCCCCTCCTGGGTGGCCGCCCAGAGAGCAGAAGGCCGGAGCGGAACTGGTCATGCGGCTGGTCCTCAGTCTTCTCCCCTCCCTGCAGAGTCAGCTGGCGAAGGGCTGACCGCATGCCACTGCTGCTGCGGCAGCTACAGCCCCAGTCCCCTTCCCACTCAGACAGGCCTGCCTTCGTTGGGCTCGAGGCTGAGCCGTGCGGGGAGGGGCTTTGTGGGGGGGGTGCAGGTCGTCCTCTCGCTTCTGAAGGGAAAATCTCCAATGTGCCAGCACAGTCCCGGGGGATGCGGCTTCTTGGAGACGGCCTGCCTCTGGAGCTGCCTCACTGCAGCCCACCCTGAGCCTTGCCCCCCCTGGTGGATGTGGACCCCCTCCCATCCATCACCTCCTTTCTGCTTTTCAGACTTTGCTTCCCTGTTCAGTTATAAACTCATTCCTACCCATTGCCAAACCCTTTTTTGCAGGGTAGATAACAGCTTTCTTATGGATGGAATTTTAGACAGAATAAAAATATTTCTATCTGTGAAGCATCATTTTGACTCTTCCATGAATTGAACCATGCAGCAAGTACTGCAGCTACTTCCTGACTGTGGAACTGGGCATTCAACATCCTACGGTTTGCAGGAAGCAATTCTTAACTACTACATATTACGTATTTTTCTTACTGCATACTTTCTCCGGTTTTGACAGTTACGGGGAGAGAGACAAACGCCTCCTGAACCAGAATCACTCTCACTACGCCACCTCTCTGGCACTGGAGACTTCCTCCCGCTATGGCCACCCATTTGAGGGTCAGGAACTAGAAAATGAAGGCGGCGTGAAAGCTGAGACTGCATGCACCCTTCCACAAGCTTATAAGAAAAAGTGAACAGCCAGCAGGATTGTCTGGCAGGAAGACCCAACCACAGAAACCGGAGGAAGCCTTGGGGTGCTGCAGACACAGGGCTGTTGCAGGCAGGAGAGCTGCCTGGGCACTGCAGCTGGAGGGCACCAGGCGGGAAAGGTTCTCCTGCCCCTGAGGTGCAGCGTCTGAGCACACCAGCCAGCACGTAATGGCCGGCTGCGAGTCTCCCGTGGGGACGGGCTGGGTGGAGAGCAGCACGTGCCCTGGGCTTGCACGGCAGCGTTGTTGTGAACGCCGCCAGCAACAGAAGCATCCTGACTCAACACGGCAGGCCTCCCGAGATTGCACCAGAGGCAGAGGTGCTTTCAGCGTGCAGGCCAGAGCCACCCGGCAGAGAGCCGGGAGTGCGGGGCAGCTGCGTGCGGGGCCTGCAAAAGGCTGCTGCGGGTGGGGCCAAAGCTACCAGCCTCCTCCCTCCCTCCCCCCAGTAGCTCAGCCCAGGGGGAGGCGCTCTGACCTTCAGGAAGGGGGGACGGCACCAAAGGTGGGGAACTGGCAGCCAGACCTGAGGAAGCTGCGGGGCCGAGGGCTTGATTTGGAAAGGCGAGGCTGGCAATCCGGGAGGGGGCAGGGCAGCCCTCCCTGCCTCGACCAGGCTCAGCCAGCACTCACTGCAAGCAGAACTGTCCAAGGCCTCGTTTAATGGGGCAGCGGGGGCAGCGAAGGGCCTGTGATGGTGGAGGGTGCTGGGAAGGAGCCTTCCGACAGGCAGGGAGCCAAACGCTGTCCTTGCAGGCTGGGTAGGTTCCACGTGGCCATCTGGTCCCTGAGCCGGAAAGAGTCTGCGGGGCAGGCAAGCAAGAGGCAGCAGCCACTCGCCCGGCGGGGGGGGGGGCCGCTTGAGCGCAGGCCCTCAGTGGGTGTCTGCCCCCCGTAACAGGAGGGGAGCACGGACGGGCACCAGAACTCCAACTGTCCAACTGGCTAGACGGGGGCTCAGAAGTGTGGCCGTCGCTTCCGGCCCGTGTATTTGGTGTCTGCTCGCACCTCCCTGGAGGGGAAGCACAAGAAAGCGAAGGGTGGAATGACCTTAAGCAGAACACGGGCGTGCAGCATTCAGGTTCCAACAGCCGCTTCACACCCCAGCCTTGCCCAGCAGCGGGCGCCCTTGGGCCACGCTGGACTCCCAGCCAGCAGTGGCCGGCCACCCAAAGCCACGGGAAGGGAGCGCCTTTGGCCACGGAGAGCGCAGAGCCCGAACTCACTTTCCTTGCCGCCGTCTCCGCTCTTTCTTCTCAAGCACCCAGTCCCGGCTCTTCTTGGCCGACTTCCCTTTTGCACTTCTAAACCGCAGCCTGGAGAGGAACAGAAGTGGAACGGGGTCCGTCAGAAGTAGCTGCCGTGCCCGATGACTTGGAGGAGCCGTTGGCTCGCGTGAGAAAGCAAGAAGCTCCCAGCGAGAGTCTAGCCTCAGAGCAAGATTTCTACCTGGCGCCCATCACACAAACGCCGCCCCCCGCCCTCTGACCTCGACGAAGCTTTTCTGGGACCAGAGACAGACGGCCTTGTAACAAGGAGAGAGAGCAGAACTAGGGGACCGGCTAGTGAGCCGGCTGCTACGGTGACGGCAGAGCAAGATAAACAGTCTGGGAATACTCCGGAGCGCTCGAGATGGGAGGAGAGCAGGCCACTTGGGACAACGGGAGTCGAGGGAAATAGAGAGGAAGGAGGGAGGGAGGGAGGGAAGTTTGTGTAATCCAGCCAGGGAGGGGCATCCGAGACGGGTGTGGAGTGCATCATAATTTGAAGCCTCTCAGAAAGGAGGGGATGTCTGCACAGCGCCCCCATTACAAGCTCCTTCATTATTCATTGCCTGCATAGCTTTGGGCTTAAAGCCTTAACCGCCAGCTCCTGTGTGAGCTCTGCCTCACGACATGAGCCGCTGGTACTGCGCGGCCTGGGATGCTCCAAATAGCCTTTCCTGCTCTGGAGAGATGGTGCCGGCCACCTGGCCCAAGGGGCCACAGCCACGCCACCGGGGCCACCGCCACGCCACTGCACCAATGCGCAGGCGCGTTTTTAGCCCAGAGTCAGCCCAAATGTGAACGTGCCGTTCTGGGGTATCCTGCAGCCCCCCAGGCAGAGCCCAGTCACAGCATGGCCACAGCTTGCCGCCTTTGTTTGGAAGAAACAACACCCAGGAAACCATTCCGTAGCAACTAAAGAAGCGTCGAGAAAACCGGAATGGAAGCATGGGCTGGGCTGGGCTGGGAAAAGAAGCCAGTTTTTAAAGGCTGATTTCAGTGTTCTTACCTGGCTTCCAAAAGCCAACATAAAGAACAAACCTGTCTTGGAAGAAAATTCTGCAGTATCACCCCAGTCGACAGCTGCAGAAGCTGAGTGGTTGAATGAATGAACCAGCCTTCCCATAAAACGGAAGCCGGAGCTAAGCCTCAAGAGATGCTCCTGAAGGGAAGCTCAGAGAGATGCTCCCCACTAAACAGCTGGGATCCAAACCATGCGTGGCCCTCGAGGTTCGAAGCCCAGCACTGTGCCTTCCACCCACACCTGAGCTGGGAGCTCAAGCAGAAGCCTCAGGAGGAGGCTGGGAAGACGGCAGGCTGACCCAGCACCCCGCGTCAGCCGAAGGGCCTGGCCCGCCTTCCAGCGCAGCAGCAGCAGCAGCGGGAACACGCCGAAGCGCGTTCAGAGGACTTGCTGGAATCGCATGGAGAGGGTGTCAGAGGCAGGAAAACACGGCAGCCCAAGACTGCCAGGCGCCATGACGGCAATCCTCTGGCTGTTGCTGTTCGTCTCTCCCGCAAGCTGCGAAGGGGGGCTGCCCTGCGCTGCCACGAGGGAGGAGACAGGGCCGCGAGCAGAGGACGCAGGAGCCGGACTGCAGCCGTTTCTGTTACTGGGACTGGAGGCACGAGTCCCAAGCATGCCCTGCTGCAGAGCACACGGGGAGGTGCTGCGGAAGGGCGGCGGCACCCGACTCATCCACCCACGGCTGCCCCCGGAAGAACGCGGCATGCCGACGCCAACCGGGCGCCAGGCCAAAGCAGGCTTGCTGCCTTCTCCGGACTCGCAGCAGGGACCCTTCTGCTCTGCCCTCGCGGTGCTTTGGAAGGGCAGTGCTGGTGCTGGTGCAGGAGGCCCTCCACAAAAGCCGCACGGGGCCCGGCTGGACAAGCGGGCTCTCTCCGCAGCCTTCTTTTCCTGGCCACCTGCTGGCCTTCTAAATGTGTTGAACTACAACTCTCATCACCCCTACTGGCGGGGAGATGGGAGTTGTAGTCCAACACATCAGGAGGGCAACCTGCCAACCCAAGACGGCCATCCCTCTTCCCACAGCTCTGGCCTCGGTACCTCTCGCTGGTGAACTGTGCCCGGGTCGCCTCCTCTTCGCCACACTCCGTGCTGAGGCCCTGCAAACAGACAACACCCCGTTGCCTTCTGGGCCACGGCCGCCCACGAGAGAGAGGCAAGGGGAGAACGATGGCAGGCCCACCAGCTGCAGGCCACCTCGCACTCAGGGCAGGAGCAGCACGCTTAGAGACCCCCCTTCCAAAACGGACGGCACACAGTCCTTTCCGAGGCGGTGGCTGAGCACAAAAGAGCAAAGCCTCTTCCGCCAGGGACCAAATTCTCTTCCAGGGCAGTCACCCTGCATCAGTGGGAGGGGCAGAAATCAAGGCGGGGGATCAAGGCTAGCCGTCTGTTGTAATCGCCGGCCCGTCCTGCCAGGATCGAAGGCTGGGCAGGACATTGCCGCCTTTCCGCATGGAATGGGGAAAGCACCCTCCCCACGTCCCGAGAGGCTGCCCATGTCCGGCTCTGTCCGGATCCGCCTGGGCCTCTAGCCCGGCTCTGCCAGAGCAAGCCTCTGCAGACGACACCTTCCTCACTCCAGCTGTTCACATCTCGGAGCCGACCGGAACCGCCTGGTGATGGGCAGCCGTCTCAGGATTTTGGCCTGAGGCTCCATGCCTCTGCCACAGAGAAGGGGCATCTCTCCCAATGCTCCCCAGCTTGATCTCGGCCAAAATCAGCCTGACTGTCCACCCCCACGTCCTGCTTTTAAAGAAACAAGCCTGCGTGTCGGGGAGGTGCCCACAGAGGGCAGCACCTCTGCCCTGCAGGACCACTGCCGGCATCCCTGCTTCCCGCCGCACAGCAGGAAGCGGGGCGGGCTCTTGGGCAGCACTCCGCGGCCCCTGCTGCTGGGCTAGGGGAACACGTGCAAGGGCCCAGAATGTGATGCCCCCACGGCTCTGCTTGCCTTTGGTAACACACCAGCTGCACCAGCAAAGAGACAGAGGAAGAACCTGGGGGAAAAGAGAGGCAGATCGTGACTACCCAAAGGTGGCTGGGCTCAAGGAGCTGCCTGAGCAGCAAGCAGAGCCGGTGCTGCCACCAGGATTGCTCAGCAGCAGCTCTTCACGATCTCTGCTGGAAGCCCCCCCCCCGCCCCCCACAGCCCTTGAGTCGATGCTCAAAGGCATGGACAAAGGGGCAGGGAGGCAGCCCTGGGTGGGCCAGCCAGTTGGGGGCCTGAGCCAGAGGCTTGGGATCTTCCCAGGGCAGAACTCAAGCGATCCCGTCTTTGCTCAGCATGAGCTATGCTAGCACTGAACGATGGGAGTTACAGCCCAATGTCTGGAAGGCGCCAGCTGTATTGCAGGATCCCTCATTCTGGTCAGCAAGTGTCTCGGGAGAAGCCCACTGGGATGGCTCCCTGGCGCCCCAGGCAAGAGCTGCTGAACCTCCTGCCCCAGGCCACATCCATCCCGCCCGGCAGTCACACGTCCCTCCTTGGGCCCAATCCGCCTCTTGGGACCACAGATCTTTGGGTGGTCTCCAGCTTCTCCGTTTCCCCGCATTCTCTGGCCCCACCCGGCACCGGCGGGGAGCCCCCTCAGAGCTGCTGCAGGTCCGACACCTCCGATCGAGGCCCACTGGCTTCCCCGGTATTCGGAGGGCCACCCTCTCCCGGAACAAGCCCTGCCTCGCCCAGCCCGAGGCCTCTCCTGACAGGAGACTCACTTCTTGGCTCTGGTGCTGTTGGGATAGTCCACCACTACCCCACCGGTGAAGCCCGCCTTCATGGCCTGAGAGGTGATGAGCTCCAGCTGGAGGAAGAGAGGGCAGTGAGGAGACCGAGCAGCTCGCCCCACGCCCCCCAGCCACACGCCCGGGCCCCGGCCAGGCTCCGTCCCCCCGGCAGGCCCTCCCACTGCATCACTTCGCCTCCGATCCTTTGCCTCTTTATCCCGGGCGATCGGGGGACTCCAAAGCGCAGCCATGCCGGGCATGGAGAACCAGCCACAGCCCGAGGGGGCTGGTGCGTGGCACTCGGACGCAAGCCAGGGCCGAAGTGCAGCTTCCCCCTGCACCGCCTTTCCTAACCCTTTCCCACAAGTATTTCCAAGCAGGCGTCTCCCCTGGGAGAGCCTCCGGGGAAAGCCGTGCCGGCTGCGCTTGCCTGGACCACCGCCCCTGTGCAGGCGCCGAGCACGGAGAGGCTGCTGAGGCCACAGGGCCGGCGCCCTCGCCCGGCGCCGCAGGAGGCCAGAAGGGGCCGACTGCTCCAGGGAGTGCTTCCCGCCTCCGGGATGTCCAGGCGCAGCAAGGAACTGACGGCCCGCCTACCCAGAAAGGGGCCCATCCAGCCTCCAAGGCAGGCCAGGAGTGCGTCACACTCGCTTCCGCCGGCCAGCAGAAACCTCCTCCGGCCACCTCCTCCCGCCCCAACGGGACGCACCTGCTGAGGGTTTTCTGGGTACAGCTGCAGCACTGCACGGGCCCCTCGAGCCTAGAAGAGGACAGGGCTGTCAGGGACCGCCGTGCTGCACCCGGCAAGCTACCGCTGCCACCGCACCTTGCCCAGTGCGGGGTCTGGAGCGGCTGCAGACGGGGCTGCCCTGCTTGACTTGCCGCCTGGCGTGACAGCTGCCTTGGTGGGGGGGGGGGGTCTTGCCCAGCACTGTCCCCTCTTCTCTGCAGTCTGCCCTTCTCTTCCCTCCCCCGACCCGATCCCCTGCCGAGGAGTGGGTGGAGCAGGAGGCTTTGCAGCCACACAGCCGCTCAGACCCGCCGTCCTTTCTCAGGCGGGGTTTGGAAAGAGGGAGGCGCCTCAGAGAGGAAAGACGGCCCTCACCAAAGCCGTGTAGAGGGTCGAGAAGAACTGCCGCAGCCGCTTCGGAGGACTGTGCGTCTTCTTATCGGCATTGCACAGCCACTGCACCGCAGAAATGCTGGGAGGGGACGTGGATTTGTCAGGAAGACAGGACGCGACACATCCCCTTTATAGCATCCCTCTGCCCCATTTCATCCTATGTGGCACTATATTGCGGATGCGATCCTGGGCACGTTTAGACAGAAAAAGCCCCACAATTCCCAGAATGTCCCAGCCGGCTGCCATGCCTCAAGTTGGGCTTGGCAGCTGAAGAGTTGGCACGTAATTCGTTTCTTAATGGAAGATGTATAATTTTCATTTCGGACATTTGTTTCTAATGTTATGTGCGCCATCCAGGGCTTCCTTGTGAACAACACAAGTTCATATAGCTTAATAAATAAAAGCAATACATAACACAGAAGCAGCACAAACAGCGCAGGAAAAAAACGTACATAAAAAGCTGCGGTTGAGGGTGCAATTCTATGCATGTTTGGACAGAATAAAAGCCCTGCGACTCCCAGTGTTCCCCAGCCGGGGGTCCCAGTACTTCTGTCCCAGTCTTCTCTCAGAACAGACTTCCAACAACCAGCCCCTGTTAAATTATGCCCAACAGCAGGCTCCCACCTGATACAGCCATCGAATGTTCCCGGCCGGAAGGGGATCCCCTGGCCCATATCTGCGAGCATCAGGTCTCCCTCGACATCTCTCTCCACAGCAACATCTGATCAGAAAAGAGGGGACAGAGAGAGCATGCAATTCCCGTACGACCTTGGCAGCCCCAGGCCAGAAGGCTCAAGTCCGACAGACGGACGGGTCAGGATCCACTCACCCAGCATTGCAGAGCTGATGTCCAGGCCGACCCAGCAATGCCCCTGCTCGGAAATGTAATCGCCACTCAAGCCAGAGCCGCAGCTGCCACGAAAGAGCACAGGCAGACACAGTGAGGCAGTGCTTCAGGCCCCTCTGAGCCACATGCAGGCGTCTGGCAGTGCCCAGTGGGATCTGTGCATAGCCCTTTGGCTCAGAACAATATGGCTCCCCCCTGCCCCCGAGGTAAACAGGCCTGCTGCCAGCTCTATGTCTTAGCTTTAAATGCATCTTAGATGCAGGGTCGCCGTGGCATGCACATGATTATAACTGCACTTTCTATTTTATTAACTTAAAATGTATCATCCTTTTCCACAATAAAATGACACTTATTCCCCAGTAAACATGTTTAGCATCAGGGCAGAAGAAGCAAGTTTCATTTTATCCCTGTAGTTATGAGGGTATGATTGCACTTTAAAATATGGAAGGCCAGACAGAATCTTAGAGTTGGAAAGGGCCAAAAGGTTCAACCTCCCACTTAGTACAGGACTCTCAGTTAAACCACCTCTCTCAGATGGTTGTCCTGTTGCACCTTCAATGCCTCTAGTGTGGGAGACCTCCATCAGAGCCTAAAATCACCTAGCCGCAAAATTGTCCCACATCTGCATTTTTTAAAGGACCAAAGGCTGCTGGTAATGGGGAATTCATTGCCTGTCCGTCCTTGCAGGACCTCTGCTATTTATCATCATCATCATTAAAATAATTGGCAACAATCATTTGGAATAATATAAAGAAATATGAAATGTTGTTTTGATGACCTCTTTACCTATTTGGCATCAAAAGACAAGTCTTGTTGTCTGAAATATTGGTCATTTCCTACTAAGGCAGACAAGACTGAAACTGGATTTTAAAAGCTGAATGCTAAAAGGAGTTGCCCAGCTTACACAGTCAACTGTTTTTTGAGGAGCATCGAAATATGCTGTTGTGATCTTCCAGTGCCCTATAGAATAGGGAAAAAATGCACTTCCACATTGATGGATAACAGGAGAAAACAAGACTCTTAAATTGAAGTGCAGCAAGCTTACCCAACATCCAGCAAGAGACACTGATGGTCCTCTGGGAGACCCAACAATTCTACAGCCCTTTCAGACATCTGTGATTGAATTTCAATCATTCGAGAGCTGCAAGATAGAAGCATCCCAAAACAGGCGGTGAACAAATGTCCAGGGAGGGTCTTTCATCAAAACTCACAGGGTATACCTCATTTTAGTCCTGCCTTAAAGAGACAAGGTGGAGGAAGATACACAAAAAAACAACAATCCACTGGCAGCAAGATGACACATTGAAAGTTAAGATGAGCAACACAAAAGCAATGGCCTATTCCAGCAGCTAAAAAAAGAAAACTGAGCGAAGCTCAGGGACCCCAGGCTCCATTTGGATGCCAGGAAGCACTTCCTGACAGTCGGGACCCCGAGGGTGTGGAATGGGCTTCCACAGGAGGTGGCTGAGGCCCCATCGGTGCAGGTGTTCAAGGATAGGCTGGACGTCCACATGGCGGGCATGTCGTGAGCGGAGCCGGCTGGAGCAGGGGGTCAGACTAGATGGCCCGGGAGACCCCTTCTGACTCGCTGATTCTATGTTGACTTTAAGGTAATGGGGAAATCTTTACGTTTACCTTAAAGTATGGGTGAATGGAGGGAGCTGTTAAGGACTGTGGCAGGCTGCAGTATACCTCTGCACAAACCAGCACAATTCCCCTCATCACACACCCAACATAACAGCATGCAGTGTAGACCTACCTTCCTAACAAAGGATGGCAACATGCAGTCTGTAGCCATATGCCCCTCATCAGCACTCCCTGTCAAGGACTGGCGCAGGCCCCCAGTACGCCCCCAACCAGAGGGAGGGGGGCATTTGCTTCGCTTCGGTGTGCACCGGGGGTGGGTCAAAGTAATGCATGGCTTTTTTTTTTTTTTTTTGCCATTCCCACCGGTGTGCTGCTGATTCTCAGCATCAAATCTGGCAGCAGTTGGGGGCTGGGGTGGTCCTTCTAAGTAGAAACAAGAGAGACAGAAAGGGTCTCCCGGGCCATCTAGTCTGACCCCCTGCTCCAGCCGGCTCTCCTCATGACATGCCCACCATGTGGACATCCAGCCTATCCTTGAACACCCTCACCGATGGGGCCTCAACCACCTCTCGTGGAAGCCCATTCCACACCCTCGGGGTCCCAAACTGTCAGGAAGTACATCCTGGCATCTAAATGGAACCTGGGATCCCTGAGCTTTGCTCCATTGGAACATGTCCAGTCCTCATTTGCAAGGGGGAAAGGTCACAACCCACCTCCGCATGACACCCCTTCATGTACCTATATGTTACTAACAGATCCCCTCGGAGTCTCCTTTTCTCCAGGCTGAAATGACCCAGTACTCTCAGTCTCTCCTCATATGCCTTACCCTGCGAACCAGACAGCATCCTAGTGGCCCTTCACTGCACTGATTCTAACCTTGCTATAGTCCTCTTGTAATGAGAGGCCCAGAACTGAACACAATATTCCCAGCTGTATGCTCACCAGAGTCGTATAGAGTGGCAGTAATACCTCTCTCGATCTAGAAGCCATGCTTCTGGCTATGCAACCAAGGGTGGCATTCGCCCTCTTGGGCACCGCATCACCCTGCTGACTCATGTTTAGCCTGCAGTCAACCAGCACCCCGAGGTCCCTTTCGCAAGTGCTGCTCTCCAGCCACTTGTCCCCTAACCTGTACTTATGACACCCGTTCCTATGCCCCAAGTGCAAGACCTTGCACTGATCCACACTGAACGCCATCCTGTTGTCTCCTGCCCACTTCCATAGTCTGTCCAGATCCTTTTGGATCTGGAGTGCCTGCTCCTCAATTGTGGCCATGGAACACTATGGTAGCCAGATGAATTTTAATGCACATAGCCACAGTATTGGCTACTGTGTGTGCTTAGGGGTACCCACATTCTACACAAGTTTAGAAAGAAAAAAGGCCCACAGCTCCCATCATGCCCCACACTGTCCAAAGATTAAAGAATTTGTTGAAGCAAAGGACTGAGCTTTAAGTGATGCACAACAAGAGAGATTCAAAGCACAGCATGCTTTAAGAACCCCCCCCCCCCAAAGTTACATCAAAGAACAGGCTGCTTCCCACAGCCCAGACACTGCCTTACTTGTGCGCATACTTCCGGGCTTCCACTTCGTCATAGAACTGGGGAGAGAAACATAAACGGGAGCTGAGCCACAGGAAAGACACGAGCACGGTCGCTCGATCAGAGCGAGGGCTCAGGGCGCTCTCCCTCGGAGAAGGACGAAGCAGGCCGCGCTCACCGGCGCCCGGCCCGTCGCCCACCCCGCTGCCACGCAGGCGGCGTGCCCGTGCACACGCGCTCGCAGGGAGCACGGAGGGCGGCGTGCTGCTTCCTCCGGGCGGCCCCGAGACGCGCCGCCGGCGTCATTCCAGGCGCGCGGCCTGCGACTCGCGGCCGCCCCGGCCGACCGGGGGGACGGCGCCGCACAAGCGCGGGCGCCAGGCCCGGGCAGCGAAAAACGGCCCGGGAAGAGGTACTGCGGCGCCCGGAGCCGGTCCGGCACGACGGCCCCCCGAGGCCCGGCCGCCCGCGCCGCCTCACCAGCTCGGGGGGCCCGCGGTGCTCAGGCCGCCTGCCGCCCGCCGCCATCTTCCGCCTTCCGGGCACGTGACTCGCGCGCTCCGCGATCTCGCCCGCCGCCAGAGAGCTCCGGAAACGTGCAGAGGCGCCCTCGGAGCCGCGGGAGAGCCTGCTTCGGAGCCTGCTGTCCAGCCCGCGAGGCGTTTCTTGAACTCGCCGCCTCGTGTTTGAGCGTGAGCCGAACAACCCCCACGCGGAACGTCATCTCCATGCGGCGGGTTGGAAGGGGACGGGCTGGGAGGAAGCGGCTCACTGATTAGTTGATGATTTCGACCCCTCGGCGCTGTCCACTCTCAGTATCGGAGCTAGGCTAGGGCTGAATGATTTTACAACCGTCCTGCCATGTAGGCCTGTCCAGAGCAAGATTGCAGAAGAAGGGGACAGCGCGTGTGAACAACAACCTTGCAGAGTCGGCCAGTGATATCTCCAGGTTGCAAATGTGAAGCTGGACTGAGTGTTAAAGCAGGCCTGTTTTGTAGTGCGGCGTTAACCTGGTGATTATTTTATTCCATTTCGTTTACTCTGCAGAGTATCGCTGCTTGTCTGCCAAACTGTCCTGATGGCCTTATTGGCCCATTCCAAATCCTACTCTATGAATCTATGGCTTTTGGAGCAGCTGACATGCAGCCAATAAAAAGAAGCTAGTCCTTGCCGCACAGGCTTACAATCTCAAAAGACATAGCACTCAAGGAAAATGGAATGGGGAGGAAAGAGGAAAAGGGGGTCCTGGTGCAAGGCCTGTGGAGCGGCTCCGCTTCTCCCGGATATCAGTCTTTACTACTTGCTGTCATGGCTGCTGGAGAAAACGGATGTCTACGGTCTTGCCACCCAAAGATGCAGTCCCGCATTTCTGGAGGGCACGAGATTGGGAAGCCTGGCTGCCCTCTGCCACCTGACCCCAGCTCGCCTAAATGTCCTGGGTCTCTGCGTGGATTCGTCCGGGCTGCTCTCACTTCAGCCGCGGAAGAACAACTTTTTGCGTTCAGAAACTTGCAATACGCAGTCAATTGAAAGAACGCGTCCCTCTAACAGTACTATTTCTATTTTCTGACCCGAGCTCAGACCTCTCAGCGAACCAGGATGCCGCGCACGCGCCGTACGTGCGAGACGAAGCGTGCGCACGCTGGTGGCGTCACCGCTGATTGGCTGGCGCGCGCGCGCCGTGAGTGCGTGCGCGCGCGCGCGCCCGCGTGCGCTGAGGTGGCTTAGCCGTGGCGGCGGGAAGATGGAGGCGACCGCGCTGGCCGCGTCGGGCCCTCTGGCGGCGCTGACGGTGCTGCTCGGCGGCCTCGTGCTTGCGGCGCTGCTGCTGCTGGTGCTGGGGAAGGGGCGGGGGACGCGGCTCGGCGCGGAGAAGGACGCGGAGCCCCGCGAGGGTGAGCCGGGGGCGCGAGGGGGTGTGTCTCGCGCAGGCCACACCCCCCGGCGGGCTTGGGACGCGCCTCCTTCGGCTCGCCTCACCTTTCCCGCCTGCGAAATGGGTGCAAGAGCCGAGCTGGAGGAGGAGGTTAAAAACCATCGAGGCACGGGCGAGCGAGTGAAGAGGGGCCGGTGAGGCCATCAGGTCCAGCTTCTGCAGAGTGTAGGGCTCCCTAGGAGTAGAGATGCATGTGCCCGGCTCTGACTCCCCAAAACGTAGGCTTGGATGAACTCCAAACACCTTCTCTGCTTTAATTAAAATCGATCACTTTAGTTATCTTTTCCTGGCCCCACCTGAGTGCCTTCACCGTACAGAGACATCTTCTGGCCTTCATAGATGGGCTTGCTGCAGTGTTTGCTTCCTTGACCAGACTTCTTAATCCACCTCGCCTTAATACACTCTTGCCCTCACATGGAAGCAGCTGACTCAGGCTACGCCCTCTTGTTTTGGCACCCTCCGTGCAGAGGAGCCCCCCAGTTCAGAGGCCTGGACGGGCCACACAGTGGAGGGGAATCCTCCAGATCACAGCTTTATTTATTTATTTATTTATTTAAAGTTTTTGTATGCCGTCCCCTTGCTATATAGCCTGCGCATCTATGGAATGTGCTCCCCAGAGAGGTCCGTCTGGTGCTGTCGTTATTTGTTTTTCGGTGCCAGGCTAAGACCTTTTTATTTAAAACTTATTTTAATTGTTAATTTATTGGTATTTAGAGGATTTTAAATCTTTTAAGCCGAGATGCACCGGGTTTTAATGTTTTTGTTGTATAATTGTTATATTTGTATATTTCGTTTTTGTTGTGAGCCGCCCCGAGGCTTTGTTGCGATGGGGGCGGCATAAAAATGTGTTAAATAAATAAATAGCCTTGACAGGCCTTTCTGACTCGCTTCCCCCAAATGCATTTTTGCTCCTGTGCACCCAGTGTCTCTGCTGCCTCCTCTGGCACCGATTCATGTCTCAAATCTACCTTGATGCATAATTGCTGAATGTTTCGGTGTATGCATACATTTATTTATTTTCCGATTTCTATCCTGCCTTTTTCCTACAAAGGGCTCAAGGCAGCTTGCATCATTCTCTTCCTCCATCTTATCCCCACAACAACAACCCTGTGAGGTAGGTTGGGCTGAGAGCCGGTGACTGGCCCAAGTCACCCAGTAGGCCCCATGGCCGAGCGGGGACTAGAACCCAGATCACCTGAGTCCCAGTCCCAGGCTCTTAACCACGACACCACACGGACTCTCACACCACACTGGCTCTACGTATACGTAACCTATATAAGCCGGCCATTTCCTATGTACTATTGTTTGGACTGCTTTGAGGAGGCTCTGCTGACTCCATCGGTTCCAACGGATGGGAGCCTACCTTGCAGGGGTTGCTGTTAAACACTTTAGGAATGCTAGCTAGCTTGCTTGTATTTTGTTTCAAGAATCAAGTTTCTCCTTATAAGTAAACCTGGAAGCTGGCTGAATCATTTCCTTGGGATCACAAGAACTCCTTGCCCCTGCCCCAGAGTGAATACACCTGCTGCCTTACTCTTTCACACTACCCAGATGCCACAATACGGGTATCCGATCGGGAGAGTTTGAGTTTTGGCAATGATGAAGTGTTACTTTAAGAAGCTCTTGTTTCATTTGTATTCCTCAGATCTGAATGTGAACAGCAGCATGCCCAGCAAAACCTCAGGCCTGAAGCAGAAGCAGCACCAGCGAATCCGGAAAGAGAAACCCCAGCAGCATGCCTTCGCGCACCCGCTCCTGGCAGCAGTCCTCAAGGTGAGCGCTGCTGTTCTCGAGATGCAAGGCAGAGCCTTCCCTGGCATGTGGAGTCTCCTTCAGCTGGAGGGGGAGTTATGTTTCGGAGGTACTCTTGGCAGCCAGTGGTGGGTGAGGGATGGCTCAGAAAATACAACAAACGCCAGCATGTTTCTTTAAAGACCTTCTTCTCGGGGGGCATTTAAGTCTTTCAGGATGGGGGAAACTGCACAAGAACTGGAGGCCATGTTGCTGGTTAAGCAACACTGCCAGCACTCAAAGCCTCCCTCCAAGAAGCTTGCAGTTCAAAGGCATGGTGGGACACTTGCGGTTTGCAAGATACTTTGTCCTACAACTCCCATCAGCCTTAGCCAGCATAGAAATTGGTGAGGTTGTAGGTGAAGACTGGGGGTCCACGAGTTGCCTGCCCCTGTTTGGAAGGAAAGGGGGGCTACACTGGTGGGGGGATTGTCTCCACAGTGCTCCTGAATCTCTCAGCCCCTCCCTCTCCCCTTCCCCAGTGTGCATTCTCATGGCCAGTTTTCTGCGCCTTGGGATTACCGTGCCCCAGCTGGAGCCCACCCAATGCGTCTCTTTTTTCTCGGTGTTGTGCAGGGCCACAGCGGGAGCGTCACCTGCCTCGACTTCAGCAGCAACGGGAAATACCTGGCATCCTGCTCTGACGACCGCACAGTGCGTGTCTGGAGCACCAAGGACTTCTTGGAGCGGGAGCATCGCTCCTTGCGGGCCAACGTGGAGCTGGATCATGCCACCCTGGTCCGCTTCTACCCGGACTCCAGGTGTGGCTGGGGCAGAGATGTATGGGTGGCCCCCTTTCCTTGTCCTCTTCAATAACTGAAACAGGAGAGGGATTGTCCAGTAAGGGGGTTTGGGCTGGGGGACAGAGCCGTCAGAATTTCTGCGCATGCAGGCCAACACAAGGGTCCACTGGGAACCTCGAGTCTGGCAGCAGCTGCCCTTCAGACTGGCTCAGAAGCTCCAGCAGGGTCCCGAGCTGGGGTGCCACACCTCTGGCATATGATACCTGTGCTCAGAGAGCTGTGCTGGCTGCCAGGTCTGCAACAAGGCCAGGTTTACGCCCATTATGTTCAGGACTACTGACCTCAAGGACCATGTCCCCCCATATTCCCAGGGCATTTGATTGTCTCTGTGTGCGTGGGGGGGGGGGTTGTCCCTGCTGGGCCTTGACAGCAACATGGGGGAGAGGCCTTCTCTGCAAAGGCTCCCCCTGCTCACAGAACACTCAAACGCTGGCATGGCCTGGGCATTTACTGAAACCTTTGCTGTTCGCTTTGGCTTTCTCCCAACTGGGAACCCTCTCTGTTCCAGCTTCATGATACTAGTCTGTGACCGCGTGTGCTTTTTTATTTATTATTATTACAATTTTTAAACTAAGACTAAAAAAAAAAATCAAACATCACAAACATTAACATTGGATTCACTGGGTGAACGTCCTACTACATATTTTTTAACATTCTAATATCAAATTCCAGTTAGTTTATCATAGTTTGAAAAACATCTCTAAATTTACGCCAAGTCCCATTTCTCCAGCCAATTATAAAAAGAGTCCCAAGTTCGATAGAAATCAGTATCCTCTTTCTCCTTCAACGATAAAGTTAGTCTATCCATTTCTGCACAGTCCAAGATCTTTCTTAGAATCAATCCATCGGTGGGCAGCTCCTCACTTTTCCAGTATTGAGCAGCTGAGTGTGTGCTTTTTGTTCATTGCTGTGCCTGCTTTTATTCCTTTGTAAAGCACCTCAAGATTTGTTTCTAAGCAGAAGCCAGAGATAGATCAATAATGCCTCCAGTCCTCTCCTTCCTTCACTCAGAGCTTTCATTGTCTGGCTTGCCAACGGTGAGACCCTCCGGTTCTTTAAGATAGCGAAGAAAGAGGATGGCAGCATGACATATGTGGCAGTTCCAGAAGAGTTTCCAAAGCATCACAAAGGCCCCATCATCAACATTGAAGTGGCTGACACAGGTATGGAAGCGGGTCGAGGGACTTGGGGCTTCCTGGCCTACAGCTGCAGAAGTCAGAGACTAACCCTGTTTCCCTGGAAGAATCTCCTTGCTTTTAAAATTATTTTTATTGTTTTCTTTACATAAATGAAATTCAGAGAAATGTGTGTGTATATTTGCTTTGCTAGTTGCTAAGTCGCGTCTGACCCATCGCAACCTTATGGACAACATTCCTCCAGGCTTTGCTGTCCTCCACCATCCCCCGGAGTCCACTCAAGTTCACACTGACTGCTTCAGTGGCTCCTTCTAGCCACCTCATCCTCTGCCGCCCCCTTCTTCTTTTGCCGTCAATTGTTCCCAGCATCAGGCTCTTCTCCAGCGAGTCCCTCCTTCTCATTAGGTGGCCAAAGTATTTGAGTTTCATCTTCAGTATTTGGCCTTCTAAAGAGCAGTCAGGGTTGACCTCAACTCTTTTGGCTCTTGCCTCTTGGCAGAGCAGCGGAGCGGCAGAGGCTGGGAGAGAGTGCTGAGTGGCCAGGGGACTGGTGAAGGCAAGGTGGGAGCTGGGCAGAGGAGCAGAGGGCCAGGAGCAGCAGAGGAGAGAAGGGAAGCTGAGGGGTCGAAATAAATAAGTGAGCCGCTTCCTCCCAGTCCCATCCCCTTCCAGCTCAAACATCCAGTAGCTCCCACTATAGAAAACCAAGGAAGGTTGACTGCTGTCTCTGTCTCATCACACCAAAGCTTCACCTATATCAAGGTCAGTTTTCAGTATCCATAATTCTTAGTTTCTTAAGCAAAGATATCAGATAATTTTACAGCTGTTAAGGTCTAATTAAAGTTCAAATAAAACACGAAGAAACTGTCCATTTCAGAGTCCTTTCCAAATACATAAACAAAAATGCCTGAAGAATCTAGGTTGCAGCAAGTTAGAATATTATTACCTTGGTTCAAAAAGCTGAATGAAGTAAAAAGGAACAGTAGAAAGGCAACAGAAGAGAAGAGTAAAGGGGAGAAGTATATATGAGGCGGTCAGCTCAGTCACATGTTTCAGTTTACCTTACCTTGCCATCTCACTGTAATCAGAGCTGTAGACAGAGAATCTGCAAGCCCACCTATCATTTAGAGAGGTGAAAACACATGCAAAGGTGATTTATAAACGTCTAAATGAGATAAGGTGTGGTGCAGTGGGCAGTGCTGTCCAGCGAGTCACCCTTCTCCCAGAAGGCCCTGAAGAATCTCCGTGCTTGTCCCTGCATCAACCAGGAAAGCCTCTAACCTTTGTTCCCCCCCCCCAACCCCCAGGGAAATACATCATGACAGCCTCAAGTGACACGACCATCTTGATCTGGGACCTGAAGGGGGATGTCTTGGCCACCATCAACACCAATCAGATGCACAACACCTTCGCAACTGTGTCCCCATGTGGGAGGTAAGGAGCGTGTGGCTTGCATACCTCCTGGTTTCAGCTGCACGTCAGTGGTGAGCGTTTGCGAGCCTCTGAGAAGTGCTGGCCTGCAGGGCGCCCACTTGGCCGAAGCTCCTGCTGGAGCAATAAACCCCTTCCCTGTCAGTCTGTTCCTTCTGCCTCCTCCAGGTTTGTCGCCTCATGTGGCTTCACCCCCGATGTGAAGGTGTGGGAAGTGTGTTTCAGCAAGAGTGGGGAATTCCGGGAGGTGACCAGGGCCTTTGAGCTGAAGGGACACACTGCTGGTGTGTACTCCTTCTCTTTCTCCAATGACTCCAGACGGTGAGAAACTATCCGTTACCTGCTCTGAACCTGGCCAGGTTTCTCTCTTGTGGTGCAGCAGCACATGCAGACACCCTTTCTGGTGCCCAGCGGGCTCTGTTCCTCTCGAACGTTAATTTATGTTCTGAGATGTTTGAAAAATTAGTTTTTACCGGGGGGGTAGGGGCTGGCATGCAGCCAAGGGAGTGCTGTGCTCCAGAGCTGTCTTCGTTTGGGTTCTGAAAACAGAAACTCAGGCACCCCCTCTGCTCTCTCCATCAGTTCTTGGGCTGGTTTCTTTTCTCTTAGACTCACCACTATGTTTCCTGGGAAACTAGTGTTTCGTGACCACCCTTGCCTCCCATGGCAGCCATTTTGAAAACAGGCAAGCTTCCCCACAACAGCCATTCTGTGAGGAGGCCACAGCTCTTTCCTAGTGTCCCCCAAAAGGGTGGGGGTCTTGGGAGAGGCCACGCACCCCTTGCCTAGTCTCACGCTCCTCTGCCACCTGCCAGCCCCTCTGTTGTGCTTCTGGCAACTTTGATGTTGGGCAGCTGGGCTGAAGGGCTTGTTCAGACTTGCCTCCCTCCACCCAGTTCTCTTCCTTAGATCTGGGCTGGTTGGACTTGAGGCTTGTGGAATTCGTTGTGCTCTTCACTGGAACCCCACAACCCACCAGCTAGATCCTGGCATGCAAGTCACACCCTCCGTGAATGAAATTAAAGAATGCTGCACCCAAGGATGTGTTCCTGTCTTGAGCACTTGACTGGAAAGTGCTCCCAGTCTCTCCACGCAGAAGCTAGCCCTCACTATCCCTCCCTTTCTGCTGAACAGGATGGCAACTGTGTCGAAGGACGGCACGTGGAAACTGTGGGACACAGATGTGGAGTACAAGAAGCAGCAGGATCCGTACCTGCTGCTGACAGGGAAGTGTGAGGTGGCGGAGCCGTGCCGCATCGCCCTGGCGCCCGATGCCCGCGCTCTGGCCATCTCCTGCGGCACCAGCATCTTTGTTTACAACACCCAGAGGGGTGAGGAGGAGGAGCGCTTCGAAGCTGTCCATGGGGAGCACATCACAGACTTGGCTTTCGATGTGAACAGCTGCTTCTTGGTGTCCTGTGGGGACCGAGCCATCCGTGTCTTCCACAACACGACTGGCTACCGGGCTGTGGTGGAGGAAATGAAAGGCCTGCTCAGAAAGGCGACCAGCGAGGCCACCAAACAAAGACTGCAGCAACAGATCACGCAGGCGCAGAGTGCCTTGAGCAGCATCTATGGCAAGAGCAAAGACTGAGCTCCCACTTCCAGGAGGGCAGCCTTGGGGCTAGGATTTTAATCACTGGGGGTGAGAGCAAATAAAAACCGTTTTGCACACCTTTGGCCCACTGGGAAGTTGCTCAAGCGAGGAGGGGGAGAGGTGGTGCTGGTTTTGGTGGGAAGCTTGGGGGGCCATGCAGGGCTCTGCCCAGGAACCTGAACCGCTGGACCTGCGAGTAGGCAGGGACATTAACTCCGTCACTAGACAGCATCTCAGGGGATGCTGGTACATGGGCCTCATCCTAAACAAGCTTCAACTATGTGCTGGCATCATTCCTCCACCATAATTGGAGGTCTCTGTAAGATGCTGTCAGATACGGGCTGTACAAGCCCAGCAGCAGCCGGAATCACATGTTTTATTTCCGTGCTCCCACCTAGTCTCAAGGCACTGTCAGGCCCGGGATGCCTGCGTGCACCAGGACTTCCTCCCTTCCTCCCTTGAACGTCTAGGCTGGACGTGCACGTGGTGGGCATGTCATGAGCGGAGCTGGCTGGAGCCAAGGGTCAGACTAGATGGCCCGGGAGGCCCCTTCTGATTTGCTCTGTGTTTCTATTATAGTTCCTCCCTTTAGCCAAGATGGCTTCCAGAGGTGGAAATAAGTCAGTCCCCAGTCTAAAAGATACAATATGAAAGGGAAGAAGACTGGAAGGGCGGCAAACCAGAAGTGCTGGATTCTTGATCCATGTGAATAACAAACTTGGTGGGACGACTCACATGACTGGAATGCTGCAATTGATGGATACAACCTGTTTGAGAGAAATAGAAAGGACAAAAAGGGAGGTGGATTTGTACTATATGTGAGAGGCACATACATCTGCACAGAAATACAAGAAGAGGAACTGAATTTAGCCATTGAAAGCATCTGGCTAAATTTCAAGGGAGCAAAAAATAAGAAAAATGCAGTCATTGTCATATATTACCATCCACCCAGTCAAAAAGAGGACAAAGATGCAACCTTCGAAAAGCAACTTGCCAGCACTTCCAAGAAGCATGAGGTAGTCGTCATGGGGGGCTTCAGTTCCCCTGATAGTTGCTGGGAGACCATTTCTGCCAAGCGTGGCCCCTCCAAGGGATTCCTGACGTGTGTTGCCGACAACTTCCTCCAGCAGAAGGTAGAGGAAGGGGCGAGAGGACCAGCTGTCCTCGATCTAATGCTAACTGACAGGGATGGCCTGGTGGACAAAACAGCGACCCTGGCAGCTCTGGGGGACAGTGACCATGTCATGCTTGAATTCTCAATTATGAAGGAGACAAAGGGTAACTGGAGCCAAATGCGCATCCTGGACTTCAAGAAAGCCAACTTTTACGAACGCGGAACAATGGTAAGTGATGTGCCATGGCAACTCACTCTTAAGAGAAAAGGAGTCCAGGAAGGATGGGAAGTCTTGAAAAAGAAGATTCTCCGGGCACAATTACCAAGAAAAAAGTGTAGAAGACCGCAGAGGAGGCCCGCGTGGCTCCACAAAGAGTTAAGTGACGGCCTGGAAGCAAAAAAGGGCCATGCACAGGAAGTGGAAGCAGGGCCTGGCCACAAAGGAAGAGTATCGAACAGCGAGGACTTGCAGGGACGGCATCAGGAAGGCTAAAGCAGGAAATGAGCTGAGACTAGCAAGGGATGCGAAGCGCAACTGCGAGGTTCTGAGGCGGCGCAATGGCTCCCCCTGCTGGCCAAAGACCAGAATAGCCGCCCCAGTGGTTGCCACTGGCCTCTGTCAAGGGATAGAAGCACTGCTCTCCTGAAGCCGAAGAAATCCCACTGAGCGACAGCTTGCCCTTGAAGGTGGGGTTGTAGTTCGAATACAGCATTTCTCCATTCGTGTGGGGGCTCATGCAGATTGCTAATGGGTGCCATTCAGCCCCCTGAAGTAACTGTCTGCCCTCAAGCAGTTGTTTGCCTACTCCGTGAAATATTCAGGGTTAGGACTAAGCTCTGATTCATGTACTGCACAGTGAAATCCTTTAAACATTGTTGTTCTTCGGCCACATGCAGAGTGCAAGCTGGAAAGTGCCTTCTTTTAGCTACGTCCAATAATTATAAAGCACAGTATGAAAATGGAAAAGCTTGCCAGCCATGTGGAGCACTCCTACATACAAATGCTGCAATGCCTTCCGACAGGAAAAAAAATGCAAGATCATGCAAGTTCATGGTTCAGTCTGGTCCCTGCAGGTTTGCCCAGAGCCAGTGGTGGTGGGGGGGGGATGCTTCTGAGGTGCCTGGAGGTGCAGGCAATCGAACCTGCAAGATCATCCATGCAGAGTGGGGGGTTTATTCCCAAGTTCTGTCTCTCCTCATAGCCCACCTTGTCATTTGGCCCATTTTAGCAGGCAGCTCCTTCCTTCAGCCTTTGTGTTAGGGTAACACAATAACGTTGCCCTACTGTAATTTGCAAAACAAGCCAATTGGCCACAAGTAACCCACCCAGTTCATGGAGCTTCATGATCTAATTTTTTAAAAAATGTGCCAAGGTTTCTGCCTTTACCCAGAGGGGAGAAATGTATTAGTTTTGAAAACAAGCGTGTCTCTGGGCGTGTGCTAACTTTTCTCCCGTGGCGAAAGGTGCTGTGAACCGTACAAGCGTAGCACCGCCTCCTTCCTCTACGCATGCGCCATGAAGCCGAGTCAGGCCACTTGCGCATGCGTCTCTCTACGCGAGGCAAGGGCGCTGACGCGCTACGCACGAGCAACCGGGCGAGCGGCGCGCGCATGCGCAGGGCGGCGGCACAGCAGCGGCGGGAGCTGGGGCTGCCGGGGCCGACGGCGCCATGTCGGGTCGCTCGGTGCGGGCAGAGACCCGCAGCCGCGCTAAGGACGACATCAAGAAAGTCATGGCAGCCATCGAGCGCGTCCGCAAATGGTGAGCTCATGGAGGGCGGGGTGGTGCGTGGGAGGGCGTTGGCGGGGACTCAGCCAATCGCGGCGGCGGAAAGGCGCCGTCACCAACCGGCGGCGACCGCTTGGCCTGGTGGGCGAGGCATCTCTGGAGCGGCCAATCGCGCCGCAGCAGCCGGCAGAGGCGGGGTCTCGAGGTGCTGCGCAATTGGCGGAGCGAAGGGTCATTCCCGCTCTTAGGCCGCTCCCGAGCTTCCGGATGGGCTTCGCGTTGCGCCGGTCGCATCCCGAGGGAGCCCGGTTGCCATGGAGACCGGCGGGCCCGGCCTCCGGGCGCTGGGCTGGCGCAGCCGGGCGCGGGATCGGCTTAGCTGCCTGCGCGTGCCCACGTGCTGGAGCTGCACGCGCATTTGGCGTCGCTCAGGTTGAGGCCCAGGAGTTGGTTCATGTCGCCCCCACGGCGTCCTCCGGATGTGTTGGACTGCAGCTCCCATCACCCGCAGCTCCTCTGGCCACCAAGTGGAGAAAGCGTGCCGGAAGGGAGCAGATCCGCTCGCAATGCGGTGCTGGAGGAGTGCTGGGCGAGTGCCCTGGGCACGCGGTGGCCTGGCCCGTGAGCCCGGAGAGAGCCAGGCCAGCATCTGCCCTGGAAGGTGCGCAGCTGAGGCTGCCCCGCTTGGGTGCATGATGGAAGGGCAGGGCTGCATGGAGAGGACCAGTGTGCTAGGGAAAGTGGAAGGACATCCAAGCCTAAGAAAAGCCCTGCCGCCCCTGACCGGCCAGCCCGGCACTCCATTCACGTGGTGCCGATGCCCACAGGATCCCTCCAGCAGGATGAGTGCGAGCCCAGTCTTCCTGCCCAGCTCCTCAGCAACGAGTGTATGCAGACAGGCCTCCTCTGGTGGAGGGAGCACATTGCCAGCCAGGCTTGTGGCCACTGATAACCTTTTCGCTCATGAATCTGCCCTTTTAAGGCCATCATCATCTCCTGTGGCAGCAAATTCCATCATTCAAAAGGCAGACTTCCATAGAAGACAGAAGAGGAGGAGGAGCTAGGATGTGGATGGACTCCAGCAAGGGAGCTGTAAGCGCTGAGCAGGGCTGCCTTCACAGGGCTGCCTTGCATGGGGGACAGCTCAGCAGCGCATAACAGCAGCGTGACACCGGGAGGGTGTCAGACCAGCAAACGATCGGAATCTCTGAGGCAGCCTTTACTGGTGGGGCGTAAGACTCGTTCCCCCGTTTCTGGCTGAATAGGCAACTTCCTCGCACGGCACAAACCACTGGCACTCTCCGGGCTAGTTCCTGTTTAGAGCCCCACACGCCTTAGGACCCGGGCCCAGGGGGGAACAGGTTGATCAGCTGGCCTCTGCCCAAGGCTGTCCCTTGGATGTCTTCTCCTGCCCCACCATCACGATCTCAGGTGAAACGGGCAGTTCCAGCCCCTCTTTGGTAGAACTGCCTCCGCAAGGCAGCCAGCCAGATATCTTTTAGGGGGCAGGCAAAGGCCTCCTCGTTCATCTAGGGCCTCTCCCCCCTGCTGCAACAGTTTTCAGTGCTGCTTCCCCCACAACTAATTTTTATTGTGTTTATCATTGTAAACAATTTTAGGAATGACAGGAATAACAACAAATAATTGTAGACGCGTTGATGCTAAAAAGGCTGTATCCAACAATTTAAAATAAATTTGGGATGTCAAATTGAAAGGCAACATTGAAGGCCTTTAAAAATATGAAGACCACCCAAGGGCAAGACACGGGTGGAACTCTGCTTCCCCGGGGCAGGGCTTGTACAGTCTCGTGTGCACTGACCCAGAGCAATCTCTGCTGGACTCCCTAGTTTTCCTTCCATGTAAACACACCTGGGATCACACCCACTATCTTCCTCACAGGGATACTCAGTAAGAAGCAGTCTCTTTCAGTTCGGGCATCCACCCACGAGAATCCATCTCTGCCCGGAGATCTATACCGCAGCAGCCCAGGAGGATGCGCACGGCATAGCAGGGCCGGTTCCAGAGCGGTGTCTCGCCGTGGGGCCTCTGCAGCTTTTCCACTGCCTTCCGCCTCCCGAGCTGCCCTCCATGGGGGACTCCCAGCCCTGGGAGGTCTGGTTTGCAGCACCAATGCTATGCCACTCTTGCATGCCCCATTGACACGGTGCTGCCACAGAGGGGCAGGGAGCACGAGCAGCGGGTGATTGGCACTGCAGCGCTGGAGCTGCCACCGGCCGGCGAGGGCCAGCCTTCAGGCTGCGTTCAGCCCAGCCCCCCTGCCGGCTTAGCTCAGGACTAACGCCTTTCCCGCCTTCCTGCAGGGAGAAGAAGTGGGTGACGGTGGGAGACACTTCCCTGCGGATATTCAAATGGGTCCCTGTGGCCGACAGCAAAGAGGTGAGGGGCAAGAGCCTGTGATGGAGAGCTCAGGCTGCCCTTCACAGTGGGGTGAGGCCTGGAGAGCTGGCCACCTGGTGGAAGGGGGTGGCGAGGCGATCCTTGGTGGGACACAGCCAGCAGGCCAGGCTTCCTCCCTCCCCCCCCCCTTCCTTCCGCACCGCCTGCCCGCCCCTGGGTGGAGCAGAGTGAGGTCCAGGAGGGTTGCTCTGGGTTCCTGAAGATGTGTGGAGCCAGGGGGACATGAGCAGCCCAAAACCTGGGTGGAGACAAGCCTGCCCCTCAGGTCCAGCTTCCAGGGTAAGGCTCTGGGGAGATGGCACTGTGGCGGACCAGCCCAGCCTGAGGCAGTGCCCTCGGGACTCGTGGGATTGCCGTGCCCATGTGCCAGCAGGGGGTGATGGAAGCCGCCGTTCCACGCATCGGCAGGGCGGAGAGGCTGTGCCAGGCCCTCCTCTTCTGCTTCACTTCCCCCCAGAGAAGCGGGCAGCCACCCCCTTCCATGGCTCTGGGGAGCTGCTCTGACAGCCAGTGGGGGCTCCTCATGTGCCTTCCTTCTCTCCCGTTCCAGAAGGAGAAGTCGAAATCCAGCGGGGCTGCTGCCCGGGAGCCGAATGGCTTTCCAGCTGACGCGGCAGCCAACTCATCCCTCCTCTTGGAGTTCCAAGGTCAGCAGAGCCCAGGGAGACCCAGGCAGGGCTGGTGTGAGCCAGAGCGAGCCCTGGCAGCCAGGCAACGTCTTCCCCCCACCTTGCCCCCATCACAAGGAGGATGCCTGCCCAAGGCCCCAAGTGCCACTCACATTCAGGCTGCTTTTTGTGAGAAGAGGGCAAGGAATTTGTGCCTGCCCTTGAAAGCAAAGGGGCAGACCTGCCTGCGGTTTCCGCTTGATTTGCTGGCAGAACCACAAGGAGGCATCCGGCCTGGAGTGGAAGTCCCTCAGCTCCCGGTTGCCTGCCTGCCTGCCTGCCTGCCTGGGGGGTCGCCTGGGCTGGCAAGGACAGGAGCTGCCCTGAACTCGTGGAAAGTCGCGCTGCTCGGCAGCCATGTGCCCCGGCCGCAGGCTGGCTCCTGGCTCAGGTCCTCTCTTCCTTGGGCTCTCCAGATGAGAACAGCAACCAGAGCTCCCTCTCGGACACCTACCAGCTCAAGGCGGACAGCAGCGCTGCCTCCAGCCCCAGCCCACAGCAGAGCGAGTCCTTGAGCCCCAGCCACACCTCTGACTTCCGCACGGATGACTCCCAGCCGCCCACCCTGGGCCAGGAGCCCTTGGAAGGTGAGCGGCAAGCCAGGGTGGGCTCAGCGCTCCAGGAAGACCCCTCTTCCTTCCTGGGGCTGCTCACCAGCAGGCGCCGCTGCAGACCTGAAGGCTGGGCTGATCCCCTCCAGGGATGGGCGGGAGAAGCCTCAGGCGGGCCAGGTGCCGAGTTGCCCGGAGCACCCCGGGAGCCACTGCGCACTCCAGCCTCACCACCAGCCCTTGCCCCTCCCATTCTCCAGAGCCTGCCCTGCCGCCCTCCGAAGTTGCCGACGAGCCTCCAACCCTCACCAAGGAGGAGCCTGTGCCACCCGAGGCCCAGGTAAGGGCAGCGGCCTGGTACAGCGGAACCGCTGCCTGGTGTGCAGCACCACAGAGGGCCCCTGAGGGGAGGGAGGAAGGGTTTGGGCCTTGAGGTGCCTCCCGGCACAAGGTGACCCCCCAGTGCCTGCTGCAGCACCTCCCGTGGCCCACCAGGAAGAGGGACACCGGAGCAGGCGATGCTGGAGCGGTGGCTGCCCGGCCACGGCCCTCTTCTGCTCTTGCAGAGCCTTGTGGGACGGCGGCGTGCGCACCTTCCGCTCTGCGTGGCTGGGCCCCCAGCCCTGCCTGGCTGGGGAGGTGCGGGTGAGGGAGCCTCCCCTCACCCGGTTTGGCACAGCCCTGTTCACATTTCAGCAGCTGAGGCTTTAACGTCCCCCAAACCACCGGCGGGCAACTCCACTCGGGCACTTCTCTGGCATTGCGTGGCGGCCAGAAGCAAGAAGGGGCTCAGCACCCAGCCCCCTCCTGGGCCACAGCCACGGCTGTGCTGGCCGGAGAAGGTGGGCACGAGGCCCAGCATCCCTGGAGCATGCCAGGCCCTGGCCCCCAGCGGAGTCATGCTGAGTGGGAAGGGGCCCCCCGTGCCCCCCCGGCATGTGCAGGGCCGTGCCCGGCCAGACCCCTGCTGATCACCCCCTTTTGTTCCCCGCTGCAGGCAGCCGGAGGCAAGGAGTGCTCGGGCGCCCCTCCGCTCAAGAGGTTTTGCGCGGACCAGAGCGCCACCTGCCACACGGCCTCGGAGAGCTAGCTAGGCTTGCACTGCCCCCTCCCCTCCCCTCCCCTCGCCAGATGCCTCCTCCAAGAGCCGCCCTGCTCCCCCGTTCCCGCAGACCCCCGCCCAAGCTGCCGGTCTGGCTGGAAGCTGCCCTCCCTTTTCCTCCGTGTCCTGGATGTGCAATGTCCTCCGAGAGTCGCCCTGCCGCTCCCTCCAGACGCCGGCTCCCCCCGCCATTCTCCACGCGGCAGGGGCCAGCCCCCCAGCTTGGTACGCCTGGGGGTGGAAGGCTGCAGCTGCACTTGCATGCCTTGTCGGAGAGACCCCCTCGGGAGCCCGGGGGGCTGCGGGGCAGGAGGCCGCCATGGGAGCGGGGAGGGAGCAGCAGGGACAAGGCAGCCCTGTGGGAGGTCACTCAGGGCTTGATGGGACCCTAACTGGGATTCTGTGCAATAATTGTGGGGTCAAGCCATTTGCCTCGGGGGGCCGGCGAGGCGCCTGCAGGCTTGGAAGGCCTCGGAAGCGACGGCTCAGCTGCCTCCGGCAGCCGAGGGCTCTCCCGCAGGAGGACGCAGGGAGGCCTCACCTCCAGAGGCCCCCCAGCATCCTGCCTGCTCAGCCAGCCCCCTCCAGCCACCAGGGACGGGGCCTGCCCCCTCGAGCCCCGCGGCTGCCCACCTCCCCACCCTCTGGTCTCTGCAGACCCTCCTGCTCGCAATCTGCATGTGGAATCGAGTTTGTGATCGAGGCCCTGCTGTGGCGCAGCACACCGGCCACCCGGGGCAGCAAAGAGATATTTTCGCACTGAAGAGAATATTTTTTAAAATTAAACTATTTGAAATAGAGCATGTGTGTGGGAGAGCGTCTCTCTCGGGGTTGGAGCCCTCTCTCTGGGTGCAGCGCGCCGTGACCTCCACCAGGACCAGGCTGTGCCTCCCCGCCCCCCATTCAGACGGGAAAGGCGTAAGAGCTGTGCCAGGCCTTCTGCGTAGGCCCACGGGGCGCTGCCCCTCGGGAAGCATCTTTGATGCGTCTTTGATGGGGCAGGACAGGCACGGGAGCAGCAGGTCTTCCTGGCCGCATAAGGCAGCCGTCTGGCCTACGGGAGGCGGGGGTGACGCGCCGGGGCCCAGCCTGCCAGGACATTCCCCTGCGGCACAGGACTGGCGTGAGCCCCGTTTGGGGCAGGAGAGCACAGCCTGCAGGAGAGGCAGGTGCCTGGAGGAAAGCTTCAGGCCACTTCCCTGCCGTGATGGTTGGGCCAGAAAGCCGGTTCCAGTCCCTCCCTGGTCACGCACGCGCACCAGGCGGCTCCAGCAGGTCCCGGACCCTCAGCCTGACTTGCGAGAGCGTTAGGGGAATGAAGGGATGGCGAGGATTGTGGGAAGACGAGGCAGGATAGAAATGGGATGTCTTCAATTTTAAAATCTTGGGCCAGCCTGAGCTTCGCCAGCTGGGAATGGTTGATCACTTTTTGCAGAAGCCTCCCCCCAAACCACAGGTGGCAGTCGCCTTCTTCAGGATTCGGGGTGCTTTACGACCTGGGGGGCTCCAGGGCGTCAGCGCTAAGTAATCGGTGCCCTTCTCTGCCTTTTCTCTCCACAACAAGCTCTATGTGGCAAGGAGGCAAGAAGCGGAAAATATGGAAGACCAGAACCGAGAGGCACCTCTGCTCATGTTCACTTCCCTGCATGGGGCAGGAACCCGGGAGGGTGGGGGGTTTGCAGATTCTGCCTGCAGTGCCTCTCGCCCCTCTCGGAAGGATCATTTTCTTTGCTGAGAAATGTGCGCAGATTTAAGCAATTAGTCGTTTCGAGTTTATGCAGTCGGGCAACATGGCAACCTGGTGAAGAAACGGGGGCGGTTGCTTCACCTGCACTAAGCCTCATTGGCAAGGTGGGGCTTGTTATCCATGAAGAGAACCTGGGGTTGATTTCCAAGCCCCCCCCCCCCCCCACATGGGAAGCTGCAGGCCACGAGGGTAAGCAGCAGCCTGGCCCGAGGAGCAGCCAGCACGGGCGGACAGGGCAGGCGCGCCACCGGCGCCTCTCCCAGCCCCTCCGCCGGCCAGAAGCCCAGTTTGCTGCTGCAGGTGAACTGCGGGTTGCCCACCGGGCCCTGTCGCCTCCGCCGGCTCCAACAGCAATCCACGCTCGACGCCTGGCTTGAGGGGGACTGAAGGCCGTGCAGCAACTCGGAAGGGGACTTTTGCAGGGGTGCGGGCGAGGTTTCTGTCTGGGAACCCACAGCCTGAAAGCTCGGTAGCGGGCAACTCTGCAGGACCGCGGGCGGCAGCGCGGGCTGGCTGGCTGGCTCGCTCGCTCGCTCGCAGCGGGGGCCCCACTCGGCAACAGCGGCGCAGCTCTCAAAGGGGCCCGCGCGCACCGCATTTTCATCGCGCCCCGGCTTCGCGCCGCCCTCCGGGCTTGGCCGGCCGCCGGGCCCCTCCGGCCGCGCGGTTGCTGGCGGCAGCGCACGGTGCGCAGGCCGGCCGCCCCTCACGCGGCTCCGGCGGGCGCGCCTCCCGAGCGGGGCGCCAGGGGTCGCTCTCGCTCTCGCTCCCGCCGCGCCCCGCCCCGCCCCGCCCCGCGCGTCCGGGGAGACGCGGCCGCGGGCGCCATGGCGGAGGTGGCGTGGGGCGAGGACGCGGGCGCGGCGGTCTACCGCTCCCGGGACCCCGTACGCAACTTGCGCGTCAGGTCGGTGCCCGTCCGGCTCGCAAGGGAGCGGGCGCCCGGCCGAAGGGTCGGGGCGCAGCCGGGGGGGGGGGGGCGCCCCGGCGCCCCCCGGGTGCTTTGGGCCAGAGGTCCCCTAATCCTCGGCCGTTCCGGCTGCGGGATGGGAGCTGTAGTCCTACAAATCCAAAAAGTAATGGACTTGAGACGCAAGGGGTCTCAAGAGCGTAAGGGTGCGATGTAGGCAGGTTTTGGCCAGCTTGTGCTGACCAGGGAGCTGCAAGATTTTCCAGCCTTTCATAGATATATCTTGCTGTCTGAATGTGCCTAGGTCTGCAGAACTGATATAAGTGTGCAGAGGATTGCGCCCTAAACGTGTGCAAGGATCGCAGCACCAGCAGTCTAAAGAGAGGCCAGGGTAGCCCATGCCTTTCTTCTTGCAAGCTGCAGCAGGGTGCGCCGTCTCAAAAGTGAATAGAATAATGAACTTTTCAGACCATGTGTTTACTTATTCATTTATTTATAAGATTTATACCCTGTCTTTTTTCTTACAAAGAACCCAGCAGCTTACAATACTCTCCTCCAGCTTCTCCCAATGTTTCCCCACAACAACCCTGCAAAGTAGGTTGGGCTGAGAGTCTGAGACTGGCCCAAAGTTCCCCAGTTGGCTCCATGGCCGAGCGGGGACTAGAAGCCAGCTTGCCTGAGTGCCAGACCCGTGTTCTTAGCCATGGCACTACACTGGCCTAAGGTGGTTAACGGCCACAAAGCATGGACTTAAAATCCAACTGAAGAGCAATAAAATACAGAGGACCGAATGAGGAGGCCAGCAGAGGGAACTGCCCAGCAAGTCATTTGATGGGCTTACAGCCTGTTTGAATGCAAGCATCTTTGTTCCATCAGCCAGAGCCCCTTTGCAAGCTGGTTTAGAGCAGAAAGGTGATTTCCAGGTGCCCTGGCCACCCACACCTACCCTTCCTGACCTTTGGCCACCGTAATGGGGGCTTCTGGGAGTGGCAGTCCCGACCTAATGTCTGCTCAGCCCTCTTCTGGGTGACCCACTCCGAAGCGGCAAGATAATTCCTCCGTTTACAGTCACAGGCCTGCCGCTGCAGGTCCGTCCTGGGCCCAGGGTGGTCCCCTCTGTCCCCGCAGATCCATGCTTGTAAAAACTTCTGCCGTAATCGTTGTTCTGGAGGGTGCCGTAAGCCTTCCTGCTTTTGCTCCCCCCGCCCCCAGTTGCGGTCGCTTGTCTCTGGCTTCTCCCCAGGCATCATGATGCCTGTTTCTTGGGCAAGCGCTACGCATGGCTTTCCTTTTCTCCTCCCTCCCTGCAGGGTCTGCCTCCAGCGGGTGACCTCCACCAGCCTCCTGCTGCAGCAGCTCCAGCAGCCCTTCTGCCCCCCCGGCCGGCAGCTCGTCGGCTTGGCCACCCTCGGCCCTCATGGCCCGACAGGTGAGTGCCGCAGCCCTTGGGGGTCCCACGTGGTGGCACAGAGCTGCCGCCAGGCTGGCTGTTCCCACAGAGCGGACACCCTGCAGGCGTTTTGAATGACTGCCCCGGGATACCAGACCATCATCCAGGTTGGCGGGGGCTGATGGGAATTGAGGACCGAACCACCCAGAGGGCTCCTGTTTTGAGTCGACTGCCATAAAACCAGCAGACCATCTCTTTGGCACCAGTTCTTAATGAGATTCCTTCCCCCTTCAGCCAAAACATCCCCGTGTGTCGCATTCTCCTACTGGTTAAACCAGGCACCTCGATCGCAACACTCACAGATGCGAAGCACCAACAGCCACAGCATCTCCGGGGGACCCACGTAGCTCTTCCCTCTGGGATCCCCTTAAAAAAAGATTGGTAATAAAAATGTTAGGGCTTCGAGCTCCTGAACCTGGTGCTTTGCGGGCAGGAAGAGGAAGCAAGGCAGGGAAGTGAGAAAGGGCGAGGCTGGAGACGGGCAACAGGCGAGCACTGCGTGGGCACGCCAGGAGGCATGTCATTCCCTGCCTGTCTCTGGCCGCACTCCCTCCTTCCGTCCCCGAGCCCTGTCCTCCGCGCACCCCGCCCTTGATCAGCCAGGGCCCCGCGGAAGTCGCCAGCTCCTCTGTGGGAGCCATTTTGCAGGGGTTCCCACAGCGGCTGCGGCCGTTCCCCAGTGCGCCCGAGCTCAGGTGCTGCCGTGCTTCGTCGGCTCATCGACCTGCCATCTCTGAGGCTTTGACTTGGGTCACGAGGTTCCACAGGTGAAGAAAGCGTTTCATCAGTTCACACGGTCCACACACTGAGAGACCACAGCGGGGGGCCGTGCCAGCCCCTTGAGTGCTACAGGCAGCAGTTCGGGGATGCGCGCCAGTGAGACCCCCGCCTTACCTCCCCCAGTGGCACACTTGCCGCTCTGGGGCTGGCGGTGACAGGCAGCCAGGTTTGGTCCAGGACAGCCTGCTGCCGATGCCCTCCGATCCCGGAAAAAGTACTTTGCTGCTTCCTTCACGCCAGGTCCAAGATGGCCCACAATCCAGGGCAGCCTCCTCCTGCAGGAATCCTGGGTGTTCCTACAAGAGGCCGTGTTTTCTCCTTTGGAAGCAAACGCACCTCTTTGTTTCTGTCTCCCCACTCATGTCTCACCCCTGTTGGCTTGATAAAGGACAGTGCGAAAGGACTGCTTACCTGATCCAGCCATTACCCCCTACCTTCAGTTGGTGCAGAATAGAACTGCCAGGCTGCTGACGGGGACTGGGCGTTGTTCTCATATAACCCCAGTTCTCCGTCAGCTCCACTGGCTCCCGATTGAAGTCCGGGCCCAATTCAAGGTGTTGGTTATGACCTATAAAGTCCTCAACAGCCTGGGTATCTAAAGGAACGCTTGCGTCCATATATGCCCTCCCATCCCTTGAGATCAGTTACAGATGCCCTTCTCTGGGAACCCTCTGTGAATGATATTGGGAGGGTGAGTACCCAGAGGAGGGCCTTCTCTGCGGTGGCGCCCCATCTATGGAATGCGCTCCCCAGAGAGGTCCGCCTGGCGCCATCATTATTTGTTTTTCGGCGCCAGGCTAAGACCTTTTTATTTAAAACTCATTTTAATTGTTAATTGTATTTATAGGATTTTAAATCTTTTAAGCCAAGATGCACTGGGTTTTAATATTTTTACTGTTTAATTGTTATATTTATGTATTTTGTTTTTGTTGTGAGCCGCCCCGAGGCTTTGTTGCGATGGGGGCGGCATAAAAATGTAATAAATAAATAAATACCTGTGTTTCAGATGACAGTTGCATTGAGGAAGAGAAAGAGGAGGCTATAATTGGCTGGCAAGAGAAACTGTTCAGCCAGGTGAGAGCTGAGCGAATGTCTGTGATCCCGATTTCGTTGATATTTGTGACATTCCTGTGGGGAAGGCCAAGCTGAGGGCCAGCCAGTCAGTTTCATGTCTAAATGGCCAAATGGTGAATTGACTCCAGGCCTCCTTCATCCAAGGATGCTGTGCTTGCCCCGCAGAGCCCCGGCACACGTTCCCGGACGGTCTTTGTGCGCCGTGAGGTCTGGTGCTTCCTGTGTGCCCACCTCCCCCAGGAGCGCTTCTGTGGCAGGGGCTCCCAGCTGCTGAGCGCCTCCACCCCCTTCTTGGAGGACAGGGCTGCATCTTCCCCAGCGGGAGCTCTTCCTGAATAGCATGAGAGCTGAACCTCTTTCAGCTCAAGAGTCAAATTTGGTTTCAGAAACAATTTTGGGGGCCACATTGCAGCAGTGGGTGGGGCAGAAGAGGCGAATTTTCTAATGATCGGGAAACAGGCGAAGCTTTGGTCCCAAGTGGGCGGCCTTGATGCCCAGCTCAGCCGTTCCACGCCCGACTTGCTTCAGAGGAGTGTCGGTGCAGCCCAGGGTGGCTGATGCCAGGAACGCTGGGAGCTGCAGACCTGCTCATTGAGAGGGCGGCGGGTTGTGGGGAAGCCTGACCTAGAGATTCTCAAATGCAGTTCTTGTTCAGGGGACTGGGGCGTTGCGGGGCATTGTGCCTCCCCCATTAGAGCTTTCTGTGCTCTGCTCAGTTTGAAGTGGATCTCTACCAGAATGAGTCCGCCTGCCAGAGTCCTCTTGACCACCAGTACCATCAGGACGTGCTGAAGCTGGAAGGGTCAGGGAGGCGGACAAACACCCGGATCTTCACGTACACAGACCACGACCGCTTCACCAACCTGGAGGAGGTGCCTGCCTACTTCTTCAGGGGGTTAGGACAGGGATGTGATTTATGACCCCCTTTCCTGGTGGCACAGAATGCAAAGTTTGCCTACTGAGTTTCAGCAACAGGACGGAAGGAGTCGCTCATTTCAGAAAAATAAGAATAGAACCGGGCAGCTTGCTTTTTGCTGCCTTATGAATTGCTGCGCCTTTCTCTGTGTTTCCTTTGCATCGCAGCTTCTTGAGAGGCACTTTCTTCCTGTTTTACAGACAAAAGGAAGGAAAATTGATGTTTGTATTTTAACTTAATGTTGTGAGCCGCCCCGAGGCTTTAGCAAATGGGGCGGCATAGAAATGTTTTAATAAATAATAATAAAATAAATAAATAAAAATTAGGGAGCAAGAGGGTAATTTGACAAAAGCTGCCCGACAAGTTGTGGCTTGGTTCATACATAACACTAAGCTATGGCTTAGATTGTTGAATTCACGTGTGTCCAAATTTGGAAGGGTCCCCATGCAAATACTTGTGGCTTCTTAGCCATGAACAATCCGGAAGGACAGCCGAGATTTGTTCTTTGGTTATAATCTCTGGATTGTCTAAACCGTGGGGGGCTTTGGTATATTAACTCAGAATTGTGGGCTGTTTGGGGGTCATTCTGCCGAGCCACAGACTGTACTGGGCTGAGATGGGGGGTGGGTTGTCGCGTCTGCCTCAAGCACAGGCTGGGGAGAAGCACAACCAGCCCTCTCTGCCTTCCAGCACTGCCAGAAGGTGACCACATCTGGGAAGGAAGTGCCGTCGTACTTGACGGAGAGGATGGCCAACGTCAGGAGGCGGCGGCAGGAGCGCCAGCCAACGTGAGCGGAATCCTCCTTGCTGGCCACTCCAGACCCTGGCGGGCCCCAGCCCCTTGGCTGCTCCCACAGAGGGGGCCGTTCCTGCCGTGCGTGACCTCTCCCATCCCTCTGACAGAGAAGGGGGTGCCCTGAAATCCCGCCTCATCACCTGGCAACCCTCGGAAGAGTTCATCAAGAACAACCATGTCATCAACACCCCTGTGCAGACCATGTACATCATGGGGGACTTGGGACCCCCTGGCAAGTAAGTCAGCGGCTGCTGCCCCATCTCTCTTCCCCCACTGTCCCTGTCCGGCTTCCACAAGCTCAGGGAAAGTAATCGGCTCGCCTTGGAGACTAGGCCGCGGCAACCAGCAGCCAGGCCAGGGGCTTGAAGGAGGCCTCCGACCTCCAGGAGATCCCTGGCAGATCTAAGGCCGAGGGCGCATCACAGGTGAGCAGAGGCAGAGGGCAGCCTGGACCCTGGTTGGGGGGTGGGCAGTGCTGCCCTGCTGCCGGGGTCAGGTGAAGCGGGTGCGGAGGAGATGCAGAGGGCTCCTGCCTGGGCACCACCGTCTGCTCGGGCACTGGGTTCCCGCAGCCGTTTGCGGGCTGCCTTGGCTGGCCGAGGGCTCTCAGAAAGGAGCTGCACCCACACGCCCGGCAAAAGTGCCCCGACTGGCCAGCCCCCCGGGAGCTGGGAGCCAGGGCTGCTCTTTGACCCGCTCTCCCCACAGGCTTGGTTGCAAAGACTGCGAGCACGTCCTCTGCACAATCAGGGCGGACAGCAACGGCGTCATCACGGTCAAGCCAGACTTCACTGGCACGAAGGGCCCGTACAGGTAGGTCCGTGGTGTGCAGGCCAAGGCCTCTCCGGGTGAGGGGAGGGGCTGCTTGTGGGGAGGAGCTTTCCTCTCAGTCTTTCCCCCGTGCTCTTTTTGGCTGAAGGATCGAAACGGAAGGGGAGAAGCGGGACATGTGGAAGTACACGCTGGAGGATGCCTCGGCCCACTTCCAGCAGGAGGCGGCGGCCCAGGAGCAGCGGGTCTTCAAGGACGTAAGGCTGCGGTCCTTTGCCCTGGAGGGGAGAGGCGTTTCTGCGGGCTGAGCTCGCTGCCCTTCGGTCCGGAACGGGAGCCCAGTGCCGGCGGCTGCGTCCGCCCGTCTCCGCAGGCCTCGGGCATGCTCCTCAGGGCACTGTCGTCTACAGGCGTGGAGTCGAGCCTTGCGCTGGGCACACGGACTTCCGGGCATCGTCAGTCGACTCCCCTGCGCTCGCCAGGGCCACAGTGCTGCCCGGGATGGGCGGCCCTCTTGGGCTCCCGGTCTGGCCGCGTCTGGCTGCTCTTCTTCCGATGTGCCAGACCGCAGCCCCCCGTCCAGCTCTCGGCCTGATTGGCCTCGTAGCCTGGCACATCGGGAGGATGTCCCCTGGGGAGGGTGGGGGGGGCAGTCAGGCCTCCTTAGTGAAATGCTGGTCTTGTGCAGGCATAGAAATGTAATAATAATAATAATAATAATAATAATAATAATAATAATAATTTTTTTCACCCCTGCCCATTGGAACCCAGTGGACTTCCATAGCGCTTCCAGTCCAGGAAATGGGATTTTGAAAATCCCAGCCAGAATTTTCAGTTTGCGGGGAGGGGTTCAGGAGAACAGAGCTGCATATTTTCAGCGTCATTTGCATAAATACAGATTTGCTCAAATGGGGTCTGAAACTTCAGTTTTGCATAAAGCATTTGCCCTGTTCTTAATGTTTTAGCAGTCCCTCATCTAACTGCTGGTCCAGGATGTTTCCTTAGTAAAGAACCACCTCAGGTGCCTCTGGTTCGTCCCACTGCTTCCTGGGTAGACCTTGCTTCACATGAAACGGGCCATTGCCAATTTTGTCCAGATTTTTTAAAAAGCAAAACTGGGGAAAGCTGCACAAGTTGCAGCACTGAAAACCTGCACACATTGCCTGAGCACAAATTGCAGCTTGTTTTAAACGTGGACATCTGTGTGCTGGCTCAGCTTATGCTGAGGAAGTACTGAGGGTCCAGGTGGCTGACGTGGGAGATGTCAGGGTTCCACCTGCAGGGGGCGCCTTGCAAAGCGCACCGTCAGCTGGCCTTCAAGGCACTGCACTGCGTTCAGGGTCGTCGTCATACAACGGGCAACCCTCCTACCGCCTGCTCGGCCGGTGCAGAGCATCTGCCGGAGTCCCACGGCACCCGCGACGCCACGGCGTTGCCTGGGATCTCCCACAGCAGCAGGAGCGCTCCCCTGGTCGCTGTCCCCTCGGACGGCTCCCCTACCGCCTGCGCTTCCTTCCTTAGCTGTACAGCCGCCACAAGGAGCACCTCAGCAGACTCGTTGGCTCCGACTTTGAGATGGTGAGTGGCTCCTGCTGGAATGACTCTGTTAAGGCAGACCCCCCGGGTTCGGGGCTGGGGAGCTGGAGAACCGGCGGCCCTGCTGGGCTGCGCAGGCCCGCACAACTTGACCAGCTGCGAAGCTGCCCCGAGAGCGGAGCTCTCCGACCGTTTGTGCACAGAGCTTGCGTGCTGCCGAGGGGCCAGCCCACCTGTCCCTGACCCGCTGGGCTGCGAGCTGCGGCGGCCCAGAGAGCAGTGCAGAGCGTCGGAAACAACCGACACGGCTTGTGCGTGTCGCCGGGCCCTGCCACCGAGGCCGCGGGCAGAGAGCACAAGCGCCCTCCTGCAGCCGCTCCACCTCAGCTGGACGGCTCCCGTCTGAGTGGCAGCAGAGCGCAGAGTAGTCTGCGGGGAGGGCAGCGGGGCTGTGGCACCCCCTGAGCATGCAAGAGGGAGGGGGCCCGCAGCTGCCTCGTCTCGGGTCGGGCCTCCGGCTCCTCTGATGCTGCGTCGTGCGCAGCCCTGGCCCGGGAGCCAGACATGGCCCTGCGAGATGCCCAGGCGGACCGGCCTCTGCCCCCGCTCACCAGCCGTGCAGACGTTTTCTCAGGTTTTGCCAGCGATCTGTGTCCGTCGTCCCCAGAGGCCGAAATGCTGTTTTTGAGCCTTTGCTGTGGGCCAGAAGCACTTCGTCGTTCCCGAGCTTGCTGGCTCGGGCGCTTGCCCCACGTGTCCTCTGGAACGTGGTCCCGGAGAGCCTCTCCAGGCTGGGGAGGGCAGGAGGCTTTGCAGCCCCCATCTGTGGCTTCCCACAGTCTCGCCCGGGGGGTCTTGCCGTCGACTTCCGGAGCCCCCTGAGCTGGAAGTGCCGGGCCTTCCGTGGCGACCCCCCACCGCTGAGCTCCACTCTCTCCGCCTCTTGCAGACCCCCCCAGGCACCCTCCGGCTCGTTGTTAACGGCGAAATCGGTAAGAGGCTTGGCCATGGAGGGCTGCCCGCCTCCCTCCCTCCCACGGGGGAAGAGTGCCTGCAGGTGGCGGGAACGCATTCCAAGCCGAGCCACCTGGGAACTGGCCTGGCCTGGCCTCCCTTGAGAGTGGCACACGGCTTGGGGGGGGCGGGGACCCCCCCCGGGCTGGCACTTGGGGGGGCTGCTGCCAGCTGTGCTCCACCCTTGGCGTGGCTTCGGCCGCTCCAGCGTGTCCGTGGGGCGGGCTGGCGGTCCCGGCCAAACAGTCCTCGGTGCCTCCCCCGCCCTGGGCTGGGGAGAAGGCCCGTTTGCTGCAGGCTGCGGAGATCTGGGGGTGGGCGGCCATGGAGCAGGGAGTTTCTCAAGCCCCTGCGTGGGCTCCTCTCCCCCCCCCCCCCAGTTTCAGCCCAGGGCTACGAGTACGACAACCTCTACGTCCGCTTCTTCGTGGAGCTGCCCGACTGTGAGTGAATGGAAACTGGGCCAGGACAGGGCGGGAGCAGCAGCCCCTGCTGAGCCCGCCGGCCCCCTGGCAGGGGGCCCGAGGCTGGGTGGCGCCCTGGGCCTGCCAGGGGAAGAGCCCCTTCGTGCCGAGCCCGGAGCTGCGCGGGCCTGGCCGCTCTTCCCCTCCCGCCCTGAGCTGCTTTCTTGTGCGCTCCACTTACGGGTCGCTCCTCTCCTTCCGCACCCGTTTCCCGGGAAGGTCCGGTCTTGGCCTGCCGAGGGGCCCCTGGATAACCGGGCCCCGCTTTCCGGAGCCAGGAGCAGAGGCTCCCGAGGGCAAAGCGTCCTTGCGCAGGGGCCCCGCAGATGCTCCCGGAGCGAGCGAGGCGCTGCTCTGTGCGTGGCGGCAGCCCTGGCCCAGCTGGGCAGCCGCGGCCTCGCGTGCTGGGGCATCGCCGCTTCCCAGTTCTTCCCCACCTCCCACCCTGGCCCGTCGGTCCCTTTCCTCAGCCTCGCTGAGCCTTTGCCTCGCTTGCCCCTAGGCTGGTCGTGCCCGCCATCCCAGCCGCTCTCGGGGGTGACCCAGACCTGCGCTGCCCAGGCCTGTGGCAGGGTAAGTGGGCAGCTGTGGTGTGCGGGCCGGCGGCCGAGCCGCAGTCCGTGCGGGGTGGCTGAGTGCGCACTCCTGGGCGGGCAGCGGGTGGCGGCCCTGCCCGGCTCTCGCCACAGAGAAGAGCCGTGGGCGCCCCGGGCATTTTGAAGGGGCCTTCCCTGACCTGGTGTCCTTTGGCTGGGGGAGGATGGGGCTGTAGGCAGCCGGCTTGCAAAAGGATGCTCTCAAATGCTCGGTCTGTGAGCCGGCTGGCCTTGCTCCAGGCAGAGACTGACCTGCTTTCCGTCCCCAGGACAGCGTGGCCTTTTTCTCCTTCCCTTTCACCCTGGATCTGTTCTTTGCGCCAGGAAACCATGCAGAAGGTGAGCACAAGGGGAGGGGATCCGCCTGGGAGGGGATCTGGGCACGGGCAAATCCGGACAGCAGCCTGGGGTGGGGGGAATACCGGGCGGCTTTCTCCACACGAGCCCCGCTGCGGGGAACGGCGTGACGGAGGCGCGCCCTGTGTGGTGTGGCTGTGCCTCCGGCCAACCTGCCTGTGAGTGAGGGGGTCTGGCCAGCGCCTGGAGGCCGCCGCTGCCGCCCCCACCATGGTTCTCCCCCCAGGAGCCGGCAAACTGCAGCTTTTGGCCTCTCCTTTCCCTAGGCACCTTCCCCCAGTGGCCTGTCCTCTACTTTGAGGTTCTCTCCTTGGATTTCTGGCAGCGGTACCGCGTTGAGGGCTATGGGTTCGTGGTACTGCCGGCAACGCCAGGTAAAAGGGCTGGGGGCCACGGAGCCTGGCGTTTGGGCCTGGGGGCCGAGTGAGCCGCCACAGCTCGTGATTGTGCTCGTGGCACGGCTTCGTCAAGATCGGGGCCCGGCCCGGTCGTCTCTTCAAACGCCCGGTTCAGCCACCCTCGGACCTCCTCCTGCGGGAAATCTTGCGCAAGTGTGCATGCAGAACGGATGGCAATCATTGGTGCTGCAGCAGTGTCAGTGTCTGAAAAACATCAAGGCTTGGGAGGCGGGGTGGGAAGCACAAGCTGATGCAGCGCCCAGGCAGAGCCGCGCGTTCCTTCGATGGGGGGATGCGGTGGGAAGCTGCCGAGCCGCCGGCACCCGCCTGCAAAGGGTCGGGCGTCTCCCGTTTCTCCAGGGCCTTTCCTGTCCTTGGCCGGCTTGCGTAGTCAGCACCGCCTTGTTCGCATCTGTTCAGAGCAGGTTCCATTCTCGGGAGGCGCCTTCCAGTATCAGAGGAACTACGCCTCTGTGCCCCAGTTGCTGGGGCACATGGGGGAGGGGGTTCTGCACACATGTCCTGCTTCTGGGTTTCCCATGAGCTGCTGCTTGGACCCTGTGGGACGGAACACTGGCTAAGACGGGCCTTCTGTGGTCTGATCCAGCAGGGCGTGCCTTCTGTTCTCACGGGGTTTGAGTGCTGACTCTTCACTCTGAGCTCCTTGGGAGGAAGGGCCGCATAATCTGGGACTGACGAGGGTTCCCTCCGGCACTGACCCCGCTGGATTAGGAATCCCGCATGCGTCTGGCAGGCGGAATCCCCCTTGCTCCTTCCTGGCTCCTCCAGGCCTGGAGGGGAGGAGGCCGTGGCGGCCCCCAGAGCGGGAGAGCCCTCCTTGGCTTGCACCCCCAGGGACGCCGCCTCTTCTGGGCTGCGTCGGCCAGCAGGCTGCTCCAGGGCTCGGGCAGGAGCCAGCTGGCCAGGGTCGCTCACAGGTACCCTTTGGCCGCCCCCCCGGGGGCACCAACCACCCTGCTGGCCAGGCGCACGTGTGCCAGGCGGCTCCCCGACCCACTTCAGCGCCTGTGGCGTGCCTTTTTCCCCCCCGCGACTCAGGAGCTCACGTCCTGGCGGCTGCCACGTGGCGCCCTGTGCGGCCCGGCACCTTCTCGGAGCTGCAGAGGTTCTTCATCGGTGGGTCGCCGGAGCTCGAGGACACAGCCTACGTCAGGGTGCCGAGCACGTTCACCGTGAGTGTTTGCAGCCTTCGTAACAGCCAGAGGGGAGCCCAGGGAGGGAGTGGAGGAAAGTGGCCGGCGGCCGCACGGGCGCTTCAGACTGGGCCTCTTCCTCCCTGCAGGGCGACCGCCTGAGCCGCTTCGGCTTCCGCACCGAGACAACGGGCTGTGTGACCTTCCGGCTCCACTGCCTGCAGCAGTCCAGGTAAGCTTGGCTCGGGGGGGCCGGGGGGCACCCCGTTTGGGCCTGCTCGCTTGCAGCCGGGCCGCACCCTTTCTGTGATGCTCGCGGCCTGGCGGCTGCCTGCACAGCAGAGAGGGGGAAGCCACGCCGACGCCACTTCTGCGCCTTTCAGCTGGACGCTGGGGGTGCTCAGGAGGCCCCCCATCCTGACCCCTACCAGGACTCTTTCCCAAAGGGTTGCTTGGCACTGCTTGTCTGGAGACCCGGGAGGGGGCCAGATGATGGCGCCCTTCAGTCCAGCCATTTGGGTCCCTTCCTGCCTGAGGACAGGTCTCCTGGGCACCAGGGGTCCCCGCCGCCTTACTCAGGGGCTTGCTGCGGCGAGGCTGGTGGGGGAGGGCAGCAGGGACTCCTCCGCCCCAGCCAGAGGGAGCCCCCGCAGGCCAAGCAGGAGGCTGCTGGGGGCTGGGGCACCCCATCCCTGCCGCGGGGCGAGGGCGGGGCTGCTCCAAGCTGCTGCTCTCAGCCCAGAGGGCGCCGCGTGGTTCTGGACCCTGCAGCGCCTGGCGGGGCGCCTCTCCGTGCCCAAGGACGCCCAGGCGCCGTTGGAGGCCTCCTCCGAGCCCCCTTCCTCTGAGGAGAACTTGGTGGGTGCTCTGCCCCCGAGGGCCGCACGGTGCCAGCGCTGTCATCTCTTTGGTGCCTGGACAGGACAGCTGTCTTCTCCCAGGAACTGAATGGCATTTAAAGCCACGGTGGGCAGACTTGTTTTTAATGGCTGAGGCCCCATCGGGGAGGGTGTTCAAGGACAGGCTGGACTTCCACATGATAGGCATGTCATGAGCTGAGCCAGCTGGAGCCGGGGGTCAGACTAGATGGCCTGGGAGACCCCTTCCAGCTCACTCTGGTTTTATGTTTTTGAAACATCTGGTTTGTATTGCAACTGATGTGGCTGTTAAGCCATCTTAAAATGTTGTATATTGGAATTTTTTTCCAGTTGTGTGTGTGTTTTATTTTTTAATTTATACAAGCTTTTTATATACCGTTTTCCATAGCCAATTCGGCTGTCAGAATGGTTTATTTTACTGCATATGTGGTCTGTGTTTTTTGAATTCTTGTGAACTGCCTGGAATGGTCCAGCCTTCATGAGGAATAGAAATGCAATGGAGTGAAACTGGGGTGGCAGGGAAGGGGTGTGCCGGGCACTCCTGCAGCCGCCGGGGCCCTGGGAGCACCAGGAAAGGTGCCTGGCTGGTGCACCCCTGGCCTCGATCCACCGGCGCCACGGCCTGCGCCACCCCAGCTCTGCCGTGGGCAGGCGCGCGTGGCCAGCGGGGGTGGCAGGAGGAGCCTGAGTCGTCCTGAGGGGAGCAGGTTGGGGGGGGCTGCCGAGGCCGGCGGGCGCCACAGCAGCCCCCTTCAGAGTGCGCGCATCCGACCGAATAAGACGCCTAAATATTTTCCTGCTGGCCTCAGACTAGGAGCCCATCCAGAGCGGCATTCCAGCTTCCTGGTGTGCTTCTGGGAAGCCCATGTGTGGGCCCAGGATGGGGCAGCCCCCCTCCAGGGGCTCTGCCTGCATGTTGTGCTGGTGGGGGGGGGGGGGGCTCTTGTCTCTGTCCAGGGCTCTCGAAGGAGAAAGAAATGGGCTCTTCTCCCCACACATGCGTGGGGCTGCTGCCTTCTTTTGACAGGGCCTTCCTGGAGTCCCGCTCCATGAGGAAGCGCATGCAGAGCGTCCCGGACCGGCTGGGCAGCTTCGGGCAGCAGGACTCCCTCTACAACGTCCTGGGTACGTGGAGGGTGTGGAGGGGCAGGTGGTTTAATGGATCACGCTTCAGTAGACGTTCTCCCTCGATGAGTGAGGGCTCCTCTCCTGCTATACGCCTCCTTGGAGGCTTTTGGATAAAACCGTCAGTAAAGGGCACTTGGGTCTACTTGTCTATGGACCAACAGCGTAGCCTGCCTGCTCAGCACGGGTTGGACTTTCCAGGAAGTGTGGTGTTAGATTCCCCTTTGAAGAGCAAGCGGATTGTGATTCTTTCAGCCTTGGGGTTTCTCTGAACAATACAGAGCAAAGCCTTCGCAGCTGCAGGGCAGTGGCCGGAAAAACGGCCCGGAGCAAGACTTGGGGGCACAGAATCCTTGTGCCGCTTCCGTTCCCTTCCAGCTGCTCTAACCCGCTTTGCCTCACCGCCTTGGTTCACCCATTTTTAATTTTCTGTGCCCAGAATTTCCGGTGCAGGATGGGCCTGCGCCCTGTGTCTGGGTAGGGGAGAGTAGCTGGCGCTCGGGCCGCACAAGCATCAACCCCTCCGTTCCTTGGTTGCAGAGGCATTCCAGCGTGCCCGACGCCGGATGCAAGAGGCCCGGGAGAGCCTCCCGCAGGGCCTGATCCACGCATCTGCCCCCACCGGTCGTCTGGCCTGAGGCTGGCTGCCCGGCTCGCTGCCTGGCTGAGCACAGAAGATTCGAGAGACACGCAGAATGCCTCTTCCTCGGTGGAAGAGGCGGCCAAGGGCTCCCCTCTGGGGCCGGAAAATGCTTCCCAGGCCTCGAACTTGCGTTCTGTTCTTGTACGGGGCCTGGTGGGTGTGTCGGGGGGGGGGGGCTACCAACAGGACCATTTTCTCCCAGCAGGAGAGCTGGCACTTCCCTCCTTCCAGCCCCCATGACAGGAAGTAGCAGGCACTCTTTCTTTCATGCTTTCGGGAAGACTAGCCGGCTGGGGCATTCTGGGAGTCGTAGGTCCGTGGAACAGGCCTTTCTCACAGCAAAACAATAAATCGCCATAAACGGAGCTTTTGTCGCCTGCCTCACCAGTCTTTTTATTTTTCGAAGCGTCACCTGCGGAAATGCCCTTTGCCATTTCTCTCTCCGCCGTGAGGCTGCGGCTGCCACCCTTGGGCTTCCCTCCCGCCTGCCCTGCGATGGGGCCCCGGGGCCAGGCCCGCGAGGGTGGCCGGGGGGGCAGTGGGGGGGCCGCCACCCTCCTGTTGCTGGGCGCCCCCGTCTCCCGCTCCAGAGCTGCGTGTGCACTGCTGCGCTTCCCACAGGCCGCCGTGCGGCCACCAGACGCCACCTCTTGCTGCTGGGCCTGGGCCTGGGCCTGGGCCGTGGCCGCCCGGCCTCCCGGTGATGTCACAGAGGCAGCGGCCGCCAGTGGTGGGTCCATTAGCCAAGGCGACGCGGGCTCATCTCGTGGACGCACAACCAGAGGCCCACCTTGATCTGAGAGGCTGGCGCTCGGGGGCAACTTGAGGCAAGAGCAAAGCCCTCGGTCCCTTGCACGGGGAGCAGGATGAGGCCGAGGCCCCCTTTGAGGGTGGGGGAGGGGGCCCGATTCCTCCTCTGCCGTGACGCTGCCTGCAGGGCCCCCTTCCCAGGCCTTGAGGTGCCGGGCTGAGGTCTGCACACGATGGCTCGGCCTGCCACCTTTGCCAGCCTTTGGACGTAGACGCTCCCTCCCTGGAGCCCTTTCGGGGGCTGCACGCACCCGGGGGGTGCCATTGCCGGCACCCCTGCACTTCCGCTGAAAAGCGGCGCATGCGGGGCAGGTGATCGCCTTCCTGGCAGAGCCGTGCTCCCAACGCCCGCTCGCCAACTGGGCCCCCTCCCTCCGTGGCTCCCTCGGTGGAGTACAGGGTGCTTCGGGGAGCTGGTGGGGGCGTGCTGAGCCGGTGCCCTGGCCCGCTGCTGCTCTGGCACCCTTGCGGTCCCCTCGGGCTTGCTCTCCATCCTCCGGGCAACTCCCAGCAGCTCCTGGGGGCTCTGGCTGAGCTGCAGCCCAGCACTGGGGGAGGCCAGGTGGGTGCGACTGAGCACCCTTTGGGGGGGTTGAGCGGTGGGGTGGGGGGTGCAAAGCCTTGCCGTGGTTTCTTTCAGTGCCGCACAGAGAGCACGGATCAGAAGCAGTATGGCTGAAGAGGGAGCTCCCGGCGGCGAGGGCGAGTGCTCAGAGTTTTCGGGGCGATTTATAAGAACGAGAGTAGAGGGAGCCCCAGGAATGAAAGAACAGACCACGGCATGTAGTGCTGCAGCCGACTTCGCGGGTGAGTCTGCCCCCCGCCAGCAATGCTGCTCTGCACCCATGGACCCCCAGAACTCAGAGGGTGCCTCAAAAGGGCCTTCCTCTTGCCCCCTCCAGAGGCACTGGTTAGCAGCCTCCGTCGTCCACAGGAAGCAGGCTGGGGGTGGTGGGAACGGTAGTCCACATCGGGAGGGCTCTGGTGTAAGAATGTGGCTGCCCGTTCCGACGACGGCCTCCCAGTTTGCCTTGGTGCCCGGGGCGTGGAGCTGCCCCCCCCCCCCGGGCACACACGGGAGGCACACGGGGGATGCGGCTCTGTTCTGGAAGAGGCGGCCAGCCGGGTGGCTCTCGAGCTTTAACAGGCCAGATTCTCAGCCTTTACTCGAAAGATGAGGGGGTGAAGCAAGGCTTGGCTTTGCCCGACCCCTCCCTCATTTCAGCCTGTGCTCACTGTTGCTCGGAGGTGCCGGCATCTTCAGACCCGTCATGGGTCCGCCGATCGTTTAAGTTACTTGCTCGGCCAAAGTCCACCTGCTTCTGTGCATGGCCGGGAGGGGCAGGGCAGGGCAGGGCAGGGCCAGACCATCCAAGAGCCCTGAGGGTCCAGGTGGCCCAGCGGTCGCCGTGGCCAGCAGTCGCCCGTGGCTCACCCGCAGTGGCACGCCATGGGGACGAGCCTTTCCTCTCCCACCCATCAGCACGTGGGGGGCACGTGGGGTGAGAAGCAGTGAGAGGAGGGGGGCACCCCCGCCCTCCCATGCCCTGCACAGCTTGGTCTGCTTGCCGGCCACCCCGAGGGGCGAGGGCGCTGCCATGGCCAGGCCTGTCTCCCAGCAGGGAGCCAGGGGGCCGCCTGGGCCATCGTGCCCCCCGGCTCTTGAGACGCGGGGCGGAGCGGTGTGCCCGGCCTGACAGGCTGCCCCGCCGTGTCGCCCCGCCCTCACCTCTGCTCAGGAGGCCTCTGCCCCGTCGGCCGCCTGCTGCAGTCCCCAGAGGCCGCGGTGCCCCGCCTCGTCCACGCAGCTTGCAGCCAGCCGGCCGCCGTGATGCCCGCCCTCGCCGCGGTGCTCCAGCAGGATGAGGTGCGAGGACCGCCGTGGGGTGCTGGCCCGGGCAGGGGTCCCCCAGCCCACGCCCCGCGGGCCTCTTCCAGTCCCGGGGTGGAATTCCACCTTGGCGGAGGAGGAGGAGGAGGAGGAGGGCACGGGCGGTGGGGTGGGCGTGCGAACGGAAGGGGGGCCTGGGCCAGCCTGGTGCCCCGCGAAGGGCAGGCTCAGCACCCGTCGGTCTTCCCCAGGCCTCCCCCTGGCAGAAGGTGGCCATCTACCGCAGCCTCTGGGCCATGCTGGAGCGCGGCCTGGCCGTGGAACCCGCCCAGGCCTTCATCCTCGCGGCCTCCAAGCAACTGAGAGCGTCGCTGGAGGTATGGCCGCAGCTGCCCCCGAGTGGCGGGTTTTCACATCCGTGTGGTTGTTGGGCTGTGCCGTGGGGATGAGCGGCACTCTTTGGACATGCTCAGAAGAACACTGTCCACATGTTTCTGTGCTCATGGAGTTGGTGCAGCACAGGAATGGGTTTCAGGGACTCAGATGTAGCTGCTTCAATCCTGATTCCCCTGCAGCCCATGCAGGACCAAAGATGTGTAGGAAAAGAAAATCAGGTATCCAATTCTCTGCCCCCCGCCCCATCTTCCCTCTCAACTTCCCCCTTCCTTTGAAAAAACATTAATCCTGGGGTGTTGCTTTCTGGACATGGTGACAAATACCATCATATCTCTCCCTCAGTCTACTCTTCTCCAGGCTAAACATGCAGCAATCAATCAATATTTATTGATCAAATTTTCATTTTGGCTTTTTGTTCTACAGCAATTACTCAGTATAGTTTCTTCACCTTCTTAGTCGCAAAATCAGCCATGTCTAATTTTAATGCATAGTTGTTTAAATTTGATGTTCATAGACACGTTAGGTTCTCTCCAGCCAATCTGGAAAGTAAGATTCATCGTCTTGCTCACAAGTTTTGCCCTCTTCATCTTGTCCTTGAAAGTCTCTGCTGCAATTCTTTATTTTATCATTTGTTTCTTAATCGTATGACAATTTAACACTTTAATTCTAAAATAGCAAGAGAAAAAACTCTTCCAAAATTTTGCATAGGGTGAATATTGATACATTAGAGAAAAGAAGAAGAAAGGGTAGACTTTGAATAGAAAAAAAAAGCTAGGAAAAAAAGGGAATGGTGGGCAAGAAATGATCAAATTAGTATATTTTGTGTATATTAAATGCCTGTGTATTAAATTGATTAGAAAAGTAAAAACATAGAAGCAGAGCAAGTAAGGGGGTCCTCCCAGGCCATCTAGTCTGACCCCTGGCTCCAGCTGGCTCAGCTCATGACATGCCTCCCATGCGGATGTCTAGCTTATCTGTACACCCCCGCACCATTTGGGTTTCAACCACCCTCTGTGGAAGTCCATTCCATACCCTCGGGGTTCTAACTGTCAGGAAGTTACAGTTATTAATTATTGTTAGTCCAAAATTAGTATGAGTTAATTTATTAAGAAAGAGATCTAGTGTTCTCTGGTGACTCTGGCTGATTGTCTGTGGATCTGCCAGTCAAACCAGTGTTCCTCTAATCATCCAACCTCTATCAAATTAATGCTTCCCAAGTCTGATTTTTCCAAAGTCCAGCCGATGGCTCCAACAGCACTATAGCGCAATTGCCAGAGTCAAGAAAATTTAACCGCATCACGCTTTTGGCTCTCTCTTCCACTCTTAGAGGACGGGAGTTCTCTGTTTCTCCTTTTCCCAGAAGCAGGGCCATCCAGGAATCCCAAGGCCACTTTCGTGGTAAATTCTGCAGGTCAGTTTCTGACCCATCCCCGAGAATTAGGGCTTCTGCGCCTTTCTCTCACAGCATTTTCACCTCAAAGAGAAAAAGAGGAATGGCGTCTGATCCGTGCCAATCACTCCCCCCCCCCCCCCCAAAGTGCCAGTCCCCACACCCTTCTGGTAAAATCAACAAATGAGTTTGTAGCTTTACATCCCTATTAGCAGTTAGATAAAGAAGAGCAGGTCAGGCATAAGCATTTTGGGGTTGTTTTTCAAAGTCCTTTTTGCTGAAGATGGCAGGTTATATAGTCCCTTGGCTTGTGGGGAGAGGGAAAGGGGAAGAAAAAACTTGGGGAGAAAACAACAATATCTGGAAGGCAATTGTAAATAAGCCCTTGTTTCTCGTGTGGCCTTGATGCTTTCAAACTGATCAGGTTTCCAGATAAACCTGATCTGTTCACCTGACACCAGATCTTCGTTTAGAAGATGGAGCGAAGAAATTAAACAAAATTAATTTTGCAATGCCATCGGCAAGACAGAGTAAGAGGACCCTCAAAGGCATCGCAACAGATCAGCCTCTTCCCTAGAAGCAGAGCCACGTGGCGCTGGGGGCTCTTCATGCTGTGATCTGCAGCCCCTCCAAGGACCCCCTCACTGGTGGGCTCGCACCAGTCAGGTTGTAGTTGCCCTCTTGTACTGCGAGTTCGAGTCCGTGATGTGTGTTTCCCATACTCTGGGCTTTAGCAGACAGACACGAAAGAGCCCGTGCCTTCGTCTCCAGCTTTCTTCCATCGTTGCTTGGAAGGCTGTTACCGGGCACGATTAGAGCAGCTCGCTTGCTTGCGGCGCGTGAGCCGCCGTCGTCGTGACACCCAGGTGCGCGTCTCCCTCCCCTGCGGGGTCCGGTTGCGAGTCCCCCTGACAAACTTGCCCGTGCGGGGCCCAGGCACCTCCTTCCCAGTGCTTGTGAGGCGCAGCCCGTCCCTGGCCAGCAGGCCAACTTCCGGGAAGCGTAGCCTCTTGCGAAGACATTTTTCCGATGAAGTCTTTGGGTGACCTGGATTTTTTTTTTTTTTTTTGTACGCTTCAAGCATGCCTTGCGGGTGGACCCGTGCTCCCTGAAGCCACTTCTTTTCACTGCAGACATACGGTGGCTGACGCCGTTGCTGATTTGCCTGGGGAAGGCATTCTGTGCAGCCGCGTCTCGTGGCTCTTGGTTCCTGCTCAGACGTGGCAGCAGCTGTCTTCTCTTGCCTGCCCACAGCTGGCTGATCTCGGCCTGTCTGTCTTGTTCTGTGCATCTGACGCCGTCTCAAGGGGGTCTCGGAGGCGGGGGCCTTCCTGCTGGTGGTCCCCAGTGGGGGAATGACCTTCCCAGCGATGCTGCTGGCACCAGTGCTGTGACTTTCCAGTGTCCAGTTTCAACCTTCCCTGCTCTCCAGCATCTGGCAGCTCTGGAGGTGGCTGTATTCCCAGTCCTGGCTTTTCCCGTTCTTCTTAGCGGCTCTGAGTTCCTTCAGCTTTGAGTATGTTTTAGCTGCTGCTACAAGAACCCTCGAGCCTTCTTTGTTTCTGTTAAGAAAGGCATCTGGTCAGCTTGAAGCATCATTATAACGGTTAATAATGCTACTCCGACGTGCTCTCTGATCTCCCCCCTCCCAGCAAGAGGTGTCCCAGGAGCTCCGTTCGGCTGCCAGCAACACCCTGGTGACCTTCGCTCGCCAGCACTTCCACCCCATCATGACGGAGCTTCAGCGGCAGCTCCGGCCCTTCGTGGAGCCCGATGAGTTCACCCTTCTCACCTTGGGCAAGCTCGCAGTCAGCAATGGTAGGGGGGCGGGAAGGGGCAGGTCGCGGGGCGTGGGGCTGGGGCTTCTGTCCCCCAGAGCCATCTAAGCTATCAAAGTCCTGACTCAGAAGGGGGCTGGTGCTGGCTTTTACACACCCACCTTAGCCCCACCCTGCCTCCCCAGGGGCGCAAGGGCAGCTGCTGTCGCTCTGAGTCTGGGTCACCCGGCTGCCGGCTGCGGGGACTGGGCCGAGCGGGCAGCGATCTCTGACGGAGGGCCAGATCAGCCAGCGGCACCGTGGGCAGCCGCCTCTGCGGCTTGTGGGGGCCCTTCATAGCTGGGCCGACTCCTTCCTCACCGACCGGTTCTGGGGCACACCGTTCGTGCACGGCTCCCAAGAGCAGCGCTCCCTGCAGCTGCTCCTCCGTTGTGTCCCGGAGGGCTGGGGGCTGCAGTTCAGTTGCCCCTGGGACTAGCTCCTTGCCAAGACCGGTGCCAAAGCTGTGGCTCGCCTGTGTGGGCAAGGGCGGCCGCGTAGCCTTCCCGGGGACGGGGAACCAGCGCAGGGCCCAGAGGGGGGGAAGCGCGTCGGCCGGAGGAGAGCAGGCCAGGCGGCAGACGCCATCCCCACATCCTGCCACAGAGTCCATGCGCTCAAGGCTGCGGGGAAGCCCTGAGCGTGGCCCTGCCTTGTCTTGCCGGCACGTGGAACAGAGAGCCTCAGGCTGTGGCCCGCCCGGCCCGGCCAAAGCGGCCCTCCAGATTGAGGCGGCTGGGGATCTTCCAGCCTGCTGGGGGTCAGGCCAGGGCCTTCTGCGTGCGCGGCCGGGGCTCCGGAAGTGGCGTGAAGCACACGTCCTTGCGGCTCTGCACCAAGAGCCGGTCTCGGGTGGGGACCCCGGCAGCAGCAGCGCAGGCCCAGCCAGGTCTGCTGGTCCCGGCCGGGCCCCCATTGCGAGCGCTGAGCGCCGCCAGCAGGCCTTCGGGCAGGGCTTCCTCCAGCCATATCTGGAGGTGCTCCCAGAGGTTCGACCAGGCCTTCAGCACACCGGGCGGGGCTGTACCACAGCACTACAGCCCTCCTCCTGACAATGAGCGGAGGTTCCCGCCTCCTTTCTTGAGCCACAGGCAGGTCCGGAAGCATGACAGGGCCTCCCCTGGAGCCGTCCTCCAGGCACCGCCCCTGAGAGAGGCGCTGAAGGCAGCGACAAGGGGGAGGGCCTTCCTGCTGGAGGCCCCCAGCTGCAGAAGGCTCCCCAGAGAGGGCCCCCTCAGCTGTCCCTGGCCCCCCTAGAGGGCCCCCTCAGCTGTCCCTGGCCCCCCTAGAGGGCCCCCTCAGCTGTCCCTGGCCCCCTAGAGGGCCCCCTCAGCGAGCCCTGGCCCCCTCTGGCTTCTGGAGCACACCGTCCCTGGCTTCTCGCAGAGGACACCCCGGTCCATCTTGGTGGGGCTGCTGCGCGGGACGGAGGACCCCCTTCACAGGCCGCATCCTGCGCCCAGCAGCGCTTCCTGCTCACCACAGTGCACAGCTGCATCCCCTTCCTGGGCCTCACGCTGGCCACCCTGCAGACCGTGACACGCCAGACCGAGGACAGCAGGCGGCGCAGGGCCCTCTGCGCAGGTCAGTCCGGGAAGCAGCCTCAGCCCCCCTGCCGTCACTGCCCCTGCCCGGGGCCAGGCAATGCCGGCGACCCAGGCCCCCGGGGGGCCCCGCCCCAGTGAGGCCTCTGGGCGCACCAAGTCTGGCTGGCGTGCGTAGGTGGCCCCGGCCGACGGGAGGGAGTCTGCAGGGCCCACACCTCTGCAGGGCCCTGAGCTGAGCCCTACCCTGGACGGCATGTCTGTCTGGCCGTGCTGGGCACTGGGTGAGAGTCTCCCCCTTGGGGGCGCTGCTCGCCCTGGCCAGCTGCCGGCCTGGCTTCTGCTGCCCCCCCTTCTGCTCGCCTGTCCACCCTGTCCGTGGCCAGCATTACAGGCCAGCCCAGCTGGGGACTTACTGAGGACCCGTCCCAGCAGCAGTCCACGTACGAGCAATCCTGGCCTCGCTGCCCCCTTCCTCCCCCATGCCGCCTGCTTCTGCAGCTCCTTCTCTCCTTGATCGTGGCCTGTGCTGGCCAGAGCTGGGGGAGTTGCAGCCTGAAACATCTCAGGACATAGGAGGAGTCCTGCAGGGTCAGACCAGAGTTCATCCAGGCCGGCATTCCACACAGCCAGTGGCAAAGCAGCTGCCTGAGGGATCCCCCAGACGGCAGGGTGCGAGGCCTGTGCCTGCCACACTCCCCAGCGACTGGCACATGCAGGCAGGCCACAGGCACGTCGCCAGCGAGGCTGGGAGCCTTCCTTGCAGGGGAGAACTGATCCCCTTCCAACACCATCGGGATTGGTGGCTGTCTCCACCTTCTGTGGCAGTGAATGTCATCCTTCAACTGCCCTGAGTCTCCTGCAAACCAGCTTCATGGGATGACCCAAAGCCCCCAAATAGGTCGGCGAGACAGGGCTTACCCTTTGGAAGCCGCACTGATTCCTTTTCAGCAGGACTTGTCCCTCTGTGCGCTTATGAATTCTATCTTTGTTGTTGTTAGTCACAAAGTCATGTCTGACGCATCGCTACCCCAAGGACAACATTCCTCCAGACCTTCCTGTCCTCACCATTTCCCAGAGTCCACTTAAGCTCACACCGACTGCTTCAGTGACTCCATCTAAACATAGAAACATAGAAACAGAGCTAGTCAGAAGGGGTCTCCCAGGCCATCTAGTTTGACCCCTGGCTCCAGCCAACTCCGCTCACGACATGCCCACCATCTAGGCACCTCATCCTCTGCCGTCCCCTTCTACTTTTGCCGTCAATTGTTCCCAGCATTAGGGTCATCTCCAGGGAGTCCTTCCTTCTCATTAGGTGGCCAAAGTATTTGAGTTTCATCTTCAGCATCTGGCCTTCTAAAGAGCAGTCAGGGTTGATCTCCAGGACTGACCGGTTTGATCGCCTTGCGGTCCAAGGGACTCGCAGGCGTCTCCTCCAGCACCGCAATTCAAAGGCCTCAATCCTTCGGCACTCAGCCTTCCTTGTGGTCCAGCTTTCATAGCCATACATTGCAATTGGGAAAACCATAGCCTTGACTATACACACTTTCGTTGGCAGGGTGATGTCTCTGCTTTTCAGTGTGCTGTCTAGATTTGCCATAGCTTTCCTCCCAAGGAGCGAGTGTCTTTTAATTTCTTGGCTGCAGTCCCCATCTGCAATGATCTTGGGGCCCAGGAAAATAAAATCTGTCACTACCTCCATTCCTCCATTTCTTCCCCATCTATTTGCCAGGAATTGATAGGACCAGATGCCATGATCTCAGTTTTCTTACTGTTGAGTTTCAGGCCAACTTTTTGCTCTTCTCCTTTATCCGCATCAAGAGGCTCTTTAGTTCCTCTTCACTTTCTGCCAGTAGAGTGGTATCATCTGCATATCTGCAGATGATACCGCTCATCCCCCTTCAGCGCTCCTTTAATTCTGTGCCCATCCAATGGCCCGACTGCCTTTCTAGCTGGTTTCTTTTTTCCTTGAGGGCTGGCCTGAATGTTGTGAGCAAGAGGTTCCCCAAAATGTTTCTTTGGAACAGCCTGGAGTACACGGGGCGCCTCTTTGGATTAACTGCATGCTAGGCGGAGGCAACATCCAGACTCGCCAAGGGCGGGGGCCCCTGGCATCCCCCCCCCCGCACTTGCCCCTCTGTTGCTCCAGGGCAGTCAGCTGGCTCACCAGCTGCCCCTTGCCCTGGCCCAGGTGGGGGAGGGAACGAGGAGCAGGAGAACCCGCCAAGCGAGCACGCAAGCAGGAGCCATGGGGAGGGGCGAGGGCAAGGGCCGTGCTGGCGAGGGGGTGGGCTCCTGGAGGGAGGGGCTGGCAGGGGACCTGCACCAGGGCTTCCCCGCGTGCCGGCAACCTGGTCCCCTCTGCTCTCCCCCACACGGCCAAGCCCTGGAGCAGATGTGCCAGGCGATTCGGGTCTACCTGCAGACCTGGGAGAGGAGCTCCTACCCACGCATCAGCCTCCAGCAGTTCTCTGCCTACCTGCTCCCACTCTATGCCCACATCACCCGCACCTGGCTGCCCGGAAGCGACTCCCAGGTGAGCTGCCTGCCAGGCCAGCTGGGAGCTCCTGGTTGCCCTGCCCGGCGGTGAGGCGGCCCCGTGGGCCAGGGCGTGCGCTCTGGGGCCTGGTGAGCCGCCGCAGCCATGCCCCTCAAGCTGCTGTGCCCCCCGGCAGGTCAAGCTGGCGGTGCTGAAGATGCTGGGACCCATGCTGAGCATCCTTCTGACCCGGGCGGAGGCCCAGGCCCAGGTCCACCGCGACATCTGCCTGCTGCTGGCGCAGTACGAGAGCGGCATCGACACCCTGCACATCACGAAGGTGAGCCGCTGGCGAGGGGCCGCTGCAGCCCACGGAGGCGCCCCCCGGCCCTGGGGCTCCCCCCCTCCAGCAGCAGACTTTGCCCTCCGCCCGCCCTCCCCCCGGCGCTTTGGGCGCTCCTCATCCTCGGGCCAATTTCCCCTCGCAGGAGGGTGGAAGAACCCCCCTTGAGTAGCCTTGGGCCAAGCTACATGCACGCCTGAGGCGTTGCCCCTGCCCGTTCGGCCGGTGCCCCCCCACAAATGGGCCTTCCAGAATGGGACGGGTCACGTGGGCTGCAGAAGGCCCAGACAGCCTGACTCGACGCTCGCTCACGTGGGCCAATACCCCGAGGGGGGAGCCCGGAGGCTCCCAGGGGTCACGAGCGGGGCTGGATCCTGGAACGAGCAGTGTGACCGGCACTGCATGTAATGCTGACTCCGGCACCTCTGCGGGTCGAGCCGGCCAGTGCCCACGACCTGGGGCTGCTGCGCAGCACTCCCCGGCCCAGCCAGCCTCCTCTGCGGCTCTGCCTGCCTCCGTCTTCCTGCCCTTCCCATCTTGCTCGCCTGCCCTTGCCCCCGGTGGGGCGGGCACTGTGGCTGCCACTTCTCCGGCTGCCCAGGGGAGAGAGATGCCCTCCGGTCCTTCTGTCGCAGATCCTGGTCCAGATCATGGAAGCTTCCCTGGCAAACGACCACCCCATTCCGCGGATGCAGGTGGAGCCCCTCACGCGCAGCCTGGTCCGCCAGGTAGGGCCGGGCGAGGGCAGCTCCGGCACAGTGGGCCGAGCGGGCGCCAGCGGCCTCGATGGCGTGGCATCGGCTGCTCGGTGTCACCCACGCCATCGCCGCACTGGACACGGCCCGGCAGGCTCTGTCCCTGGCCTGGCCTGGCCTGGCCGGCTGGAGCCCCCAGCCTCCTTGGGCACCGTGGGAGATCCCGGCAGGGCTGCCCTTCCCCTCAGGGGCCCCTCTGCCAGGACGGGGGGTGGCCGGAAAGGGCCCCCCGGAGGCCCTCTGGGGAGGGCCGATTTGAGGCACACCTCTGGGGCTGCTCTGCCAGACTGGAGGGTCTTTTTGACCCTGGGGGCAGGGGGCAGCCGCCCTTCCCTTCCCAGCCTTCCCGGCAGTGCGAGGGCCCCTCTCAGCACCTGCCTCTCCCCAGATCTGCAGCAGCGGCGGAGAGAAGGCGCGCCCTCAGCCGCAGTGCACGGAGAATGTGGCAGCCATCTCGCAGATCTTCCTGCGGCTGGGTACGGCAGGAAAGGCAGGCCGGCCGGCCGGGGGCCACTGGGAACCCGGGGTGGGGCTGGGGTGCACAGGGTCTCTGCTGCGGCTGAAAGCCCCTGTGCACCTGCTGCCTCCCCACAGCCCGTTCACACCCTTCGGAGCTGCTGTGGGTCTTCCAGAGGAAGCTGGAGGACGGCCGAGAGGAGACGCGGGTGGTGCTGCTGTCCCTGCTGGCCGAGATCATCGGCGCCAGGCGTGAGGAGCGTGCGGGGCGGGATCTGGCGGCAGTGGGGCCGGAAGGGCAGCGGTGGCAGGGCTTCAGCCTCCCTCTGGGGCACCGTGCCCTCCAGCGCTAGTAAGGGGAAGCGGGGCCGGCGGCACGGTGGGCCAGCTCCCCACACGCCTGCTGCTCAGCCAGCGTCCCCCCAGCCAGGCACCTTCCGGATGTGATGAGCTGCAAAGCAGCCAAAGAGGACGGAGGTCGCAGTCTGGATGATGTTGGGCAGAGAGGAGCTTGTGGAGGATTTTTCAGTGGAGATCCGTCTCGATTCTCCTGCTGGCTCAGTGGTGGGAGGGCAGGAATGCCGGAAGGCGAATCCTGCGGATTCCTGTACCTGCGACATCCAAAGACGAAACGGAATGCAAATTCATGCAGAAGAATGCTCTGGAAGTCTCGCTTTGCCACCATTGCTCTCACTGGGTCCGCAGCGCTGGCTGGCCCGTTTGCCCCGGGATGGGTGTCTCTTGTGATCTCTGGCCCGCCTTGCCCAGAACAGCGAGCTGCTCTCTCTCTTTCAGTGCCCGAGCTCTGGAGCAAGAGGCTGCTGTGTGTGAAGGCCGTGAAGGCCGTGCTGGGGGACGAGCGCAGCCGGGTGAGCACCAGGGCCAGGGGGAACCCGCTTCCAGTCCGGGACCTTTAGCCTGCTCTGCTTCAGCTTGACCGTCTGCGGCCAAATGAGGACTCCGCCGTCGGTGGCCGCCCAGCACGCAGCCCGGCCTTTCCGTTCCTCCACCGAGTTCCGCTCTTTGCTTAAGCACTGCGTGAAAGGGCTGCCGTCCTCTGGAACACGGGCAAAGAGCTCAGGAAGGGGGTGCTTCGGGGGCCTTTATGCTGTGTGCTCCCCATTCCAGAAGGCTACAGGCAAGCAGGAGCATGCTCGATGCTCAGAAAGGCCCGCCCTCTCGCTTTCAGCTGCTTGCACGTGCCCCCCGGAAGGGCTCCCGAGGTGAACTTGGCCTGAGCCCGGACGAGGCCCCTTGGCTTCTCTGCTGAGCGTTCTTCCCTCCCTGAGTCTTCACAATCAAGCGTCTTGGTTTTGTGTGTGTGCACGTGCGTGCGTTGGTGGGTCTGCGCTGTGAGCGTGTTTGTTGCAGCCCGGCCTCCTTGTGAGTCTCCAGCAGGCTCTCCAGGTACCCGAGAGGCCTCTCTGGCTCCGAGAGGATGCCTGCTCCAAATAGTGGGCTGGCTGCACCTCTTCGCAGGCTTGTGCTCGGAGAGCTCCACATAATGTGTGGCATCTTGGCGCCAGCTTTGGGGGGCTCCAGCCCTGTTCTTTCCCAGATAAAACTGAAGAAGCCTTCACGGGGAGCCCAGACCCCGGCTCCTCCGCTGAACCTTGGCCTACCCGTTGCGGCCTTCCTCTCATAACCTTCCCGCTGTCACGTCTTCCAGCTTATTTCTCCGGCAGCAAATCCTTTCAGAGGGAAAGGCAGAAAAGCTGTGTGAGGCCTTTCGACGTGCCGCGTATCTAGCAGTGCCTGTATTGCTTCGTCAGCGAAGCTGGGAGGGCATTTTGAGCACTAGCTCAAAGGGGACAAGTAGCAGGAGGGCATGGGAAACTGGGCTTGTTTTCAAGGCTGAGCGAGACGAAAGTGCTCCAGCCTCCCTTAGTCCCTTCCCAAAGTGTCCCATCAGCTCTTCCTCCACACGGCTCTCCTTTGCTGGGCCTGCCTTTCTCGTTTCCGGAACTCCACCCTCAGGGAAGAGGGCTCTGCCGAAAGGCAGGGAGGCATCATGGAGCCATGCAGCGGCAGAATTCGCAGGGGCCGCCCAGGCCTTCAGCCCAAGCCACTGCAGAGCCCCCTGCACCCCTGACAGTTGAGCACAGATCTGGCCGGCCGGCTGGCTGGCTGGTCATCTTTCTTGTTGGCCTGATGTCTAAATTTTCTGAGCCAATGACAAGCAGTTAAACATATCCACTGGAGATACTTAAAAGGAAAATTCTTTGCAAAAGAATTTGTGAAATGTGTATATTTGGCCAAAATCTGTACAAAATGCACATAATTAGGAGAACTGTAAAAGAAGCATATAAGTTTTCATATGTACTTTATAAAATTGAATGTAATATTGGAAAACTGGACGAGGCTGAGCTGAGAGATCTTTCTGTTCTGACCCCGGTTCTCCTGTCCTTGGCCCCTGTCTCCCCGCTCTCCTTCCTCTGCTCGTTAGGTTCGCCTGGCAACACTTTTGACCCTTGGGAAGCTGTTGTGGACCGGCTACTTGGAGAAAGTGGAAGGCTGGCCCCTGAACTATATCTCTCTGCAGCTGACCATGTCAGCCCACCAATTGGTATGTCTGTGCTGGCTCCCCGGTGGACCGTTTGGCTTTTGTTGGTGCTTCTTGCAAAGCCCTAAATAGTCTTGGGTGGCAGTTTTTTGGAATGGCTGCCACTTCGTGTGCAACCGGCGTCCATGTTCGGCATCAGGGGCTCTTGCTGTGCATCCCGCTGCCTTCGGAAGCATGGTTCCCGGAACGCAAGAGGCAGGGCATTTTCTGGTCTGGCGCACGAGCTGCAGAACACCCTCCCTTGAGAGGGAGGGAGGGTTCCCTCCCTTTGAGGAGCGTAGGAAGCTGCTCCGGTCCACCCGTGACTGGCAGCCACGGCTCTCCTGGGTTTGGGCAGCTGTATTTTCAGCCCTCCCTGGAGATGCTGCCGGGACCTTCAGCAGGCCACGTGGGGGCGCTACCTGTCGCTCACCTGCTCCTTTTGTTCTCCAGGTATGCCACAGAGCCCCCCTTTTATCACTTCTGCCACTGCTGTGAAGTGCATGCAGATGTTATGAAATTTGGTCTTTTTAAGGAAGAGAAAAACATGAGCTAAGGTGGATAAAGTGTCCCCCTGAGCCAGGGGAAGGGGAATGCCCAGACCCTCAGCCTACGGTGCCTTCGCCAGGGTCAACCCAAGATCAGCCCCTCCAAAGTGAGGAAGCTGCCAGACAGGTGGTCCGGTGCGGGAGGAAGACCCAGGGAGAAAGGCGCCCCCCACGAGGCCGCCCTGTGCGTGTTCGGCCGTGCAGCCTGCTGCTGCCCGCAGGGGGAAGTGCCCGGGAATTGGCATCCGGAGAGTGGGCCGCTTTCTCCCGCAGACACACCCGATGGGGCGGCTCTGGCTCGGCGGACTGCGGGAGAAGGCCATCGAGAGGGCCGGCGCAGCCGCGCTCCACGCTGCCATCGCTTGCAAGAGGGGCGCCAGCCAGGTGCGGGAGCCCCCGTGGGGGCAGGGAGCTCGAGGCGGTGGGGGGGCAGCCCCTGTGCCTCTGCCTTGGCTCCGCAGGCGCGTGCTTCGTGGGGGGGGGCTGCCCAGTGGCCAGCAGCTGGCCAAGCGGGTTGGGGCAGCGGACAGGTAGAGGGCGAGCTGGGGTGGGGGGGCAGCGGGCCCCTCCCAGGGCAAGTGGTGCTGACTGGAGCCCCGGCCGGGGCCTGGAGCAGGGAAGAGGAAGGGGGCTGGAGGGCGGAGGTGGGGACTTGTGCTTGGCGAAGGGATCCTGCCAAGCAGGTGGGTGTGCCAGGAAGCGGTGCTGGCGGCTGGCCTGTGCTGAGAGGGGAGGGGAGGGGGCGGTGGGGAGGGGTCCTGCGGGGACGGGAGGCTCAGCGTCGAGGCCTCCCCCACTCCCCCTCCCGGCAGGCGCTGTGGCTGCGGATGCTGGACTCTGTGATGCAGCCCCACCACGCCGGCGTGGCCACCCTCCTGTGCCAGGCCCTGAGGCAGCTGGCCGAGCAGCGGGCCGTCCGCGGGCAGGACAGCGCAGAGCCAGGTGGGTCCTCCGAAGGGGGCGCTCCTGGGGCGCACGGGCACGGGAGCAGCGCGCGGCCGAGGGGGGCTGCCGAGGGCTGGAGGAGCGGCCTCTGCCGGAGCGGGATGTTCCCGGTGGGCCCTCGCCCCGCTGCGGGGCGGGCACAGCCTCGCTTGGGGCTCGCCACTCCTGGTCCCCGTGAGGACAGGCACGCCAGCCACTGGCTCTTATTTCAGTCTCTGCCCCGGGTTTTTTTTGGGGGGGGGGGGTCCTTTATCTATCCATATGTTTATTAGGTAAATTAGCCACAAGCCCCCTCTATCCTGGCGCTCTCGTTTTCCATCTTCCAGTGAATTCGCCGACTGCCCAGCAGCTGCTGGCTCGTCTCCTGGTAAGTGCTGAGGGCTCGTGGCCGAGGGGGGCGCACATGGCGGCCAGGAAAGAAGGAAGACGCCGGGGGGCTGTCCTCATCCTTGGGCATCTGGCCACAGAGGGGCCACAGCTGGAGGGCATCCCCTCGGGTCCTTGCCACTGGATTTGAACATCGGCAGTGGTCTGGACGGGCTTCTGGCCCGGCCGAAGTAGGTTAGGCAGGGCGCCCGAGATCCAGCCGGGCCCAAACTGTCTCCAAGCCTCGGAGCTGTGGACGCTGGTGCTGCCCACGGGCTCTGCTCCCTCCGCACGGCAGCTCCCGTCCCTCCCGGGAAGTAGGGGCAATTTGCACGGAGCCCGGAGACAAACCGGTGGTGTGGGTCGCCGGGGTGGCACCGGAGGAAAGGACTGCAGCAGGCCCCCGGGCAGCCCACAGGCCCTGTGCCAAACCTCCCAGCGTCCTCCACGCAGCGCTCCCGAGGGCGGCCCCACGCAGAGTGCCGAGAGGGCCGCCGTGTGTGCTGGCGCCAGAGCGCCTGCCCAGCCGGGCTGCCCTCACCCGGGCTCCTCCGTCGCAGGCCTGGGCGGTTGCTCCCTTGGAGGGATCCGGCCGAGGCGCGGCGGCGCTGCTCCTGCTCAATGCTCTCCGCCCGGAGTTCTTCGCGCACGTGGCTCAGCACTGGTGGGTGGACGTGCCCGTCCTGGTCCATTACCTGGAAGGTGAGCCGGTGCCCGGCGGCACTAGCCGTGTGCCCTCTGGGCATCGGGCAGCAGCCACTGGGCAGCGCCGCGGGATTCAGAGGTGGGCGTGTTGCTTGCTGTTCCCAGACACAGGGACAGCCGGCCCTCACCCAGCTGTGGGGGCTTGTGGGGGCCTCCCTTCCCAAGAAGCCCCCGCTGTTCATGGCGGAGGTGGGCCGGGCTGGAGCTGGCTCGGCGTCTTTCCTGTGGGCCGCGCGGAAGCATCGGGCTGCAGCCCAGAGCTGTACCTCAGAAGTGCAGCGGTGGCAGAGAACCTCTGGGGGCCCCCTCTCCTTCCCTCCCCTTCCCTTCCCTTCCGAGCGTTTGGGGCCTCCTGCCCTTCGTGCAGCTTTTCCCCGTCCTAAACAGCTGAGAAGGGCTGCTCGCTGGCACCACCACGAGGTGCCCCTTTCGCTCCTCCTCTTTGCCTCTGAAGGGGGACCCAGAGGGCTTTTCTGGAGTGGGGATTGGCCCTTGGGGCACCCGGGGGCCCCGTCTCCCCGGCCCCTCCCCGGGTGAGGCTGACCCCTCTGTTCTCTCCTGCAGGCCACAGCCATTTTACGCTGGAGCCAGCGGTGTGGGAGAGCAAGCTGCTGGAGGTAAGGGGGACGCGCCGCCAAACGGCTCTCGCCCTCGGCTGACCCTCCCCGTGACAGCCGCTTTCCTGGCGATTCCACAGTTCCTGAAGAAGTCGCTGCCGAGGAGCCGGGAGGCCGATGTCTGGAACCTGGCGCTGGGGCAGGAACTGGCCACGCAGATGCATGCCTTCCACAGCTCCTCTGCAGAAAGGGTCAGTGCGGGGGCGGCAGGATCTCCCACCACACGCAGCCCACCCTCCCTCGCCCCTGGCCCACCAGCGCCACGGCCGGCCGTTGTCCAGCCGCTCCTGGGCTCCCCTGCCCGAGTGGGGGCGGCGCCGACAGGAGAGACGAGGCCGGGCATCCGCGAGGGCAGAGGAGGGGCTCCTGGGGCAGGGCTGGGACGGCTCGGGGGGGGGGGGGCAGCCCTGCAGGGCCCGGTCCACCCTGCTCCCCTCTGCTGTGGCTGCTGTGCTCAGAGGCTCCCCACAGGCCGTGGCTCCGGCTGCGTCGCTGGGGAGGGGAGCCGGAAGAATCCGCCGCGAGCCGGCCACTGGGCCTGCTGGCCCTCAGGTCCGTGACGGCCCCTCCGTGCTCCCGCCCCCCCCAGGCGTTCCTCTGCAAGGCCACGGGGATGGCGCTTTCCGCCGCAGGGGACCCCCCGGCCGTGACGCGGCAGCTGCGGGACCTGCTCCTGCACGTGGACTACACGGACGAAGGCCAGCGAAAGGCAAGCGTCTCCCCGGGCAGGGGCTCCACGGCGTGTGTCGTGCTTGGGGTAACAGGCCCTTTGGAAGGTGGGGGGGGGGGCCCCTGCAACGCAGGGGGGCCGCGGGGGGGGGCACCGGGGGGAGGGAACGTGAAGGCACCCGAGTGGGCACAGAGAGCACGGACGCGGTGGAGTCACCAGTGGCCCTTGCTCCTCACAGGGTGCGTGCTGGTGTGTGGCCCGCTGCGCGGAGGGGCAGCTGGGGGCGGCCCTGGACGCCCTGCGCTGCTTCGAGGAGGAGACCTCCGAGGGGGGGGGCTTGGCAGGCCAGGTAGGATCTTCCCTGCCCCTCCAAGCTTTCCCTGCCCCGTCACCCCGAGCGGCTCGGCTTACGGGGGGTGCTGAGCGTCTGCCTGAAGCGGCACAGTTGGGCCACCGCTGGCACCCGCTGGAGCAGATGAGGGTGCCAGTGGCCCCCAGAGCCAAGGACCACTTTGGAGCGGGGGCTGGGAGGAAGGAAACGGCTCTTCCTCCCCCCATTTTGCAGGCTTTTCTAAGCTTCCCAAGTTCTTCTCCAAGCCAGGTTTGGAAAACTTTCCCTGGCATTTCTGATCTTAACCCCCAAGGAAAAGCTGGAAGAAAACCTCCAGCATGGGGCCCTTGAGAAGGGCACTGCACTCTCCCCGGCCACCCTGCCCTGTGGTCTCTGGGGGAACGTGAGGACCCTGCTGAGAAGGAAGCCTCGCTGTGCCCCTCTTGCCGCCCACAGGGCTTGCCGCACCCGGAGAAGGCCCACGTGAAGAGTGCCCTGCTGCTGCTGTACAGCAGCTGCACGGCCCACGTCCCCCGGGAGCAGCTGCTGCCCCGCCTGGCAGCTGAGGTCGTGCCCAAGATCCTGCACCACTACGCGACCGCTGGCAGCCCCGAGGTGCGCTCCCGCCCCACCGGCACTGGCGCTGGCAGCACGGTCCGTGCAGCCGGAGGGCTCCCGGTCAGCCGGGGCACGGAGCAGCCGGGGCCCGGTCTTCCCCGGCCCGGGAGCCTGCTGGGTGGCAGGAGGGGCGCAGCCCGACCCGGTGTCAGGGAGCGATAGCCCCAGGGGGTCTGCACTGTGTGTCCAGGAAGGGAGGTGGGGCGTGAGGGGAGCCCTGAGCCGCAGCAGGTAGGGGTCTTCCTGCCGTTCCCCACTGACTGCCGCCCAGGGGGTGGGGAGGGGCACGTGTCCTGCACCAGGACTGAGCTGTGCCGCCACCTCGGTGGCACGTGGGCCTCCCGCCCGCCTCCAGAGGCACCAAGAGGAGGAGGAGGGCGGAACTGGCCGAGGCATCCCTCTGAGACAGGACGGGGGCTCCTCTGCTGCGAAGGGAGGGCGAGGTGGCCACCTGCAGGGCGGTGGGGCAGGGCAGGGCCTCTCTCTGCGCGGGAGCTGCTGCAGGGCTTTCTGAGGCCTCCCCACGGTGCCTCGCAGGAGTTGCGCTGGCGCTGTGGACCAAGGAAGGCGAGGTGCGCAGGCCCGCCGGTGGGGGCTCACTGGGGGTGCGGGGCACCTGAGTTCCTCCTTGCCATGCCCTCCCCGGGCCGGTTCCTCTTGCCCTGCCTGGAGCCCTGTGGTGCATGGGCCGTCTGCTGGGCACCCCACATGGCAGGCTGAATGCTGGACTCGGGGCAGTCCGCTCTGCCGGGGGGGTCTTTGGGGTCACTCACAGCGGAGCCTCTGCCCGGCACCTAGACGTCGCTCCCTGGAATCCCGAGCCGAGCTGGAAAAGCCTCTGGCTGACACTGAGGCAGCCTGGCGCCCTGCCACGCCAACCGGGAAAGCCGGCGCCCGCTCGGCCCGGAGCCGGGCGGCTTCAGGGCTGCCCCAGGGCCGGCATGCCAGCCGCTGGCGGGGGGTGCCGAGGCAGAAGGGCAGCCCCCAACGGAGCGGCCTCGCTGCCGCCTGCACGAGGCCCAGGAAAGCTGCCTCAGCCCAGCATGGGCCCTGGAGAACTGGGCGGCGGGAGATCCAGGGCACCCCGGAGCGGGGCTGTGACGTTGTGTTTGTCCCTGCGTCCCCTTCTGGGCAGCTTGCACATGGGCATCCCTCGCGGCACGGGCTCAGGGCATCCCTCGCGGCACGGGCTCAGGGCATCCCTCGCGGCACGTTCGGGGGCGGCTTGGCAGCGAGCTCCGGCCGCGCCGCCCCCCCCCAGGCCTGTGCCAGGCACCCTGGGCCACCCCCTCGCAACCCCTCCCACGTGCTCTCCCCCTCCCGCTCCAGGGCACCCGGGACCCAGAGCTGCTGCTGAGCTTTGCCCAGGCCGTGTCGGAGGTCAGCCGGTCTGCCCAGGGCGAGGCAGGGGCCCCGGCCGTCCCGCTGCCCCAGAAGAGGGAGCTCCTGAGCCGCATCCTGGTGAGGGGCGGGCAGGGCCTTGGCTGGACTGGGTGGGCCACGCAGTGCCTCCTCCGGGGCAGCCCCAGCCCGGGGGACAGGGCACTGGGAGCCGAGCTCCCCACCTCCCCGCTGTGCCTGGCCCAGCCCCCTCCCCGAGCCCCTGTCCATGGGGGAGAGGCCAGGACGTGGCCTGGAGCCTCTCACGGGCCTCCCCCTCCGTGGTGTCTCTGCCAGGACATCATCAGAGCAGAGTCCGGAGGGGTCCTCCAGTCTCCCGTTCTCGAGAAGGCGATGGTGGCCCTCCGGCACCTGAGGTGGGTGGTCCTTCCCCCCAGTCCCCTTCTCGTGACCAGCCCTGCACACTGGCCACGTGCAAGGCGGACACTCGCCCCAGAACTGGCTTCGACGGCCCACGTTTCATCCTGGCACACGTGATGCCTCTGAGCATGTGCAGAATGCCTGTCTTTCCCTGTCATATAGCAGCTATAGGTCATTCCTCACTTGGTGGGGAAGAGGGAGGCGACCCCTCCTCTTTTCCCCCAAGGAAAGCCTTGGCCGGGGGGCCGCGGGCCTCCACCAGCCCAGTGGTGGCTGAGCAGGACCCATGCGGGGGTCACGCGTGTCTCTGTGCACAGTGGGGACTGTGGGGCCCCCTGTGCTCGCCTCCCTGACGCCCCCCCCCCCCCCGTGTGGAAGAGGCCTCCACACCCCGGCCGTGTCTGCGTGTGCAGCGCTGCGGGAAGGGGATCCCGAGCCAGCGCAGCTCCGCCTGCCTGGGGGCCCACCTGAGCCACAGGCTGCGTGCCACGGGGGGGCGCCGGCTGCCCAGATGCTGCGCCACAGCCGCCGCCTGGGCTTTCCGTCCCCACAGCCACCCCCTGCTGGCCGCAGGGCCACCTTGCCTGCGCAGCCTGCGCGTCCTCGGGGACCCACAAAGCCCTCGGCCGCTCGGCTGCAGGACCCGTGCAGGAGGCCCCTGGGGCCGGGATCGCCCCCTTCGCCCCCGTGAAACAGTCTCGTTCCACCCCTAGCACAGTGCCGGAGGCGCTGAGCCACGAGGAGAGCTGGCAGGTGGCGGAGGTGTGCGTGGGCCGCACCCTGGCGCTCCCCCCTGGGGGGCTCGCTGAAAGCGCTGGCGAGGTGAGCAGGCATGCGGGGGGGCACTGTGGGGTCGTCGCAGACCCCACCCCAGCCCACCTCTCACGCCCGGGCACGTGTCCCTGCCCGGCCGCCACAGGCCCTGCGCGCCCGTGCCGTGGCTGCCTTGTCGGAGCTGGTGGGCACCCTGCTGGCGGAGGAAGGGGACGGCCGCTCGGACCGGCTCCAGCGCATCTCTGAGGTGAGCAGCAGGGCAGGGGGCGATGCCCACCCGACCCCCGTGAAAGCCCTCCCTGCCACCCTCGCGCAGGGGCCCTCGCGCGCCACTGGCTGCCTTCCCTTTCGGGAGAGGGCTGGGCAGAGGGTGCACTGTGGGGGGTGCAAAGGAGGGGTGTGGGCCAGGATCCCAAGGTGCCGCTTCGTGCGGGGGCCGCTGGCTGGTCCCTCACCCGTGGGGCAGACCCCCCACCTTTCGCAGCGAGGGCCTGTCAGAGAGCGTGACAGCCAGGCGACCCCGCGGGACGGCTGGGCGGGAAAAGGGCGTCCCGCCGGCCTCGCTCCCGCTGTGCTGCCCAGCCGGGCTCCCTGCCGGGCACGTGGGGCAGCCACGGCCGCTCAGTGGGGGGTGCCGCCTCCTGCTGCCCCCGCACGCTCAGAAAAGCACCCAGAGGCTCAGCGGGTCCCTCGGCCATGCCCCGGATCCAAGGGTGCCCCTCTGGTGCCTGGGATGGCCTGGAGAGGGGCCTCCCCATGGACGGTTTGCCCACAGCTCCTGGGGTCCTGGCTGGCGTCCGAGCGCGAGTGGGAGCGTTCCGGGGCCGTCCGGCTGGCGGCCCACCTGATGACGGCACGGCATCGGCCGACCGGCACCCCGGTGAGTGGGGCCCGCAGGGGCCGCGGTGCCCTGGGAGCATGCCCACGGGGTGCATGAGGGCCCCTCCCCCTGCCGGCTGAGACCCACGGCCCTCGGGAGGGGTCTCCAGGGAGGGAGGCCGACCCGCCCGCTTTGCTCCCACAGCCGCAGATCCCCCCGGGGCAGTTCAGCCGCCTGGCCGCCGTGTTCGCGCCCCTCACCTGTGACCCGCTGGGCGCCACCCGGCAGGGCGCTGGCGACTGCATCGCGGCCCTGCTGCGCCTCCAGGGTAAGGGCATCGGGCGGGGGCGGGGGAGGGCGCCCTGTCGGGGGAGCCCCGGGGGGGTCGGTGGGGCCTCGTGGGGAGGCCAGGCGGGGACGCGGAGACTTGCCCTGGCCCCGCTCGGCCACGGAGTGCTCCGGGCCAGCCCCTTGCCCAGCTGGCAGAAGCAGCGCCGTGGACACGCTCTTCAGAGGCGGCACCACCCGCCACCGCCTGGCCGGCCAGGGTCGGTGCAGCTGAGCGGGCTGCCCGGCGGGGGTCCGTGCCCGGCCCGCCTGACCCCCCCCCGGGCCGCATGGGTGGTGGAAGGGGCACCACGGACGGGAGGCTGGAGGGCCGGGAAGCGCGTGCAGCGGCACGGGGAGGCCCAGGGGCTGCCTCGAGGATGGCGAGTCCTTCCCACACCTGCACACAACCCGCGGCGGCACTCCATGGGCTCCCGGAGGCCTCCCGGCACAGGTCCGTGCTGCCACTGCCCTGCCCGCTTCCCCGGATTTTGGGGGCGTCTGGCCGGTCCGGCCCTCGGCTCTGCCCCGCCTCCTGCACGGCCCTGCTGCTGCCGCTGCCTCTTTTGCCACGGGAAAACAGCAGTCGAAATGAGAGTGGAGGAAGGAGGGGGCCCCGGGGCCCAGGGGCGGGCGGGCTGCCAGGCCAAAGGTCTGAAGGGGCAGCGGGCGGCAGGGCAGGGCAGGGCAGGGCAGGGCCAGCGCTGCCCCCCTCCGGCCGGCCTGGGTGGCCGAGCCCGGCTTCCGAGCGGGCCCAGCCGGGGCACGGCCAGGTGCCTGTGGGGGCCAGGTCGCCACCGGCTCCGCGTCCCCCGGCCAGGAGACAGGCAGGCAGTGGCCGTCCGGAAGAGGCTGGGGGCACAGGGTCTGGCCCTGGGGGCGCCGCCGTGAGGGGTCTCGAGCTGCCCTGGCTGCTGCCGACCGGTGGGCGTCCCCTCAGGCGCCACGGGGCCCCGAGAGCCAAAGGGCCGTGCGAAGGAGTGGCGGCTGCGTGGAATCCAGCAGGACCTCCGGAGCGACGACGTCCGGGAAGCGCGCCTGGCTTCGCTCCAGCTGGCCAAGGTACTGCGGGGGAGAGCCAGGCCAGTGCCCAGCGGCCTCCCGGGGCGGAGGGGAGGTGCTGCCGGAGGGCGGCTGCACCGGGCCAGGGCGTCTCCGGGTCCGGGCTGCGCCTCGAAGCGGGATCTGCGTGCCCAGCCCTGCCCTGCCCTGCCCTGGGAAGCGCCTTGAGCGTCCCGGCCGAGCCCTGCTAGGGACGCCCCCCGCCCCTCCCTTCCGCGGAAGCCCCCGTTGCCGCCCCCGCCCCCTGCAAGGAGCGCCTCGCAGGCCTGCCCAGCTGCGGGGCCCTCCCAGACCTGGCCCCTCCCTCCCGCCCTCTGCCGCAGGTCGTCAGCGGCGCCCTGCCCTCCCGGGAGATGGCGGCCTTCCTGGGCGCGCTGCTGGAGCGGCTGAGGACTGCCGGGGCGGCCTGCGACCGGGCCGCGCTGCTGTGGTTCGAGGTGGCCGTGCAGGAGCGAGCGGCAGACCTGAAGGACAAGGTGCGGCCCGCGGGACGAGCAGGCGCAAGCAGGCCCTCTGGCCCATGGCACCGTCCTGCAGGGCCAGCAGCTCGATGGCGATCGCTCGGCTCGGCTCGGCTCTGCGTCTGCCGGCGGGCCAGTGCTGCGCTGCGGGTCTCGGCTCCTGGCAGGGGCGGCGGCCAACGCTGCCCTCTCCTTTTCAGGTCCAGGACCTCGTGGTGCTCATCTGCTCGGCGCTGCAGCGCTCGGAGGACCCTGCTCAGCGGCGCGGCCTGGGCAAGGCCGCCTGCCTCTTGTCGGAGCGCTGGCCCAAGGCCACCTGCACCACCCTCCTGGAGCTGCCCCTGCTGCACAGAAGGTCCCGCCTCCCGGGGGGCCCTCTTGCCCTCTCGCCGCTTGGCCGGCCGCCTGCGGCCCCGCACGGCTCCGCTGGAGTGTCCTCGCGGGCAGCGGGACGGGATCGGCCGCGTGGCGCTCTGGCCGGGCCGGGGCAGAAGAGCCCCGGCCGTTGCTGGCTCGCTCCAGGCAGCACGTGCCTTGGGCCGAGGCCGGCTGGAGAGCCGGGCCGAGGCCGAGCAGCCTCACTCTTGGCGCCGAGGCCCTGAGTCCCGTGCGCTTGTGGTGCGGGGTGACAGGCCAAGTCCGGGAGGCACCCTTTCCTGGTGTGGGGACGGACGGGCCGAAGGTGCAGCCGCCGGGTCCTTTCTGGCAGGCAGAGGGCGAGGCAAGAGGAGCTCCTGGGCCTCCTTGCGCCTCCCGCCAGCACACGGCGAGGCAACACCCAGCCAACGGTGCGGGGCTCGGCCATGGGCCCCCCGGTGGCAGGCATGGCGAGCACTGGGCGCAGGGCCCCCTCCCCAGTGCAGCGCTCTCTGCGTCCTCCCCCAGGGCCAGGAGGGAGCTCTGGGCTGCGCTGGCGGTGCACAAGAGCTGTGGAGCCCGGGTGCTGAAGTGCCTGCTGGGCCGCGTGAGAGCAGAGAGACGCCGCTCGCCCAGCTGCGTGCCGGTGAGGGCCCTTGCTGCGGGGCCACAGCTTGGGAGGGGCGACTGGCCACCCGGGCTGAGCTCCGGACCGCTCGTCTCCGTCCTGCTTCTTTGGAGCGCGCCGGGTGTGCCGCAGGTTCCGTGCAGACTCGCAGGCCAGCCTGCTTCCAAATTCCTTAACCAGAGTTTGCACCATCTTACTCTCAAAAGATTTTAAGGTGCCGCTTGGGCTGCCGCGTCTTGTGTCCTCCCGCTTCTCCCTGGCCTTCCCGTCCCAAGCGGAGAGGCCGGCCAGCAAGGGAGGGGATGCGGCTGCCCCGCCGGGCCAGCGCTGGCCACCTTGGCTGGGGCCTGGCCAGTTGGGCGCTCGGCAGCGGGGCCTGCTGGGCACATGGGGCAGCTTCTGGAAAGAGCACCCCGAGGGCAGGGCTGGGAAGCGGCTTCTGGGGAGGAGCCCACCTCTGTGCGTGGCTGCCGGGCTGCTCCCCGTGCGGCTGCCCGATCCCAGCACCCCTCCTCTGCTGCCAGAGCTTCACATGTGTGGCTGCATTGCAGGCCCGCCTGGGCAGGGCAGGAGGTTCTCCCGGCCCCTGGCAGGGGGACCGGAACATGCCCGGGGGGACCGTGCCCCGGTGGCTTGGCCCTGGCCCTGGCTCTGGCCCGCCAACGCCTCAGGCTGCCCGTGGCTGCCCGGCCCTGACCAGCGCCCCCTGCGCCCGGGGCCTGTGTCTGCAGGGGCTGACGGTGCTGCAGGAGGCGGTGCAGGCCCTGGACGGCGGCACCGGCCGCTTCCCGCTGCTCCCGGAGCTGTGCTACAGCCTGCTGCGGCTGCTCAGCCACGACCCGGGTGCGGAGGCTGCTGCGGCGGCTCCTCCGGCGCTGGAGGGAGCGGAGGGCCCCGGCGCTGGGCCCCCGGGGCCACACAGGTAACACCCCTCCCGGCAGGCGGCTCCTGCCGTGCCCGGCTCACCTCTGCGCATCTCAGCTGGGCGGAGGCGCCCCCAGTGCGGGAGGAGCTGCTTGCCCGGCTCCTTCCGTGCATGTGGGGGGGCTGCGGGCTGGGGGCACGGACTGTCTGCCTCAGCACTGAAGAGGCACTCTGGTGGCTCCCTGCAGTGCGGGCTGCGGGTTTCCCAGGGCCTTGGGCAGGACACCCCGAGTGCCCGGCCCAGGGAGACCGCCTCCATGTTCCGGGCACCCGCAGCAGCCTCGTGGCCACTCCCCTTTTGGGGCTCCCAGCTGCAGCCGGCCCTGCTGTCCCCCCTCGCCCCAGCCTGTGCCTGGGAGGGCGCGGTGGGGAAGCACGGTGGGGCAGAACAGGAGCGAGCCCAGGCCTCCCACGAGGGCTTGCGGGCGGCGGGCTCCCGGCAGGCTCCCCCTCTGGATTCCCGCGGGGCTGTGCTCTTCCAGGCAGGCCGTGGCGGTGCTGCAGGAGGTGCTGGGCAGAGCCGCCCCGGAGGCTGCGCAGGAGCTGGAGTCGGGACATGCCTGGGCCTCCCTGATGCAGCCGGGCAGCACCCTCAGAGGCGTCGCCCTGTTGGCCAGGTAAGGGACGTCCTTCCTGCCGGCAGCCGGGTGGCCTTTCAGCGTCACGCACGGGCGTCCGAGTGCCCCTTGCCTGAACCTTTGCAAGGCGAAGCAAGGAGCCTGGCCAGACAGGGGTCACTTTCGGGGCGCCTTCCTCTTCGCCTGTGCGGAAGTCAGGTGTAGTCCTCCGCCCAGCACCTGTACCTGGGCCAGCCTGGCACGCGAAGTCCCACAGGGTGGATGAGAAGCCCTGCCTGATCTAGCCAGCTCACGTTCTGCACGTGTCAAGAGAATCGTTTCAGGATCGTCAGTGAAGGCAAACGTGGAACAACGGCGGAGACGGAGGTTCAGGCAGGGTGGAATGAGGGGCCCCGCTTGAAATTCAGAGTACCATGCGGAGGTGTGCAGGTGCTCACGCCTCGGTGACGTGTCGGCTGGCTCCCCCTTCCCCCCTCAGAGCCTTGGCACACCGAGAGAGCCCCCTCCTCGACGGGCTCCTGCGTCACCTGCGCCCCTCCCTGGGCTCCCCCAGAGCAGCGTGCAGAGAGCTCAGCGTGGCCTTCTGCGTGGAGGTGAGACCCTGTGCCAGGCGCGAGGAGAAGCGGGGCAGGGCAGGGCAGGGAAGGCCGCGGGCGGCTGGGCTGGATTGCCGGGGTGCCGGGAAATCCTCCCTGGTTCTGATGGGCGTGGGTCTCTGTGAGTCCAAACTGCGGATTCTGCGGGAGGCCAGCCTTTTTGCTCATTTCTGTCGTCATTTCCACAGGCCTGCAGGTGGTTTTTCCCAAGTGGGGTTTCTGCAAATCAGCAGTGCACCCACATGCTCTCATGCGCAAACGCGTGCACTCCACGGATGGACGGAAAAGGCTTCCCTTCCCGCATCCACGGCAGAGACCTCCCTGGGGAATTTAATTGCTCTCTTTTTGGTGCCCCAAAGCTCACAGGCCACCCTTTGCTGCAAGAACCAGAGACGCTCGATCTTCTCCTGCGGCGGCTGCTGGCCGGATCCTGCGAAGGGAGCGCCACCATGCGTTTCCTGTCAGTGCGTGGGCTGGGGAACGTGGCAGAGGCCGCTCCGCAAGAGGTAGGCTGAGAGCGCAGAGCGGAGCTGCACCAGGGCGAGTGCAGTGGGGCAGGGCTGACGTCTGTGCCACTTCGGAAAACTTGCCCGTGTGACAGCTCAGGTCTGGCGAGGTTTATCTTCGCTTGCAAAGGAGCCCAAGACTTGCAAGGAGCTCTGCTTTGATCCTGAAACCTTCAGGTGTGTGGCAAACACCTTTATGGCTTTGGTGCTGGTGGGACCTCATATAATGGGGACCTACCAGCTGCTCCAGCACTGAGTGATATTTCTTCCCCTAAAAGTGAAGATGAAGTAGTAATGGAGCAAAATTCAGGAAACCAAGATTCAACGTGGATGCTAGGAAGTACTTGCTGATGGCTAGGACCCCCAGGGCATGGAATGGGCTTCCCCGGGAGGTGGTTGGGGCCCCGTCAGTGAGAGTGTTCAAGGACAGGCTGGACGTGCACGTGGTGGGCATGTCGTGAGCGGAGCTGGCTGGAGCCGGGGATCAGACTAGATGGCCCGGGAGTCCCCTCTGGCTCGCTCTGTTTTTATGTTTCTAAGTAGCCCTCATGGTTCTGAGGGAACAGCAGATTTTAAGTAAGAATCTTAGAAGTGGCCTTCTTCAGAGTCAGGCCCTGCTGGTCCAGGGCAGCCCTTGGATGTGCTCAGCCCGAAGAGCCTGATCCTGGCTGGTCTTGGGAGCTAAGCAGAGTTCGGCCTGGCTGGTCACTGGATCGGTGGCTTTAATGTGAACCACCCAGAAAACTTCGGCTAGTCCAGCCGACTAGCGCTGCAGGGGGCCGGGGCTGCTTCGGCTGCTTGCAGGGTGAGGGGAGGTGAAGGAGCCCGGCCGGTCGCAGGGCAGGGGCTGGGCGACGGGGCGTGCGTGGGCTTTGGGCTGTGCTTGGCTGAGCCGCTGCGGGGTTGGAAGCCTGCCAGAGCTTCTTGGGCAGGGCCCAGTCACGCGCTTGGGAAGGAGGGAACCCAGTCCCGGCCGTGGGGAGCAGAAGGGCGGGAAGAGGCGGGGTCCCCGAGGCACAGGGTGGAGGCACCCAGAGCGAGGGTGGGCCATGGGCATCGGTGGGGCGGGAGCAGGGGAGGGCTGCCGGCCCCAGGCTGCCCACGGAGGGCCGGGGAGGGCTGGGTCGGGGCCTGACGCCTGCCCCCGTGGCCCCCAGGTGAAGAAGCACCAGAAGGCCGTGCTGGCCGCCTTGGTCCGAGCCCTGGCCGACGCCGCCAGCCCCGAGGTGGCCGAGGAGAGCCTGCGGGCCCTGAGCAGGGCGTGGGGCTGCCTCGAGAGGAGCGAGGCAGCTTGCGTTGCCCCGGCCGTGGCCAGCCAGGCCCGCGCCCGCCTCCAGCACGTGAGTCGGCTCGGGGCTGGGACGGGCAGCCCCCTCCTCCCGTGTAGGAGGGACGTGGCGCCAAGCCCGTTTGCGGCTGTTGCTGCCAGCAGGGCCAGAGGGAGGAGTGGGGGCTCTTGCAGGGTGGGGCCCCCTCCCTCGGAGGGCTCTGCCGGTCCTGTGACCACACAGACGGGATGTGGCACTCACAGCGCCCGCCCCCGTGGCTTCCCACCGCGGGCCCTCCCTCCCACTCACTCCGAGGGGCCGCTTGGCGCCCCTCCCTGCCGGCAGGTCACGCTCGCTTCTCCGTCCTCCTGGCCCCGTCCTTCCCCACAGGTGGACGAGGCCGTCCGAGTGGTGGCCTTTCGGCTCTTTGGCCAGCTGGCCAGGGCTGCTCAGCCGAGGCGCTCCAAGCCCTTCGCCGAGGAGGCGGGCCGCGCGCTGGCGCCCCTCTTGCTGCACCTCCGGGATCCCAGCCCCAGTGTGGCCGAGGTACGTCCTGGGGCCCCTCGGCAGGCCAGGCCCCTTTGCGCGCCACCCCTGCTCCCGAGACCCCCGCCCCTCGCGGCTGCTGGGTGCTGGCGGGGCCGAGCCCTCCCTCCCGGGCTCCTCCGAGGAGCGCTGCCGCCCCAGCCTCGGAGCAGGCCTCGCTCCACTGGGCTGGGCGCCACCGTGGGCGGGAGGGGGTCCGGCACAAGGGCGGCCCCCGCCTGGAGTGCCGTGCCCAGTTCTGGGCCCCACGCTGCAAGGAGGATCCCGAGGAGTCGGGAAGGGTTCCGGGGCCTGGCAGAAGCGCCTTTTGGAGAGAGAGGGGAAGAACCGGGCCTCCTCGATGGGGCCGGGCCTCCTCCGGGACCATCCCGAAGTGCAGTCCCGAAACGATGGGCCCACGTTGCGGCCCGCGCCGCCTCCTCTCCCCGCCAGGCGTGCTGCGAGGCCCTCGTCTCGTGCGCCCCCTTCGTGGGGCTGCAGGAACTCGCCCTGAAGGTGGACGCTGAGCTGGCGCTGGCAGATGTCTCAGGCACGTGGCACACTCTCCTGATGGACAGGGCCTGCCGGCAGCTGGTGAGCAGAGAGGCGGGCCGGGGGCCCTCCGGGCAGCGCAGGGCAGGCAGAGGCCGCGCGATGGATCTCGTGGGCCTGGTTTCCCTGTCCCTTCTCCTCCCCCTCTGGCCCCACGGGCAGCCACGGGGCCCTGCTCCCCTGCCCCGGCTGCCCCGGGCCACCCATGCGGCACCCCTGCTTTGCCTTCAGGCTTGTGCGAATCCGCCACTCCTGGAGGCCCTCTTGGCAGACGTGCCCCGACACCTGTGCGCCGCCTGGGAGAGCGTGCGGGTCGCGGCATGCAGGCTGGCAGGTGGGACACGCCGTGTGCGGGGGGGGGCAGGGGGGGCCAGAGGAGGAGGGTCCGTGATTCTGTGGCTGGAGCGCACTGCACACAAGCAGCAGCCGTGGTCCAAGCGGCACCTTCTGGGGCACGGGTAGGAAGGGGGCTCCCTGAGGAGCCGCGGGCCAGTCGGCGGGGCCAGTGTTGGCTGGGCCATGGCCGGGGAAAGGCGGGGCCCTGCCCCAGAGCCCTGCCCGCGTGCGGAGGGCCCTGGGCAGGCGCCCGATCCTCCAGCCAGACGCCAGCAGCCCGCTGGGCACGCGGCTCCCGTGCGCCCCTCGCAGCACTGGCTGTGGGGGAGCCAGCCCAGGCCCCGTCTTACAGCCCCATGTCTCACGCTGCAAGGGAGGGAGGGACCTGGCCACGCGCCCCCTGCCCCACGGAAAGCCTGCCTGCGGGAGGCGGGCTGGTGCGGGGAGGGCAGGAGAGGAAGCCAGGCAGACGCCCGCTGTCCTTCGCCCCAGGGGTCCTCGCGGAGACGAAGGAGGGGCCGCTGGACCTGGGCCAGCTCCTGCAAAGTGAGTGAGCGGCTCCTGGCACAGGCAGCACTGCGGTGGGGCAGGGAGTGGGGGAACAGCGGGCAGCCGAGTGCGTTGCCAGGCTGGGGCCACGTTTCCGTGAACCGCCCCGCCTCTGGCGGCGTGGCGGCTGCGGGAATGGCCACATCTGCAGGCCGTGCCAGGGCAGGGGGGCTGCGGTCCTGCCCGGGGGCTGCATGTGCACCCACGTCCACCAGAAACAGCCCCGGCACAAGCGAGCAGCCGAGCCGCGGGGGCTTCCCCACCTCGTGCAGCGAGGAAAAGGCCTGCCCCGCATCCTGAGCCATGCCGGCCTTCGCCAGGCACGGGGTTGGGGTGGGGGCTGTGGGGCACGCCTTGTCCTCCAGCACGCCGGCTGCGTTTCCCCACAGTTTTGCACGCCCTGGAGCGGGACCCCAGCGCCGCTGTGGAGAAGGCCGCCGCAGAAGCCGCCCGGGCCGTCCAGCGCAGGCAGCAGGAGTGCCGGGCCGCGTCCGCCGGGGGGCAGCTGTGGCGAGTGGCCCTTCCCAGCTGGCTGTTGCGGCGGCGGCGGCGGGGGCAGCGAGGCCTGGGCCTGGCAGCCCGAGGGCCCCACTGAGGCGGCAAGGGAGAATACAGGTGCTTGTGCGGCCGACGTGGTGCGCCCCAGTCCTGTCCTTTGGGGGGGTGGGCTCGGGCTTCGTGCTGGCACCATGCCCCGGGGCAAGCTGGGAGCCACAGTTCCCCCCGTCCAGGGGTGCCGCAGCACGGGAAGGCTGCTCTCACGCAGAGCGGGGTGCAGTGTGCGTCCGTGCTTGCCACCTGGCAGAGGCCGGGCAGCCCCTTCCCAGAGCTGCGTCTCGTCCCGTTCTGGCCTGCCGGCGCTTCCCGCAAGGCTTGCTGCCTCCTGCCCCCTTCGGGGTGCGTCTCCCGACACGGGGGGCCCGCCCAGCACCCGGGCTGTCAGAGGGCCTCCATCCTTGATGTGTGTGCTTGGGAGAGGGAGGGTCGGCTGGTGACGAGACTGGCCCAGTGTGTTCAGGAGGTACAGGTCCCTCTCCAGGGGTGTCTCAGCTGGCCAGACCCCCATCAAGAAAAGCCTGTGCCAGCTGCGCCTAGTCGACAGCCCCACAGGCCTCTGTGTCTTCCCTCTCCTGCGTTTCCCTGCCTGTGGCCTTAATGGATAAGGCAGGCCCCTGTGGGAGCCCTGGAGAACCTCCTGAGGACTAGCCTCATGTTTCTCATTCGCTACCGAGCCGACCTCACAGGGGGTCAAATTTTCTTCCCTGGGGATCCGGCTCTTTAAATTAGCACCGCGTGGTTTTAGGAGAAGGCTGATCTCGCCACCTCGTTGCCCCCCCTGTGCTGGGCTACCACGCCAGCTGGGCGTGGGGGGCTGCAGCCCAGCACACGTGTAAGGAAGCGGCTGGGGAAGGCAGCTTTCGGAGCAAAGGGGCCTCTAGTATTTGCCGAAAATATTTATTCTCTCAGCTATGTACACTCGCAGTTGCGTTTCAGGCGCGCTCCCCTGCAGTCTTCTCCTGGCCTGCAGGCAGGTGGCTCGTTGAAGTGCGAGAGAAGACCCTGGACAAGGCACTGGAGACTTTTTGGACCACAGACGGGCGCTGCCGGGGGGGCACGTGGGCCTCCGAGCTGGTGGTCGCAACCACCTTGCCGTGGTTTTCTCCTGGGGAACCAAACGAGCACCTGTGAGGGGCTCTCGGGCCCCGTGGCGTCTCTCCCGGCCAGGATCCGAAGCACTCCCGCCAGGGCAGCCCAGGCGGCCCCACTGCCGACGAAAGTGCCCCCCGCCTCGCCTCTGCCCGTGGCACCTCCGCGATCGCTGGCGTGAGGCTCTTGTTCCCTGAAATGCCGGCGCCTTTGGCCCGCCGTCCCCGTCGCTTCCGTCTGCATGGTGCTGAACGGACCGCTTTCTCACGTCTGCTTTCCCTCTTACATCTGCCGGCCACTTGGTGTGGGCTTTTCGAAAGGCCCCCCAGAACATGGGGGTCCATTAATGCGGCTCGTGAACCCACGGATGCGGAACTGCCTCGGCACAGCAGGCCCGAGAAAGGAGCGACGCTTCCCTGCCCCAGGAGCTGGGGGCATGCGAGGTTCGGGAGGGGAGCGGCCGCCCCGCCACGGCCCTGGCAGCACCTGATGGGGGCAGCCGTGGCCGCCCAGCCTGGCCGGAGCCTCCCAGCGTGGCGGCACCTTGGTCCTTGCAGCACGTCCACAGACGGGGGCCCTGCATCCACGGAGGGCAGCGGACGGCCGCCTTTGCGTCCGGGTCCCGGCCCCGAGATAGCGGGAGAAGGGCTGTTGGACCGGCCTTGCGGGAAGCCTGGGGAAGGGCCCCCTTTCTGGAGCGGAAGAGCCCAGCGCCGCCGCCTGCACCTGTTGTGTCCCTCTGCGAGTCGCCGCTCGGGTGCGCCCCTCCCGGGAGCAGAGACGGCCTTGGCAGGCTCCCCTCAAGGCGAGCCATTCTGCCACAGCAACAGCTGCGAAGGAGCCCGGCCACTCCAGCTCTGCGCTGCCGGAGGGGCCAGCCCCCTGCCGAGGAGGCCGGGGCCTCGAGCATAGATTTTGCTGTGCGTAGCCTGAACCCCAGCTCTTCTGCGTTCTGGACCGGTTTCCCACAGCAGGCACAAACGCCCTTGAGATGGATGGATGGATGGTATTCCACCTTAAGGAACCCCCCTGCCCCGCCCCACCCCACCCCACAGGCAGCCTGGGGGAGGCAGACCTGCTTAGAGCAGAGCAGCGTACCTGGACCGTGTTCTGGGAGAGTCTCCTTGATTTTCTTGTCCTGATAGACAGACATGATCTGCAAAGGGAGAAAAAAGTGAACCCGCTCCTTTATTCCAAGTCTAGCCTCTCTGGACCCCTCAGCCCCAGCTGTTCCCGCGGGAGCTGGCTCCAGAGCGGCTTGGGCCACGAGGAGGGAGGCCTTCCTGTGGGGCAAGGGGGGCCGTCGCGGGGAGCTGGGTGCAGCGCCCCCAAGCCCCCGGCGCTGCACGGCGAGGCCAGCGGGGGGCCGGCTGGCGGAGCCTCAGAACGTGTCCGCAAGCGGGGGGCTGCTTCCCTCTGGCACCGCAGGGGCGCTTAAGCCCGGAGAAATGGCCTGGCCTGGCCGGCCGCAGGCCGTGTGTCGCTCAGCTCTGCCCTCTGTCCTCCCCCCCCCCCCGGGTGCCTCCCAAGGCAGCACATGGTGGCAGCCGTGACTGCCCAGGGGTCCTGCCCACTCCCCCCGGCAGTGGAGGGGCCTCCTCGGGCCCCCCTCTGCGCCCTCGGAGGCAGGGCGCTCTCCTGGTGGTCCCCCCCATGGCAGGGCCCTCCTCCGAGCCCCCGGGGGATCCCCAGAGGCTGGGCTTCCAGCCAGCTGTCGTCGCTGCTGTGCCCCAAGTGGCCCGCGGTATCACATACTGGGTGTTTTCGGAAGTTTTCAGCCACTGGCTCCCAGGGAATTTGTGCAGGGGGAGGCAGCATGGGTGGGGTTGAAAAGAGGGCCCCAAGGGGTGCCTGGGAGCAGCTTGCCGGGCCTGCCCAATTTGAGGAGGGGGCATTACCTCGAACTGCCCCGAGGTCTCCTCCGTGTCCCGGGAGAGATGCATGCCGACAGCAGCTACAACAGAGCAAGAAGTCCCGTTACCGCCTCGCCTTCTCTTGCCCCATGAGGAGTGTGCTGCCCCCTTTGTTTGGGGGTGCTTGCACACAGATGGCCTTCAGAGGGTGGCAAGGGGGGCTTCTGGAGGGTGAGAAACAGCCTCTGATCCCCTGCACAAGAGCGGGGAGGCCTCCACCCCCCCCGCCCCGGCGGATCAGGCACAGTCACCTTCTTCCAGCGGCGTCTCCTTTTTCTGGTGGCTGGAAAGGAAACGCAAGCTGATGACGGCTCTGACGGGGAGCCTTCCGCCAGCTGCCGCTTCTGGCATGGCCGCCCCCATGTCCACCCCCCCCCCCCCCCTTTTTGGGTGGAGGAGCAAGAAAGGAGCAGAAGCAGGGAGACGGGGCCCGTGGCGGAAGACGACCGGATGTGCTGGGGCACCGCGCTCTGCACCAGGCGGGGTAATTCCCGGGCGACAGCCTCGCTGGAGGCCTGCTGCAGCCCGAGGAGGAGGGGGGCCCTCGAGCAGTTACCTCTCGGAGGCCCCGGCAGGCTCCGCACCAGTGCGCGACGTGGCCTTGGACGTGCTTCTGGGGGCTCGGCTGGCTGGGGAGCCGGGTGCTGGGGCCTCCCGAACAGCCTGCGAAAAGCGGGGAGGCAAGTTGGTGGGCGGGCCAGCCGGGCTTTGCACCGGGAAAGCGAGGCACCTTCACCGGGATGCCAGGCCTGCACCTCCATTTCATGGATCTCGTCCTTCTTCAAAATAGCACAAGCCCCTTTCCCACACGCTTTCCCACAGGCGGCCCTGGAGACACCACTGAAAAGCAAGCGGTGCGCCAAAGAGGCCCTCCAGCCTGGGCTGCAGCCGGGGCGGCGGAAGGGAGAGGCGCCTCGCAGAGGCAGCCGTCGCCCTCCGCCCCGGAGCAGGGCCCCCCAGAGTGTGCTGTGGGCGCGTGCAAGGGCTAGCACAATGCCCGCCCCCCTGCTTGCTCTGCAGTGGCACCATGGAAGTGTTTTAGGCAGAGGGGTAGTCAAGGCGTCGGTTGCCCAGCTGCACCACACCGGCCCCATCTTCCTGTGGAGTCCCGGTTTAAATCGGGTGGAGCAAATGTGCAGCCGCAACGCACAGCTTGTCTCACCCCGGTCTGAGCTTCCCAGACTGATGGAGGTTGCCCACCCAACGTGGCAGAGCGCCCCCGTCCCTGCCCCGCCTGAGAGCCTGCGGACTCAGCTGAGGTGCCCTTCCCCTCAGCTCAGACTAGCCGTGCCTGGCTGTTGGGGGTTCTGGGGGTTGAACCCCAACTGGCTGGAGGACACCTGGGGGTGCGAAGGCTGCTGGGGGGGCACTGGGGACCTCTGAGGGGACCGAGCAAGCAACACAGACTTGTGCTCAAAGTACATGGGGGCAAAGACGACCCTGAAGGAGTAACTGAAACTTGCGAGGACGACACATGACTGGAACTCTACAACTGATGGATACAACCTGTTTGGGAAAAACAGAAAGGACTGAAAGGGAAACACACATATCTGCAAAGAAATGAAAGAAGAGGAACTGAGTAGCCCCACTGAAAGCAATCGGCTTAAAGGGAGCAAAACAGAAGAAAAACAGTTACTGGCGTCTATAACCAACCATCCAGTCAAAAAGAGGACAAGGATGCAACCTTGAAAAGCAACTTGCCAGCACTTCCAAGAAGAATGAGGTAGTCGTCATGGGGGGCTTCAGTTCCCCTGATATTTGCTGGGAGACCATTTCTGCCAAGCGTGGCCCCTCCAAGAGATTCCTGACGTGTGTTGCCGACAACTTCCTCCAGCAGAAGGTAGAGGAAGGGGCGAGAGGACCAGCTGTCCTCGATCTAATGCTAACTGACAGGGATGGCCTGGTGGACAAAACAGCGACCCTGGCAGCTCTGGGGGACAGTGACCATGTCATGCTTGAATTCTCAATTATGAAGGAGACAAAGGGTAACTGGAGCCAAACACGCATCCTGGACTTCAAGAAAGCCAACTTTTACGAACTCGGAATAATGGTAAGTGAAGAGGAAGGTCAAGATCTCGCCTCACTGATACCTCAGTGTAGGACATGAAATAATCAAGTCAAGCTGCAACAACCTAAGTTCAGGCCAGATATCCAGAAAAGTTCACTAGGAAACTTTTCAGAGCAATATGACAGTGGGACCAGCTGCCCGGAGAGGTGTTGGTTCTCCCACACTAGAGGCATTCAAGGCGAAACTGGGCAGCCCTCTGAGTGGGATGGTGTAACGTGGTGTCCTGCAACAGCAGGGGGCTGGACCCGAAGGCCTCCTTGGCCTCTTCCAGCTCTGCTCTTCTAGGGACCTATGGAAGTGTTTGGCTGGCTCTCCCCTGCCACTCAGTGGACCTCTCTCTCCTGTAAATTCCTGGCCCCTGGGACAGGCCCCTTTGGGTGCTGGTGACCCTGTGCGTGTCTCCTGTCCCTGCCCTTTGGCCTAGCACCTTCTTGCACCTCTATCAACCCTCCTGCCAGGACTCCTTCAAGCCCAACTGCCATCCCGCCTTCCCTGGAATCTCTTCTGTGTTTATCTTGGCACCAGGTGACGACCTCCTCCTCCCAGTAGGAATGCTGAGTATGATGCTATGCATATTTAGGCAAAAGAATGTCCCACAGTCCTGGGTGCTGTAGGACTTTTTCCCGCCTAATCATGCATGGGATCACGTCCTCAAACAAACCTAGTATATTCGGCCCTGTTAACACGTCTTACCACTGTTAACACGAGTGTACTATTTTGATATTCTATGGCTCGTTTGGGTCATTTTTTTCTTGTTTGTGCGGCTTGTTGCTATAAAACAGCCCCAGGGCGTGGTCAGTTGGGTGGCATTCACGTCCGGTCACCCAAGAACATGCTGCTTGTGCCACCCAGGCAGGACAGGGAGAGGCACGTCCTGCCACAGCCCCCCTCCCCCCCCCATCGCAGGGCAATTTGCTTACTGAGGAATGGGAGCTTTCCCGTCGCGGGACATGGGGCACCTCAAAGTAAAACGAGGTGTGCTCGGTCAGCACCTGCTCCTGCTCCTCCTCCTCACTGTCGCTGCTGCCCACGGGATGCCTGTGTGATCGGTTCTCAATGTCGTGCGTGATGAGGCGCACGATGAGGTCCTCCTTGCTCTCGACATCCTTTAAGAGCTCCACTTTGGTGATGTCTGGTTTCATCAGACTTTGGAACGAGTTTCTACAGACTGCCTGAGATGCAAACCAGAAATGGACTTTTGACCAGCTGCTAACTGGACGGGTCAGAGGGTGTTGGCCCCCACATCGATTCCACAGCCCTTTCCAGGCATGGGACTCAAGGAACGCCAGTTCACACAAACAGTTTCCCACCTACCTCCTTTGGCTTCACACCGAGGCGCCCGGCCATGTCCAGGGATGGTCGCCGCTCCTTCTTTTTGTGGTCTTCCTCAATGGGCAGTTCACTGGAGAGACTCTTCCCTGAAGCGGACGCCCGCCTCAGTTCGGTCAGGCTCATGCCTGTCTTTGACAGGCAAGCCTTCTTCAGCTTTTCCAGTGGCTCTGTTTTGATGGAGAGCACGGCCAGATGATCTGCAATGATATCTGGGTTGATCTCTAAGGGCTTATTCCTGATGTAGGGGACAATTTTTATTGGCACATCTCCCGTCTGCGGCAGGCCATCCAGAGTAGATTCCTCTTGTGTCTCTGGGGGACTCGAGAGCTCGAGCACAGCCTCGTCTTCCTCAACCTCCATGTGAGAGCTGACCCGAGCAAGGACCTTGCTGACTATGCGGTCCAGCTCCAGCGCACTGAAGGTCTCGTTTTCCAAGTTTTCTCCCAGGGGTTTGCCTACGGTGCAGCTGGAGATCTCATTGATGATGATGCTGGCCACTTGCTCAGGGAATATCACTTGGCGAGTGGTCATGTCATTGTAGAGTTCCTTTTGGGAGCCGGATTTCTCCAGGACATTGCTGATGACTGAGTGCACAACCTGGTTGACTGTCTCTTCATACTCTGGATCCAGGATCGGCTTATCATTGGAAGCTACAAGGCCAATTTTGTTCTTAGACATTTCTTTCTCCACAGAGGTCTTCAGCAGGCCAACGATTTCGTTGACATTTGTTGTGGACAAGCTCTTTTTCCCATGAATGCCCAGGTCATATTGTGCAAGGAGGATTGTGGTCAGGAACCGGGACAGGATCTCCTCCAAGAAAAGCACAGGCACCAGAGGGATGTGTGCTTCGGAGAGGTCATCCTTGGCTTCCCCCAGATCCATGTCACTAAGAAATTTCTTGACAATCCTTTCAGATTCCAGCTGTATCACTGCACTAGGGCTGCACAGCTCATCCTCTGAGCCTGAGAGTGACTGGAAGTCGCGCCTGGAAATTTCACTCACCACAAAGCAGGCCACTTGGTTCACAAAATCATCATTCTTGTTAGTGATGTCTTCATACAGAGAGGTCCCTGAACTGGAATGTTTTACGATATCCGTGTAAACTGAATCAACCACCTCTCCGACAGCTTGGCTGTCCTCTGAACCCAAGTCTTCTGTATCAGCCTGCTGCCAAACCCTAAACTTGTTCTTGGAAAGGTGCCTTTGCAAAGAGTTAATTATTTTCTTGGCCACCTCTTTCATGGAGGCAATGGTTCCAGCATCCATGTCTTCTAGTGGAAGAGCATGGAATACTTTTGAGAGAAGTTTAGCAGCCACCTCCTCTATGAAAATGGATGAGAGCCCTCGGAGGTGGGACTGCAAGGGGGTTTCCTCTTCCAGTGGTCCAGGGCTGTATTGCTGTTCAAGTTCTCTCTCGGCCTCCTCGGCCTTTTGCTGTCGATTCAGCTCTTCCATGAAGTATGTCTGCATCTGATGCCCAGAAATCTCTTTGATCACAAAGTCAGCAATCCTCTCGGAGAGGACTGTGCAGCCTGCTTTGATGCACTTCTCCACGGTGGCTGTTGTGCCAAATTCTGGCAAAAGATTGCTATAGATGGAGTTGGCCACGGTTTGGCTGATCACGCGGTTGGGCTGCACCCTGTCGAGGTACTGGACCTTGGCGTCCTTGTCCTTAGCAAGTTCTGCCATGACTTTGCTTAGGAGTTTCATGTGAATAAAATCAAATTCGGCACACTGGTCTTCTGTGTCAGCAGGTGCAGCATCCGCTGTGGGAAGAGGCAGAAATCTTGCTAAGAGGACTGCCAGAACATCATGTATAAATCTCTGAGACACCAGGAGTGGATAGGGGGTCACCGTCTGGGAGGGAGTGTTGATCTTCCTCACCTCCATCAACACTTTCTTAGCCATTTCTCCCAATTCAAAGGGCTTCAAAGCTGGGCTCTGACAGGCCTCTGTGGATGTCCCTTGGATCTGGTAGCTGCAAATTTCTTTCTTTATTGCTCGGGCCAATCTCTCTGCTAATGTATGGTCACTTCCTTTGTCTGTGCAGATGGGAGCTCCAGAACCCCAGTCTAGCAAGATGCTACACAAAGAAGCGTGGATAATTTTTGCAATCTCCGTTTTCCCCACAGTTGGGAAAGTTTGTCCTCCTTCAGGTATCTGCAGGACCTTCACTGGAGATTTTGCAAACTCCTTTAATATGGATTCAACTAAATGTTTAGCAGATGACTCCACCTCAGAACTTTTTTCCTCTGGTGTACACGCACTAGTTGTTGATGAGAGCAATTTGGTGACCAGTCCACTAAAGATGTCCTTCAAAAAGGAGGATGAGTAAACATCAGCTCCCTCCTCAACCTGGGTTGTCTGTGGCTCTCCATCGCCAAGTTTCACATGGTGGATTGTCCAGCCAGCGGTTTTTGAGATAAGAGTGGAAGATGGGCGTGACTGGCCTGGAGGAGAAGCCGAGGATGGTGTGGGCACAGGATAATCCTGTCTTGCTCTGCTGATGAAACCCATCACTTCCTCTTGTTCCCAGCCTGTTTGCCTAAAGTCCAAGGGCTGAGCCTCTGTCTGATGCATCGCCATTCCTCCGCTCGAGTCCCCCACAGCAGCTCTGCTGCAAGCATGTGGGTCTTCTGCGGACACAAAGGGTTGAACATGCTTCTGGAGGATGTCTCCAACAAGGAAGCCAGCAATTCGGTCAATCAGACTAGTACTCTTGCTTTTCACGTCTCTCTGGACAGCTTCAAGGGAGCCAGATCGTTGGATGATCTTGCTGCATAGCGAGTCTGTCATATTCTGAACATCTTCCTCTGAGTACTCACACTCTTCTGGGTGAGCATCTTCTGTGACTCTAATCTCATGTTTCAAAAGTTTCATTCGGACATCATCCAGCAGCTGTGTGGCGAGATTGTTCAGGTCTGATTCCGATGGCAGCCTTTTCACCAGGGGAGACGCAGCATCTCTGGGTGGCATGGAAGGGAATATTTTTGATAGCAGCCCACTAATTAAATCTCTGAGGAACCCCGTGGACAAGAAGGTGCTAAATGGTGCCCAGCCCTCCTTTGCCTCCTGGCTTTGCTCAGACTCAGCCCTAGCATTTTCAGCAACATCCTCGTGGAAGGCAGGTGATGGAAAACCATTGGACAAATCTCCTGAAAACAGTGGATGGAGAAAATGATCAGAGATGCCTTTCTCAACCAATCTCTTGATATTTTCAAGAATGGAACTGTCTCCGGCATGACCGAGACCCTCTTTGGGGGTACGCTCTCTTTCTCTTGATATGGTCTTGCACACAGAGTCAACCACATCATCCATGACATCTGCCAGTGGGGCCCCCAGACTTAGCCCCCCACTGCTGGGTGCTTCAGTGTTGGATGCCTGGCCAAATGGCAAGCTGATTGAACTGGCCAACCTTTTCGCCACCTTGCCAAGCTCAGCGTCGCATTGCTCTTTGCCTACTTCCTTTTTGTCCACGGAAATGCCAAAGATCTTGGATAGAACTCTGGAAACTATTTCCTCTAAGTACTTAGCTGGGAAAACATTGGCCTGAGACACTGAGGGCTTGCTGATGCTATCCAGGACCGTCCTGACTATGTTCTCGGACAGTGCTTCAGGGTCAGGACTGCCTGAAGGGGTGCCATCTTTAGACAGAAATGTCTGAAGGTGATGCTTTGTGATTTCTTGAATGATGAAGCTGGTGATGTGCTCAACCAGAGTTGCATTCTGGTGCTTTATGTCTTCCTGTATGGCCGTCTGCGAGCCGGACCTTGTCAGCACATTCTTGTAGACAGAATCAACCATTCCCTGAACCTCCTTCTCTGAATGTAGCTGGCACTGGTCATCTCTTTTGGCCACCCAGATTTTGTGTTTTGCAATGGACTTCATCACCTCTGTGATCATATAAGAGGACAGCTCATCAAAGCCAGGTCCTGACATGTCCCTCTTCTCTTGCTTCTGTGAGATGTCCTCCGAGGGTGGGAAGAAATGAGCCAGCAGCTGGTTTATTACCCTTTCCAAATACTTCTGAGATAAGATGGTAATGTAGGTTGGGGGAGATTGCCTTTGCTCTGGGACTTTAGGGAAACAGACACGGTGCTCAATTCTCTGGATGATTGGTCCTGCTTGCACATTTTCGTAGGCACTTTGAGGCAATCTTCTGCATATATGTGGCGGCAGCTGGTAATCTAGAATTTCTGTCAAGATGATTTCAGCCGCCCGCTCAGCCAGGCTCTCCATGTCCCTTCCTATGCTTCCATCAGCAGCTAACTGGAAACCAAACTCCCTCAAAATGGAGTCAGTTATTTTGTCGACAGTTTGGCTGTCCACCAACGGGAAGTACATCTTCTCTTCAGCTGCTTGCAGGATCCCAATGCCAGCTTGCCGGAATTCTTCCACCAGGGCATTCACAAACAAAGTGCTCAACTCGTGAAGGTTGACCGAGGAGTCTTTGCCAAGCCTACTGCAGAGAGAAAAGATCTTGATCAAGAGCAGAGAAATAACCTCCTTCAAAAACAGTGCAGAGTAAACTGTGACAAAGCCAGGCTGGTCGCCATGTCCCATCATGGTCACCACCTCTCTTCGGTAGGTTTTCTTTCTGCAGGTCACAGAGCGAGGTTTTCTGGCCGTTGATTTGCCAGTGGATGCAGCTGGTCTGGAGTGGAATGTTCTGTGTCGCACGGCTGTTTCCAGAACTGTGTCCTCTCTCTCTCTCAGGCTCCTTCGTGGCAGACGCCTCCCTGGAATGGGCCCTTTGGATTCCTGTTTCTTGCCTCGTGGGAAGGAGGAATATCCGTCAGTTTTACCGTATCGGACATGCTTCTTGCCAAGCGATTGGCCGTGCACCTTCCTGGAGGTTGGCTGCATGAACCCTGCTGCCTTTTTCGGGATGGGCCTCATGCGCCCTGGTTCCTCGAGGCTCAGGGACAGCTGTGTCATCACAGGCTTTACCAGAGTGTGAGCTAAGCTGTCCAGTGCTGACTCGTAGGAAGACAGCCCTGACTGGGCCTCTGCCCAGGGCTCCTCGGCATAGTGAATGTCGTAGGTGAAGACAGAGGCATCGGACTGCCCCCTCCTAGAATCCTGGAGGAGTTCGCTCTCATTGCAAAGGCCGCTCTTCTCATCATAGAACAGCTCGTCCTCTGGAGATTCATCGAATGCCATGGTGCCTGTGAAATGCTCTGGTGAGAGGCATTTGTCCAAGAGGGTCCGGATCAGTTTTTCACTCACAACGTCCAAGAGGACAACAGATTTGGGGGAGAGCCCCAGGTCACCACTCATCGTGTTACTGCTAAGCCTGTAAGCATGTGGACACACGGATGAGCACAAGAAGCGCCTCTTACCCGGCAGATCCACACCTTGGGAGCAGGCTGCGTTCGGAGGTCGGGCGTGGGAGACAGACCCCGCAAAACTGCTCTGGGGCTGCTCGGACCACAGTGAGTCTAGAATGATGTGCAAGACTTGGTTGACAAGTTGTTTCGATTCTCTGCTCTTCAGGCTGCGGATAAAATTGTCCAGGTTGGAAGCAATGCAGCTGAGTTTCTTGGTTCTGTGGGCCACCTGGCCCGGGGGGGACCGGCAAGCCATCCATTTGGTGTTACTGGAGCCTCGGCAGTCACCTCTAGAAGCCCTGCTGACGCAACGTGAGGAAAGGCGTTGCTGCTGAGAGAAACCGTCGCCAGCTCTTCCGTTGCTCACATACCTGCCTCTCATCTCGATTTCCATGGACAGCAGGTTGCTGACCTCCTTCACAAGGGGATGGTAAACATCATCAAAGTCAGCCAGACGCAGGAGTGGGACATACATGCACGGGGTCTTTCTCCCCTGAAAGCCTTTCCTGCTCATGCTCTCTTGCAGTACATGTTGCTCGCGGAGGATGCCAAGGATCACCTCGGAAAGACGGAAAGCCAGTTCTTCGATGTTCAGCAGAGGGCTGTGGGGACTGCCCAACCCATGTGCTGGACAGCAAGGATCCACAGAGCAGAACATGGAGAAGCTGTTGTCAAAGAGTCCATTCTTCTCTCTCATGTTGTCTTGTGCACTTGAATTTGAAACACTTAAGAGCACCCTGGAAACAACGGCTTGGGTCAGTGGCTCCCAGAACACCTCAAGGCACGAAGACTGTTTTCTGCAAGGTGGCAGGTAGGTGCATCTCCAGATCCGCTCTTGAAGCCACCTGGATTCCGACTGGATCAGTTCGTGCTTCCATGCTGGCAAAGGGCTCCTGGAGGCCTTTTCATCTAAAGCTTCTGGGGAAGGAAACGCCAACATAGGACTTTCAGAGTCATTAAATGCTGCATGTCACACCTGGCATACATACCAGCTTGGTTACAAGGGTCGGACTTGGAAAACCTTTCCTGGGCCTGTGCATCCTCCATATGCATACCCAAAAGTTCACCGGAGCACCCGCTCTAGACGAGTCTGGCTGGCTCAGTTTGCATGAATTCACATCCTTGCATAATTGATTTTGGATCCCTCCCCCACCAGTTTTGATGCCTCTGAGATTCCCATGAGCATTGACTTTCACAACCTTTCAAGGGCATTTTCACCACTACAGGGACTGGCTCGCTCGCTCGCTCGCTCTGTCTGTCGGTCTGTCTGTCTGTCTGTCTGTCTGAAAGAAAAGCTGGCATTCCCAGGACATGGTTCCCTGCACTCCTGCACAATGGACTGCGGCATATTTGTGGCCCCCACTGCGAACTCTCTGAGGCTTGCCTACCTCAAGACCAGACAGTCCCCTAAATACAAGGTTCTGCTCAGGAAAAGCCTGCACTTTCCAGCCTCTCCACAGAAGGCTGGAAACAGAGAGGGGCCATCACTCAGTGTAGTGCCCCTGCTCTGCCTGCAGAAAGTCCCAGTTTGGGTCCCAGCAACATCTCCCATTTGGACTACCAAAGCCCCCCCTGCCACCCCGGAGAGCTGCAGGTGCCAGTCAGTCTCGACAGAAGCAAGCTGGATGGACTGAGGGGGAGATCCAGTCCAAGGCAGCTTCCAGGGTTCCCAGGATAATGGAGGAGGAAACCGCGGGCTTTGGCTGGGCTGCTCATGCAATGGTGTAAAGCCAGCCATGCCCGCGAGAAGCAGGGGCACATCTGTTCCCTGCCTGCTGGCTGGAAAAGCATCCTCCGTATCCATGAACCCTCGCCTGGGAAGGAAGAGAGGGCTTGCAAAGCAAGCGAGTGGGAATGGAAACGGTGCTGCTCGCCTCAGAGCCGTCAGGCCCGTGGGGTGCCCAGGGGACAGGGGGTCCAGAACGGGGTGGGGGAAATCCACTGGATTTCCTCAGCTCAGCTCCCATGCCCTCTGGCCTGCTTTCTGCCTTTCCCAAGTTGGCCTCATGCAGAGCGTGTGTGTGGCATCCAGCTGGAAGCGAGCTCACAGGGGTTCTTCTTCTGCACACAGGACTTGCTGGCTTGGCTCACTTTGTGCAAGGAATGGCAGATTTTGTGCAAAGGGCCACATGCTTTGCAAATGAGGCACTAGTGTTCCTGGATACTCACAGACTTGCTCTCAGGGTGGCTTGCCTTCTGGCCTGGGCAGAGTGTGGGGAAGAAATCTGAACCCAGGAAGTTCCCACCTGACTGTCACATCACCCGGGGCAGGAACCTTGTGCCCTATCCCAGAGCAACGCAGACTCAGCTCTGAGCTTCTTCCTGCCCTTCTTGCAGACAGTTTTGCTGGTGCCACTTGTGATGCATCAAAGTAGCTCATGGGCTCTTCACTCTGCGAGAAATGCACACAGGTGCATCCCAGCTACTTTGGCAGAGGCTGGAGGAATTCAGGCCACAGAAGGAGGGGGACGCTCTTTTTCTCCCTTGCCAAGTATTGTCAGGATAACATCAGTGAAATACAAGAGCCCCACAGTGAACAGGGAACTCTGTTTTCTTGAGCAGCTTTGGAGGTGCCCGCTTGGGTTGTCTGCCTTGGTTTGCGGTGTGTCGGGCCAAATGGTCTTTGTGCGGTTGCCAGAAATGGCACCTGTGCTCTACCATAGGTGTGGGAAACCACCATTGCAGGGCCCAAAGGTGGCCCTCCAACGTTCCTCGGATGGCCACCCCCTTCCCCTCCCCGCCCCCTCCCCAACCACCAGTTCCTCCTGCTGGGCAGCACAGGCTGCCTTCCTGGCGGCGGGGATGTTCAGCTGCAGTGCACTGGTGCCCCTCGGCCTTTGTCCCTGGTCACGTGGGCCTTCGGGCGGAGAGGCTCCACAGCACTGCTATGGCAGCCCAATGGCAGCCCGTCCCATTTGGGGGGAGCCCTCAAACACCCCTCACCTCTGGACTGGAAGACTATCAGTTCCTTGATGACGCTCAGTACAATGTGGCTGGCCAGCAGCTGGATCTCACAGGGGTCTGGGACGTGCGCGCAAGCCAGCAGCTCCAGGTCTCCGTGAGGGTCCGGGCTCCTGCACCGAAAGACGCACTGCCTGCTCTCCCACTTGGACAGCAGGCTGCTCCCTTCCCGCATCAGCAGGCCCCCTTCCCCAGCCGCCAGGTCGGTCTGCTCGCTGGAGCTGCTCAGCCGGCCCTCCCAGCGGCTGAGCAGGCTGTGCCGCTCGAGCGTTGAGCCTCTGAGCGCAGAGGAGCCGGAGGTGCCCAGGGGAGAGGTATCTGCCAGGGTGGGGAAGTGGTGCTTGGCTTTCCCACAGCAGCCGGCTTGTGCCATCCCCTCGTTCTCCAGTCCGGACTCGCTGAGGAGAGCACTGACGATAGTTTCAGCAGTGTGGCCCAGCTTCAGAGGGCAGGCGGCCGACAAGCAGGAGCCCTCTGGGATCCCGAGCGGAGAAGCCCTTGCCAGGGGCTCGTGGTGCGGGAGGGGGCCTGCCTTTCTCAGGTGCTCTGGCCAGGTCAGTCTGACGTCTTCTCTTTGCTTGAAGAGCTTTCCAAAAATGCTTCCCTCAGGAACTGAACTTTGTCTGGGAAGCAACTCATCCTCCAGCACATCAGGCCTGGCTGCCCCTGAAGCCGTGCTCCGCCTGCGCCTCGCCGGAGGCCTTGGCCCGGGAGCCGGTGTGCTGCGAGGCAGGCCTTTGCACATCTCCGGCGTCACGTGGCAGCCCCGCTCTGCGTACTTAAAAACAGATGGAAATTGAGAGGGGGGTCCTTCGTGCACCTCGGTCTCCTCCTCTGAATAGACCACCATCCCGGGTGCCTTGATGCGGGGGAAGCGCTCCCTCAGATCAACTCTTCTGCGCTTCCGGGAAGTTGTTCTCACCCCCGGCGATGCAGCCAGCTCCCGAGCCAAGCCTTGCCGTGACACTTCCCGCTGGAGGCTCTCCAGCATCAGTTCCGACGTGATCTCGGTGAGGCTCTCGTTGCAGCGATCCAGCATGACGCTGATGGTCTCGCTGAGGACCAGGCTTTCGGAAGAGCTGCTGAACAGGGTGGCCTCCTTTTGCGCCAGCTCCCTGTCCAGGGTGCGCTTGATGATTTCGAGGATGCCGCTGACAGCGTTGTTGGCGTACACGTTCAGCTCCGAGTGGAGCACCTGTACCTGCTGAATCGCCGTTTCGATGCACTCCCTCGTTATGGCACTGCCTAACTTGGAAAAGTCCAGAAAGTTGTGGCTTGATCCCAAAGTTGGCAGTGCTTCTTTCCCTGCAGCTCCTTGTAACTGACTTCGGAATGATTCCACGGTGGCTTCGGCCACACTTCCTACCTGGGTCAAGAGGGAATCCAAAGATCTTGTCGGCTGGGCAAAAGAAAGGCCTTCTAATGGGAATTTCACAATTTCCAAGAAATTGCACTTGAAGTCTTGTCTGAAATGCCGGGCAACAAAGGTCTCCAGCATGAGGAACACACATTCAACAGTTTCTTTGGCTATTTTGTCAATTGTGTCCATGGCACTTTTCAGAGAAACATTGTAAAAGGGAAATTCCGGCTGGGTAAAACGGTGCTTGAGCATTTTCCCAGATCCCTTTGGTACAGCCTGGCTTTTCCTTCCCAGAAAACTGTCCTTTTCGTGTGTGGCAGGAACACTGCATGCTAAACATTTCTGCACACTTTCAAACACACTTGCCACAATGTCTCTTGCAATAGAGTCGATCTCTGCCCGAGAGTCACTGTGGACAAGTGCAGGTGCTCCAGCCCTTTGGAAGCCATAACAGAACAACCTCTCACTCACTTCTCCTGGTATTTTCCTTAGAGTGCAGACAGACGCCTCCAGGTCTCGGGTTCTCATGAGAACCTCACTGATGATGCTCTCTGCCACCTGCAGCATCTCCAAGCTTTCGTTGATGGTCGCATCAGACAATGGCTGTTGTTCATATATTTCCCTTAAAATCCCATTCTTTGGAAGCACTTGCTTGAGGTAGGATGAGAAGTCTTCATAGAAAAGGCCTTTGGATTTTCCCCGGGCCTCTTTGGTTGATAATTCAAACTGGAAGCACATCTGGGCTGAAGGAAGGCCATCCACCTTGCCGTGTTTCACGGAGGTGTGCTTGTGCAAGTGAGAAATCTGTATGTCATTGGTGTGCAGGTCATGTACCACAGAATGGACCAGGTCACTCGCAATGGAGATCTGCTCTGAGGATAAGGTGTTGACCCGCAAGATGGTTCTGTGATAGTCTTCCATCTTGAAGCCATCGATGATGGTTCCCAAAACGTTGCTCACCACATCTTTGGCATAGACTGTCAAGTCTGACTTAGACAAACTGACCCTCATGAGTGAGCCTTCTGAGCCATCTGAGAAGAGCCTTGGCCTCCAGAGCATGCCTCCCATTCCCTGGATCTCATGCTGAAGCAATGCGTGCGACTTCCGCTTCTGTCCCATGGATGACGGAAGGACTTCCTCCAGATTGGATGCAGCAAAACAGGCAATTTTATTCAAAACACTTTGGACTAGTTCCTCCCCCAAGGACCGTGGTGGGGGCTGGAGCTGAGACAGCGCCAAAGTCATCTTCTGGAGGTCCGATTTGCCGGTGAGACAGGGTGCCTCATTGGACAGTCTGTTGCTGCTCAGACTGTCCAGTGCTGACTGTGATCCACTGGAGCTAAAGAGTGTCCCCACCACAACCGAGTACATCTTGCTCAGCACACCCTCCACAATGTCACCAGCAACACCAGCTGTGTTTGCCTGTGAGATGGTCTCAGTCATCCCATTATAGGAGGAGGACTTGGATTCGGAGCTGAGAAACTGTGTCTCATTGTTAAAAGAGGGCAAATGTCCGAGATCACCCAGGATCCTCTGGGTAACCTGGCTGAGAACATCTTCCACTCTTGCTAGCAAGGGGAAGCCTCCACTCTGGCCTGCTGGTTGCCTCTGAAAGATCCTTTTCAGAACCCTCTTCTGAACCTCATTTTCTGTTAAGGCTATCTGGACAGATAAGATCTGGAGGAGATCATTCATGATTTCGTTGGCGGAAGCATTCTCTTCGTAAGGGATGATGCCCTGGCAAGAAAGCATTTCCCGTTCCAGGTCCTTCTGAATGACTGTCAGGATGGTACATGTCAGCTTCTCGGCACAGAGCTTCAAATTGGACTGGGAGGCCTGGACAGCTAGCCTCGCTTTGTCACGGTAGCTGCCTGCTTTGGTTGCTGGAGCCTGTGGCCCATGCGTCCTGCAGTGACCCTGACCTGCTCCTTGGGTGGACGCTGCATATCTGCCTTCAGACTGATGCTCTTTCTCCTGCTGTGGAGCAAGGGCCAACTCACTTTCCAGTTTCTCTTCTGCAAACATGTTGAGCCGGAGGAGAATGTTGTCAACTAAGTACTTGGTGATCCCTTCAGAGGAAAAGTCCTTCAAGTCTGGAAGCAGCTTCATAGAACATCTGGCCATTTTCCTGCTTTGCTCCACCTTCGGCTGGCTCGGGGTGTCCAAGGAATGGCTCCCACACTTGGCTTTGGCCCCTCGGCTGATGAGCTGGGCAAACGGCTCGACTGTCCCCTGAACAAGATCCCAGAGAAGAGAGTGGAACCGGGCCGAGAGAGTCCCCTTCATGTTCAGGCCAGCCGCGAGTCCAGAACGCAAGTCTTCCAATATGATATCCACCAACTCAGAGGAAACCAGTGACGCGTCCGACTTCGCCACAGCTGCTCTGGAAGGCACTTTCTTGAAGGTGTCCTCTGCTGCTGCCTTCCCTCCCGGTGCACACAGCTTCTCGGTCAGGGAGCTCCCCATTTCCAGCATGATGGTCTGGTAGATTTCATTGAGAAACAGTTCAACTGTGTTCTGTATTTGGAACTGAAGATCTTTTTTGTAGGCTGGGTTTTTCCTAAAAAGTTTTTCTAGCACACTCTGTTTCCGTGATGAGGGATGCTGGGATTCGGTGAGGTTTTCATGGGGAACAAGAACAGCTAAAACCATGCTGATGATCTGGCTAGCAGCGATGCTTTCGGAGAATATAACAGGAGTCTCAGTTCCTTTATCCAATCCATGTTTTAGACTTTTCAGCATCATCTTGGCCACTTCCTGCGCATGTGACCTTAAGTTCAGTTGAGACAATGACAGTGCGGGTTCCACTTTTTGCTTTTCTGCTAAAATGGAATTACTGTAGGAATTAAAAATACTTTCCGCACCACACTGGTTTGCTAGTATTCGCTTGAATTCCTGCTGAATGGCAGAGGAAAAGTCAGAACTGATGGATGTTTTTAGGTTTTTCACATCCAAACACAGCTGAGATTCAATTTTGGAAGTGACAAAAGTTTCCAGCTTTGCTATAAAGGTTTGCCTGAGGTCGTTAGTCAGTTCCGATTTAGCAAACGAAAGGCTATGTTCATGCTGGGTGGTCTTGGCTGGATCGTCTGTGACGTTTGTGAGGGGCCGAGTTGTCTCCTGCAGGTGTCCCGATGGAAAGGGCATTTCTGGATCTCTGAAATGCACAGCTGGTAGCCCTTTTGCAGCGTCTGTGGGCATATTCAGAGGAAGAATATCAGTGATAACCAGGCTTGGTCTCCTGGAGATGTCTTGTGGGTCTGTTTGTGTGGCACGGGAGATCTTTTGGAAGGCTGTTCTCACCAAGTCCCCTGCAAGCGCGTGGACGTCTGCGTCAGAGACGGGACCCAGACGGCTGGACTCTGGCTGTCCTTTGGCCACAGGCCCCTCCTCTGCCTGCTGTCTGTTTGTGCTCATGTGGGCAAGAGATGGAGGAGCCCTGGGAGGCCAAATTGGTTGCTCAGCCCAGACATGCCGGAACATTTCGTTCAAGAAATCCCGCACAAGTTGGACAATAGGTGATTGTTCTTGCTCCTTGAAGTCTTTTTCCATTTTCTCCAAGGCCTGCTCTAAAGTCCACTCTACAGTTGTGGTCTGCTGAGCTTCAAGGGAAGAAAAGATGGCATCTGGGACAAGTTTTTCCAAATACCTTTCTGTCTTTTCCAAACCCTTTGGTCCCTTCTTCCTGTCTTGGTCCTGAAATCCCTGGGCACCTTGGAGGGATGATTTGGGGTGAGGCTGGCTCCTTTGCTGTGATTCAAGGCCAAAACTTTCATGTCTAACCGTATCTTGACCCTCTCCCACAACCAACACTTTCTGCTCCCGGTTGACCAATGATGAGGTTCCATCAGCTTCCTTCCTGTCTTTCTCCTCCGTTTCTGCCTCTGAATAAATTACCATTCCAGGAATGTTAACAGGAGGAAGTGACTTCCTCACCAATCGGTCGGCTGTGAAGAGTGTTGTCACTGTTGTCGCTTTTACTTCAGGAACAGCAAGGATGTCCTGATGCACGAGCTCCCCTTCCTTCTTGGGGCTGGCTGTGGTTTTTGCTGCTGCGGAAACACCGCAGAGTTTTTCCAGACTCAAGTCATTGAACACGTCATTGATGAGCTGGATGAGAACGGAGCTCTCCCTTGTGGGAATGGCTCCTTCGGGGCTCATTTGCCTCTGGATGTAGCCAAGGATGCTGCTGATCATTTCCTCCACATACTGGAGGAGGTTTGTTTCCGAAGATGCCACGGTTTTGGAGATGACTTTGCGCATGGTGTCCCTGACAATCGCATGGGCTGCTTCGGATTCCACCGTGTGCAGCGGGATTGCTGCATACAGCTGCTCGAGAGGAACGCCGAGGGCCTTTATTTTGGCACACAACTCAAACTGGGACACTTTTGTTTGGCTCAGACTCGAAAATACTTGCAGTTTATCAACAATGAGCTGAATGATCTCCTCAGCAATGCCATGAATGGACTCAAGGGACAGAGGCATCCATGCCCTCCAGAAGGACGGGTCGGGAAAGGCGTGCTTTCCAGCAGCCACCATGCAGAGTGCTTTGCATTCGGTGGCGAAGCTGTCTCTGGAGATGGTTTCCATGTATTTTTTCTGGGCTGTGGAGTGCAGCTTGTTGAGCACACTTTCAACAAGGTCATTGGCGACGAAGCTGGCAATCCTCGAGACTGAACCAGCACCAGGCGAGCCCGCAGGGTGGCTTCCCAGAAGGCTTTCTGAGATGGATTCGAGAAGGACTTCTGCAGAAATGGAGATGGAAGACACCACGAAACCCAAGTCACCCAAGACCTTCTTGAAAATATCATCGAGGAAAATGGATGTTATTTTGACGAGGGGATCCTTCAGGTCAGAAAAAACACTCTTCAGGTCTCTCGAGTCAGTGTCCTCTCTTTGATCTGCTGAGACTTGTGGGGATCCATGCTCCCCTGCAGCAAAGGGAATCCTTTCTGTGTCGGTGGTGGCTGTATTGGTAGAATCTGCTTTGGAAAGAGGCACCCTTGGCAGTATGGATTTGCGCTTGCTGTGGCATGAAGCGACAGCTTTCTCGAGGGTGTCGGAAGCCGCCCTCCGCATCTGGAAGATGTAGCTGTCTGACTTGGAGCTCCTCATGCTTGCTGTGGTGGACAGAAGACCGCTGTGCTTGGACGGGGAGAAGAAGATCGCCGTTTTCCCTCTCTTGAACTTCCCTTTGAAGATGTCACTGGCTGCAGACATGGGGGCACTCTTGGAGAAGGAGGTGCAGGAGGACTTCGAGGAGAGCAAGGATGTGGGCTTCCCACTGGTTTGATGCTGGGCCGTGGGCTTGATGCTGGTGTCAGTAAAGCTGACCTTCCTGGCAGAGGATGGAAGGTTCCTGTAGGCTTCAGAGATGCCTTCGTTGCAGCTACTGCAGCTGCTGCTGCTGCTCTCGGAGGACAGCACCGACTCCTCCGAGATGGTGTAAACTCGTGTCCTGACCCGCTCTTCGAACTTTGTGAGGGCCGGGTAGAGGATGCTGGTGACGGCCGACACCACCCAGGTCATGATGTTCTGAATTATGCCGTTCAGTTCCAGAGCAGAGACCTTGTGCAGAAATGGAAGGAGAACAAGGGGCGTCACTCCACCTGCAGGGGGCACCCAAACGCCAGGCTCTCTGAGTCCCTTTCTCTCTGTTTTGCATTTTCCCATCTTAAATTTGGTTCATAACACATTTTGGGAACTTCTCCTGCCCTATCTTCTACATTTTTAAGGAAAAACTGCAAGTAACTTTCCTAATATTTTGGTGGTTTCTGCAAATAGCACCAAATTTATGCATTTTGTACCCATTTATTGATTGGAGAACTCCACTACAAAAATTCAAAAAGGTACAAGTTTTGAGGAATAAGTGAGCTTCAGTTCCCCTATTGATTCCATAGTACAACATTTCTTCAGTTCATATTAAAATGCAAACCAAACTAATTTCTCCCTAGCTGTAGATCTATTTCTCTTTCCATTCCCCTACTTTCTGGATTCCTTGCAGCCTACGAACCACTTCACTTGTCTGGATGCAGAAGATTGGTAATATTTTAAATAGTACAGTGAGCAGAGCGCTTCACACACCTTACTAATGCAAATAATAAGCATCAAAGGTCATAGAATAGTAGGGGTGAAAGAGGCCCTTGGGTCCAACCCTCTGCACAGTGCTGGCCTCCAAGGTAAACCATCCCTCTTGGGTGTCTGTCCAGCTGCCCCTCGAATGCCTCTGGTGTTGCACTGCTCCAATGGCCAGGTATTTTTTCCTGCTATCTGGCTGAAATCTGGCTTCCCGGCACTTGAGCCCAGTATTCTGTGCTCTGCACCCTGCAGTGATGGAGCAGAGATCCTGGCCCCCCTTCTGTGAGAGCCTTTCCGGTACCTGGCAAGTGCTCTCCAATCCCCCCTCAGTCCTCTCTTCCCCAGGCTGGAGGCGCCCAGTTCTTTCCATCTCCTCAGAGGGCTTTGTTTCCAGTCCCCAGGTGGCCCTTGTGACCCTCCCCGGAACCCATTCCAGCTTGTCTGCATCTTTCTCAGACTGGGGTGCCCAGAACTGGACACAGGACTGCAGATGAGGCCTCACCAGTGCAAACCAGTAGAGGAGAACTAACACTTCATGGGGTTTGGAAATGGCACTTCTGTTACTGCAGCCCGATTTAGCATGGGCCTCTTTTGCCGTCACGCGCGTTGCTGACTCACATTCATCTACAACAATTCCAGTTTCCCTGCTACTTGCAATATTGTTCAGCCAAGTATTCCCCATCTTGTAACGATGCCTTGGGTGTCTTTTCCTTTATTCCCAGTTGCAGCGCTGGGCACTTGTCCCCACTGCATTTCGCTCTGATCGTTCGAGGCGGCACTCCCATCTTCCAAGATCCCCTCGCATCTCATTTCAACCTTCCAGCTGTCCCACCCAGTTTTGTGTCATCTGCAGATCTGGTAGCCGCTCCCTGCACTTCCTCGCCTGAGTCATTAACGAAAACAGTGAGGAGCGCTGGGCCAGGGACTGACTCTGACCCCATTGTTGCCTCTCTGCAGTCTGAGAAGGGACCGCGGGGGAGCACCGATTCTGTGGCCAGCCGAGGCTCCACCTGATCGCTGTTCCATCCAGCTCACTGGCAGCACGTTTGCTTATTAGGCAGTCAGATCTCCCAGCATGTTTATTAGCAGCAGGGCAAGGGAGGAAGGCCCTGAAAGTGACTGGCGCTGCAGCCTTTCCCCTGCAGTGTTCCTCCATCGAAGCCCCCGTCACCCAGCCGCCACTGACGGGGAGGAAAAACATAGACGCCCGTGCCAAGCCCGCATCCCCGCCACGTGGAGGCTGCGCTTCAGATGGGAAACGGACCTTCCACATCCTGTGCATTGACATTTCAGAGCAACCTTACGGGGCTGGGTTGGGCGAGCGCCTGCACACGGTAACCCCAAAACGTATCAGCCGTCGATAGAGTGACCTACTTTTCCTCTCAGGCTGTCCTGAAGTGCTGGCTGGTCTCTGTGAGCAGAAAAGAAAAGAGGCGTCTGTTGACGGTCTGGAGCAAACCTGCATGTGGCTGCTTTCTGGAACTGGGCCTGCAACGCTGTCGGGGCGATCCAGCCAGCGGACCCGCCAGCAAGCATGGTAGTGAGGCCCGGGTCAGGGTCAGAGGCAGGGAGAGAGCTTTGTGCTGGGCGCGGCAAGGGCCGGTCGGCCAACTGGCCCGGCAGCCCGAGCCAGGCTGTCGCCCGAGTGTCCAAGTGAAAGGGGGGCATGTCTTCGACCTCTCGTGGACTGCACGGCCGCTGCGTCAGGGAGGCGGAGGAAGAGCGGTGGGATGGTGGCAGCCCCCGCATTCTGGCCAAACTCAGTGCTGCCCCCTGCCCGCCTTCTGGCAGGGAGGAACCCTCCGCAGAGAGACACGTAGGCCAAGCATCATGTTTTGAACTGCTGGGAAGGTAGCTGCAGCCGCTCTGGCTGGCTGGATGATCGGTGTCAGAGATGGCGACTGCCCCCCACTGGGCTGTTGTTAGTCTTCATTAAGGGTCTGTCTGCCCCCATTCCCAGATCCCTGTCAACGCGGGGCCCGGTGCTCGGCCCGAGTGTCCGCAGGGGCTCGCTGGGAGGCTGCGGCGCTCTCAGAGCTGCTTCTCCGCAGGGTGCCCCACATGTGGCCTGAACCCCAAGATTCTCCTAGGAGAGGCAACATCTAACAGGCTCGGCTGAACGGGCCTCACTGGTTCTATTTGAAAATGGGTGCCTGCAGCTGTTCTGCCTGCTCCCCCCCACCCACCCCCAGGCTCTGGCCATCTGGCTGCCCAGCCTTCAAAAGGAGGCTCAGGGAGAGACGAGCCCCACGGCCAGGGGTGGCCGCCCCAAGCCCATCAGGAGGGCCGGGGGATCTCCTGCAGCGCTGTGTTGCTGCTTCAGCTCTGGCCACGCAGGGCTTGGTTCTGTCTGTATTTCTGCGTGACCGGGCTGGGGGGAGCGGCTTTGGCAGAGGGTTCAGAGCCCCCCAGGACGGCGAGGGTGCTTGTGCTGGAGGTCACCACTCCAACTGAGCATGAAAGGGACATGTTCTCTGTGCGGCTGCCACCACCAGAATGGGCAAGCCTCCCTTCCATGGCAGCCATTTTGTGAAGGTGCCCACTGCGCACTCTCAAATATCCAAATGGCTCCACTGACCCAAAAGGTCCTTGCTCTGGATCAACTTTTCCCAGATTAGTGCCCCCCTCCCCAGCTCCACCCTAGCTGGTTGGAAACGATGGGAGTTGGAGTCCAACACACCCAGAGGATACCAGGGTCAAGAGAACTGCTCCAGACGGTGACAACAAGGAAAACTAACCCTCATTTAGGGGGGCCCTGCTCAGACCCGCCTGAGGCAAGAATGCAGGCACCTTTGCATGAGAGAGCTGTTTAACCCCTCGTAGCATGGCAAGCTGCAGGAGAGGACCTTCTGGAGAATCCTGGCCCTTCCCCCTGCAGTCTGCCCTACACAGAGCAAGCAGCCAGTCCCAGCTCACGGAAACGAAGGAACAGCACCAGAAATGGCTGGGATCATGCCGCTCCTCTCTCTGAGCTCAAAGCGGCCATTCCTGGATGAAAGAACGGCAAGATGGCTCATCGGGGCCTTATCACTGTTGGCACCTTTTGGAGTCCCCTCTTTCACTGCCTAAAATCGCCCCCCTCCCCAGCCTGACATGCTCATCCTTGGAAGGCAAAATAGCACTCGTGTGCCGAAGGAAGGGCCTCTGGCCATCGGAGCTGGTCCGACCAAGCACCACGGGTGCTTCCAGGGGCCACCAGGTCCCTCCTGGCACAGGCTGGGCACAGCCGCTGTCCCTCTGCCTCTCATGCGGATGCTGCCATTTCCAGGGATCTTTCAGGCACTCACAAAGTAGACAGATGCCGCAGGTAAGACGAGGGCTCCGAGTCCTCATTGTCCTGCGACGTGGAGGCCACGTGCTCTGAAAGACGGAACGGGAGAGTGGCGGGCGCTGCAGCAGTATTCCTCAGCTGGGAGCTGCTGGAGCGCGTTGGACAACACCCCCATTATCCCCAGCCAGCTGAGGGAAATAGGAATGGAGGTGTGAGTGATGTGCCCAGGGGCCTTCCCCAGTCACTCGCACACAGATGCAGGGGAAGCAACCGCAGAGACCCCTGCAAACGTCATCTGGCGTTTCCAGGCACAGAAAGCACACCGCCCTCTCGCCTCGGGCGGTACCTGCTTTGTTCTTCTCAACGCGCTTCTTCTTGCTTGAGCACCTTTCTTTCGAGGACGGGTTGCCTAGCTCACTCTGGCAGAACTGAAAGGACAGTTCAGGTTTCAGGACACGCCTGCGGGCTCACGTGTGCAGCTTCAGAGCAGCTTTGGGGCCACGCCTCAGCTGGCTGGCTGGCTGCCACCCCAGGCCAGGGCCCCGGGCCCCGGGCTTGCCGGGATGTGGCACAGGATGCCTTTGGCCAGCAGAAACAAAGTGCTAATGTCCCAGCAGCCCCTCTCCTGGGCCAGAGGGAACCTGGTTGTCAGCGGGGACTGGGGGAGCGCCCTGCGATGTTCTCGGCCTCCTTGGGGTCGGGACGACCGGCTGCTGGGATGAGTGCCTGAGGCTAAAACCGGCCGTGAGGTGGCAGCCCAGCCACGCCTCCTCCACCCTTCCTTCTGCAGGCAACATGGCTGCCAGCCCCCAGCAGCTCCGGCAGCTTTCAGTTCTGTACCGTTAAGGTGGCTCTCTTCTTCTGCTTCACCCTGCCAGAGCCTTCGTCAACTGTGTGCCGAGAAGTGGCTGAGAAGAGAGTCGCTTTGGTGGGAGGCTTCAACACGCCTCGATCGGACGGATTCACTCCTGGAGCAGAAGCGGAAGGAACCGGGCCTGAATCCTGCTCCTCCTCTTGCAGGCACGGGGCCACCGAAAGCAACGGGATCTCGGGTCCTCCCCATTTCCCACTTTCGTGGGATTTCATTTGCTCCACTTCAGGCCCCCTTCCCACCCAATTCGCGCCGAGAGTCCCACTTACCAGCTGAGGACAAGAAGGGCAGCTTGCTCGTGCGGCTCCTGGTCCCATGCCTGCTGCTGCCGCTCGAATCGTAGCCGCCAGGGGCTTTGCTGCTCATGCTGCCACATCCACCAGACATGCAGCAGCCAGATTTGCCGTTGGTGCTGCAGCACCCGGCGGAGCCGCAGCAGCTCGTCTTGCTCCCGCACCCGGTGGAGCCGCAGCAGCTCGTCTTGCTCCCACACCCAGCAGGTCCGCAGCAGCTCGTCTTGCTCCCGCACCCGGCGGATCCACAGCAGCTCGTCTTGCTCCCGCACCTGGCGGATCCACAGCAGCTCGTCTTGCTCCCGCACCCAGCAGATCCGC